TCGTGGGCCACGGTGGACGCCCTCTCGACGAGGGTGGGGGGGGTAGCCCGGCTGCGGCCGTGATGCCGAGCCACCGGCCTGCGTCCCTTCTGGCGATGTGCCTGGCCAAGCCCACTCGCCTTTTTTCCCCGAAGCCGACGTGTCTCCTTTTTCTCCCAGTTCTCTGCTGGGTGCCCATGGTGTCTAAATATGCATGCAAGTTATTTGGATTATTTTGCTGCTTGACATTTCCATGTTATAAGCCACTCTGGCCAGGTTGCTTCTGAAAAACAAGTGAATACCACAGTGGGCTTTGCCTGGTAGGATGGGGATGGTTTATTTGTATGTGTTTGGGTGATTTCTGTTTGCCTTACCTGTACGTTGTACTACTATCGTGTTGTTGTACTGTTGTAAATTCTTACCTGCCCTGACTGTAAATCTGTGATAAAGCGCTCAGATGCACCTCCTCTAGTTGGTGTGAAGAAGGGCGTTTTACCCGAAACGTCTCCTGTTATGCTGTGACATGGAAAGAGTTTGTCATTTTCGTAACCACTGTTGTACAATACATGCCTTGTGCATACAGTATTGTGTATGACAAAAAAAAACAAGATCCTCCGTATAGCCTGTAACAGACTGTTGGGGCAAGTGCTGTCAGCGAGCACCTATGAAGTTCGGCATGGCACATGAGTGGCGGTAGGGCGCGGTGGCCAGCACCGCGCCCTACCGCCTGTCTCCCTAGTATGCGATGATTTTACTCATCGCACCAGGTATACTCATTTGAGTCATAACTGTGTATGAACACACACACACACTCTCTTGGTTCAATGAAAAAGTTTATTTTATTCCACCAGGTGACACCTGAAAATAGATCAGGATGAGTCTCGTTTGCAAGAGTTACCTGGGGGCATTTCGCCTGTTGTTGGGGACGAAATTTGAATCCCTGACGGCGGCACACAATGGCCTACTCCTGGCACTGACGTCAACGGATCGTTAACTTGCACCAGGAAGCTGGCGTGCGCAGGAGTGGTGTGGTCAGGGTTATTGCACCGCAGGAATAGTCAAGGGTGGCGTGGCCAACGGAATGGAATCTCTACAGCAGCGTCACTGCTTCGTGAACGTCAGGCCAAGTCAACGCTCTCGTAAATAAATAGACACACACGTGCACATGCAGATACACATCCCCAGTAGAGCCTTTGACAGGCTGTCGGGGCAGGTGCTGTTAGCGAGCACCTGTTGTGTTTGGCACGGCATGGCACAAGAGGGCTTGTTGTGGCCAGAACCACGCCCGGCCGCCTTTGTCTCCCCAGTGCTGATATTTACACAGCACAACAGACACTCATTTAACGCCAAGTCGACCTAGGACAGGTCCAGTCGTTCTAGGAGAAGCGCAGGACTGGTTCAGATAACCGTCACTGCTATCGACCGTTAGCGGGAATCGAATCTGGGTCGCTGGGTTCGTAGCGCAGCCCGCTAACCGCTACACTACACAGACAAGACAAAGATCCCCCAGTATAGGCTTAACAGATTGTTGGGGCAAGTGCCGTTAGCGAGCACCTATGAAGGCCGGCACGGCACACGAGGGGTTGGGTGGCCAGCACTACGCCCGGCCGCCTTTGTCTCTCTAGTGGCGATGTTTACACATCGCACCAGTTACTCATTTGAGGCTGAGTTGACCTTGGGGATGCCCAGGACTACACAGACACACACACAAAGACACAAATACACTCTTTCACACGTCGCTCAGTCCCCCGAGAAATTAGGACTTTCCCCGCGCCTCTGCTGCGTGTCGGTGTCGCTTTATTAGAGGCCCGCGGCACTCGGCCACTGGTAAAACGATCCCTCGCCCCCCCCCCCCACTTGTCATGACGGCATCACACCCTGGCGGTGGCTGGCCGGTGAGTGAGAGGTGATGGGGAGCTGTTTTCGCCTGGCAAGTGGGCATCCTCTTCCCGTGTGTGTGCCTTGGTGTCCGTGTGCCAACTTGGCCGGCTTAGCCCTGAAGCCGGACCTGCAACTGAACGATCGGCTGCACAACTCGCTTGCACGCGGACGCCTCTGCAACCGGGTTGCAAGCAGTGGCACAACTAGTTGCTCGCTTGAAAGTAGAGGCAGACTGTGCGGTTTGTGGCGAAGCGTTCCATCGCTCGTACATTTTCCAACTAATTTTGCCAAATAAAAAAATCGCCCACGGAATATTCTAATGAATGCTGCACGTCACTCTTACAATTGAGACTCATACTGGCATCTAGAGTTCTCACCCTGTTAGAAAACATAAACTTGGTGCATAAAACTACGAGCCGTCGTTTAATTTCCTGTTCTAAACATTGGGTCACTCATGGACAAGGGCAGGATATGGCCCTTGTTTCTGGGGATGCTTCGATCGCCGTCCTGTCTAGCGTCTACGCAGCGTCGCCTCGGTCTACGTCAACATCTTAGCCACTGAACACGGGTGAAGGATGTGGCGACTATAATGGGCATCCCTTCGTCGGTGACGATCGAAGCGTCCGTTTAATAGAACTGACCGCGCCATTACCAGAAACAACCATGCGCGTGCTTTTCAACGCAGGAACCTTGCAGTGCAGCTACTCGCTCAGGCGACGGACAAAGCAGTTGCAGGCGATGATTGAGTGGCATGATCTGGACAGCGGTTTTGTCCCGGAACTGACAGCTCGGGAACAGGGCCGTGCTTCAAGGCCGGGACGTTAGCGTTGTGGGCGATGTGCAGCTGCTCGCACGGCGATCGCCGACACACTGCTGCACCTCCGATTAGCAAGGCTGGCTATGTACTGTGCGAATAAAATTCAACACGTGCATACACCATACCTGTCAACCCCTTATCAGGACCCTACCTTATTACAGACCATTTCACACCTTATTGGTCACCCCGTGCCCTTATAAATCTCAACGTTCATCCTACAAAATCCCATCACAAGGGAGAAACGCAAACAAATATAAAAAAATGTGCCCGCATTGAAACGGCTGTACAGCGTATGAACCTGAAAACTAAATTTCCCTGTAAACCGTATGGGTTGACAGGTATGACACACACTCCAATAGTGGCGAGATGTAAACTTCCTCACTTGGTATACAGGAGGTTGTGGGTTCGATCCTGACCCTGACACCTCGATATTTGGAGTTTGCATGTTCTCATTCCCCGTGGTTGTGTGGATTTTTCTCCGGGTTCTCCGGTGTTTTTGCTCTACACTTAGAAACCGGCGTTTAGAGTATTTGGCTGCGACTATAAATTTCCACGTGATAAGCTGCTTCGTTGAGCTATCATTTGTGAGAGCCAGGTCGCTTCTGAAAAAGAGCTGTATAGCTCAGCGAGCCTTACCTGGTAAAATTAAAAATAGTTTTTAGTTTTTTAAATAGTTTATAGACTCCGTACTCTTGAACGCCACCAAGTGGGAGCGTCTCTATGGCCGCCAGTCAAGCTGGGCTCAGTGCGAGTTCAGAGCTGGGCGAGGGCCTCCCAATGCCGCGCGGTTCGTGCTCGTCGTCTGCGGGTTCGGCGAAGGCGTCGGGGCACAGTCCTGCAGCGGTCGTAGCTGCTCTGCCCTCTGCTGCCGACTGCATAGCGCCGCAGCAGCCTATAGCAAACCTGCTGTTGGCACGGTGGTCACCCGTCAAAACAACTATCCAGGCTGAACAAAAAAAACCTGCTTAGCTTTTCGAGATCGAGCTCATCCCGGGTGACTTGGTCACGATGTGCATGTGGCCGTCGTGCACACATGCACACGAGACAACTATGAAGGTGCCCCAACGGATGTGTAGCCTTTACAGGGGGGGGGGGGGCAGAGGGAGTAGGATCTTTATCTTGGTCTAAGTTGTTGCTAGCGAGCACCTATGAAGGCCGGCAGGGCACACTGCGGGGGTGGGGGGCCAGCACCACACTCGACTGGCCGTTGTCTCCACACACGGCTGAAATTTACACACTGCACCAGGTACTCAATCAAGGCCGAGTGGACCTAGGGGATACGAAGCCTCAGGAACCGGTTCCAATATGCGCCACTTTTGTTAGCCGTGGCCGTTAATTGAATTTGTGTGGTCCGGTTTGTAGTGCATTGTGCTGACCGCGAACGCTGCCGCCACCCCCATTACATATCTCCGACGGGCACGCATTTAGACACGCGGACGCTCGCATATTTGCACGCTCACACTCTCAAGCTCGCACACAATTAGCAGAGTGCTGTAATGTGCACTATTCTTGGCTAAATCACAAGCTGTCCAAACACGAATGTCATTGAATGTTGGCCCCTTAATTCCTCGCAGTGTAAATCCCATTGCAGGGTCTAATTGTGTTAAATTAATTCCCGGCTTGCTTTTAAGTCGTGTATATATAAAATGTTATACTTGTGCAAATTGTTCGGTACTTCGAGGAGCAATGGTATTTGCATACGTAATCGCACGTTGGATTATTGTTACATTATGTCGGCACACACTCTTGAAGGCTGGTAATGCTGCGGCCCTGCAGTAACTTGCTCCGGCCGCCACTTGCGTTTGTGCGCCTAACTCAAGAGAGCGCTCGGTCTCTCCTAGGTTGACTCAGTCATAAATGAGTACCTGATACAGTGTGTGAATGGCGGTGCTGTGGGGAGACAAAGGAGGACGTTTCTTGGTACTGGACACGCCAGCCTCTGGTTTGGTATTTGCGCCATTCTTGCGGTGCGAGGCTATCATGCGGGCGTTCTATTTCACAGACAAGCAGAGGTAATTTATCAAATTTGGACTTACGTTTCGAATGTGCCCATGGGATCTTTAGCGTCCACCGGTACTCCTTTTGGTACGTACAGCCCTGCAGTATTAACCAGGGCGGCCGCTGGGCTTTGAACCTGCGAACTTCTGCTGCGAGCGGTCAACGCGGCCACCACCTGGCCTTGTCAACGCCCATGTTAGGCACTCTCTGACGGTGCTTTTCCCCAGATGTGTTCCTGGTTAAAGCAACAATTGTTTTGAGTTATTTTGTGTGCGTGCGTGTTTGCGTGCGCGTGCGTGTTTGTGTGCGTTTCTCGTCGTCACAGAGCCAAGATGAAGGTCACATCAAGGAGATAAACATAACCCATCACGTGAAGGAGGGCTCCGAGAAGGCCGACCCATCACAGTTTGAGCTGCTCAAAGTTTTGGGCCAGGGCTCGTTTGGAAAGGTACAATTTCACCCAGCCAGACTCTCGCATCTACGCCGCCTCTTAATCTCTGTTAATGCTTCACATGTGATAATTACAATAATTGGTGCTTGTATATTGGCTTTCAAAACATCTCAAGGTACTTTACATCAATGACAGTGGGCAGGGCGGAGGGAGCGGGGTGGTTGGGTAAGAAGTGGGCCAATTAAAATAGAAAATGCCTTCTGACAGATAAATATTTTTAGGCGAACCCAACTCCCTGAAAGCCTTTGGTAGATAGTTCCACAGTGCGGGTGCCACGGGCGTGAAGGCCCAGAGATCGCTGCCCATGGACTTGTGGGGATGCAGAGATTACGTTTCACAGTTTAAGTTTTCCATCGCAGTCTGATCACAAATTATCTGGCTTTGAGTGGCAGTGTAGTTAGGGGTCTCTGCTCTGCGCATCATCATCAGCAGTAGCAGCAGAGTCATAATTATCAGCATTTATTGTCATCGCTGGTTGCTGTTTGTTGCTGGTCGCTGGACGTTTTGGGGCATTGAACCATATGTGCTCAGCACACATGTTTCAACCACGGACTGTGCTCTACTGACCACCACGTGACCCCGCGGCATGCAACACCTGCTATGCACGGTGGTCGCCCATCCAATCACTATCCAGCCACAAGTTTGCTCAGCTTCCAAGAGTCAGGTTTGCTGACACCCCGATCGCTCCTTATGGAGCATCCGAAAGCACGTACGCTCTCCCTGGGGGGAGGTCCCCTTTCGCCGATACGACACGAGACTGTGGCATGGAAGAAACGTCATAATCTCCTCGCTGGCGTAAAGCCGATGACAGCGCGATTTCTTTTCGGAATTTGAATCGGGAGAAATCGTCTTGCACCACACCCCACGAACATGGGCGGAGTGCCGAGCTGCGTCCCCACAACGATTGATTGGACTCGACATTTGGTGGGTGGAGATTGGTGGGGGAATTTTAAAAAATTATAAAATATATTGCAATGTCCTTTTCCCAAGTGCAGGGTGACCTTGTGTTTAAAAATAGAAGGCTTTTAATCTGGATCCGGAGCAGTGGTTGGTGGTGGCCCACAGAACTATGGGAATTTTTTTTTATTTATGTTTTACACATTGGACACTGCGTGCTGTTGGAGTAAGTAAAAAAACTATTGTTAGTGTTTTACGTTTCGGTTTTGAAACGTAAAACACTAACGATATTTTGTACGTGGGTGGCCAGGTGACACACCGGGGGTGGGGGGAGGGGCTCATACCGTGCGTCATGGACACTGGGGCCGCTACCGCTGAAAACCTGGGTTTGTGTCCAGGCTTCAACCGGCTGTGGTTAAAATGGTTTCTCAAGTACAGTGTGTTGATGGCCCCAACCTGATCACCAATGGCAATGGAAAGAGCAAACCAGATTAATTGTAAATATTATTGACTTTATTCACTCCACGCCACAAACACAAATAAAGGCGAGAGAGATGGAAGCAAGTCTGGGCTGCTGCCGACGTCCAAAATCGACATCTCATACAGGACCCTACCGTCGAACCTGCCGGTTTCAACCGTCCATGCCGCCAATGGTCGACCATCAACCGAATCGTGACCTGGCCACGTGGCCGATGCGGCCACCTGATGGACAACGATTCAGCGGCCAGCGAGTAGCGCGGCCACGAATCCCAAACCATCAACCACATCGAAAACGCTCCGCTGCTGCCGCTGCCTTCACACCTTTACAGGAGGAATGGACGAGATCCACTCTGCTTCAGAACGGACAATTGAGTGGATGACAAATCTAAAATTACATCTGCTTCTGTTAATCCATACGAAAGAAAAATACTTAATTCGGCTTCGTGCAGAGCTCCCTGAGATTTTTCACTTTTGTTTGACTGATTGATATGGAACGGACACTCTTTACAGGGCACATGAATGGTGTGCTCGCAGCGTGGATAAGAAGCTGTTGAAGGGGCTTGAGAAGTTCAGGAATTCTTTAACTTCATCAGCGTGTGTCACAGGACGTGGCCGTCCTGTGACACACACTCAAAGTGGAAGTTTCAAGTGGACATTGTTAATCTCGTGACACAACGCAGATTGCGCACCCGGGGGTATAATCGGAAAAATATAATTTAAAAAATCGGTAAAAATGCAGCTGCGTTCGTAACTGTAATTGACATCAGATTTGGTTGCCACTAAATGCAAAGTGTTTGGCGCTGAGACTCCGGCTGTGTGTCGCGGTGGTCGTCGTGCGCGAATCAACAGGAAGGTAGCGATTCACGTCCTGGTCAGAGGTCAACTCAGCCACTCATCATCATCATTCCTCTGGGGTGGATAAACAACTCGTACCACTGTGTGGGAAATCAAAAGTGGTCATCCTATTTGGGAAACTCTTTTCTTCTCCACAACCCGCAACCCTGTGGCTGAGCTGCACCAGCAGCCGCCTGGAACCCTCTCCCACTGCACCGGCGCAGCATCCTGGCACCATCATCCACATTCAAGCAGCAGTTCACGGCTCTCGCCTGTCCAGTCTCTCACCTGCTTTGGCTCTCGCCTGTCCAGGTTATCACCTGGTCATAGGTGCTACTCACGAACAGCACTTGTCACAGACGTCTGCTAAAGCTACATGGGGGACCTTTGTCTTTGTAGGTGTTTCTGGTGCGGAAAATCAAGGGTCCCGATGCTGGGCAACTGTACGCCATGAAAGTGCTCAAGAAAGCCACGCTGAAGGGTGAGTGTGTGGCGGTGGTGGTGGCGGTGGTAGCATTGGTGGCGGTGGTGAGGGTGGTCGCTGTGGTGGTGATGATGGTGGTGACGGTGGTGGCGGTGGCGGTGGCGGTGAGGGTGATGGCGGTGACGGTGGTGGTGGTGAGGGTGGTGGCGTTGACGGTGGTGGCAGTCGCGGCTGTAGCGGTGATGACCGAGTGTCGACTTCGCAGGGCAGGGGCCTTGCTCTGACCGTGGCGAGGCAGCAATGCTGGCGTGTTCTGCCATTGAGACGCAGCTTTGATCCACTCGCCTGCCTGCCCACACACACTGCCCACACGCCTGCCTACTCACCTACCGACTCACATACCTAGCACCCACCAACTACTTCCTCACCTACCTCGTTAACCTGCCCACCTACCAACCCGCACCGTTTGGTTGCCAGGTTCCGTCTTCCCTTGAGATGTTTCGCGCAGCCTGTCCTGGGCTAAGAGTTGCATAGCTGTGACACTTTGCTGTGACACTTTGCTCGTGCGCTGTGCCCCCTCCAGTCCGTGATCGCGTGCGGACGAAGATGGAGCGAGATATCCTGGTGGAGGTGAACCACCCCTTCATAGTGAAGCTTCACTATGGTAAACCCTCCACCGTACCTCACCGTAACACACCACACCAGTGCACCGCGGCGGTAGGGATGTGCTGCGATACGACAGCACGCCATGCCAGCAACGTCTCCCAACACCGAACACGTTTACCGGCACTCCAGAATGGACACAACGATGTTTCCGCACAGAAGGGAGGTGGCCCTCATCCATCAGTGGATTGACAAGCCAGTACTTACGATTGATAATTATCCCGCACAAATACCCTCCCATCTACCCACTCCTCCACCCACCTTACCCACCCACCTCTTTCCCTATTTACTCGCCTATATACCCATTTATGCACCTACCCAACCACTTTCCCACCAACGTATTTACAGATGCACCCAATCACACGCCTATCTCTGCCCATTCATGTGCCTACCTACCCACCCAGCCACCTATCCATCCAGCTACCTATTTATTCACCTCCCTACCTCTCTACTCACATACCTACCGACTTACCCACTCACCCAACCACCCACCTACCTGCTTGCCCACTTACTCAACCACCTACCTACCTGTCCAGCGACCTGTTTATGCAGCTACCGATCTCCCTACTCACCCACATACCTACCCACCTACCTACCTATCCAGCTACCCTCCTAGCTGTCTCCCTACCCACTCACCTACCTACCCGACTGCCCAACTACCCACGTACCTACCCATCTACCCACCCATCTACCTACCTACTTAATCAACTACCCATCCACCTACCTACTTATCCACAGACCTACCCACCCACCCAACTAGCAGTACAGCAAATTGCTCACCACCGATTGCAATCACTCGCCATGCCACCTGCCCAGTCACCCACTCAGCTGCCCCGTTCTGTTTGTGCTGCAGCGTTCCAGACAGAAGGGAAGCTCTACCTGATTCTGGACTTCCTCAGGGGAGGAGACCTCTTCACTCGACTCTCAAAGGAGGTGAGCAGGCCCAGCTGTACGTGCGGATCACATGTCACACACACACACGCATGAAGAAAAATATTCCCCGTATATCCTTTCATAGACTGTTGTAGCAAGCGGTGTTCGCGAGCCCCCATTAAGGTCTGTACGGCGCTTGAGGGAGTCGGTGGTCTGCACGACACCCTTTGTTTCCCCAACGGTGATGCTTACACATGACACCAGATACTCATTTAAGGCTGAGGTAACCTAGGGGAGGCCCAAGACCAGTTCAGATAATCGTCCCTGGTGTTGACCGTGAGCGAGAGTCAAACTCGGGATGCCGGGATTGTCGCGTGCAACCGCAGCCCTACCGTTCCCCATAGTGCATAACAAAGACAAAGACCCCCCATGTAGCCTGTAACATACTGCTGGGGCAAGTGCTGTTCACGAGTAGCACCTATGAAGGGCGACACAACAAAGACATAGGCAGAATCAGAATATTTATTTAGACTGGAGGAATCCGATTATCCATGAAGCTCTTGTTCACAGATGTCCAGTGTGTGCGAGTAAGAACGTTACAACAACAAACAGTACAAACACACGATAGCAGTGCCAAGTACAAGAAAGGTAAACAAATCACCCAAACACATACAGATACAACTCAACCATCCCCATCCTACCAGGCCACGCCGTCGTCCTACCACGGGACAAATGAAGTTTCGTGCAGAAGTCTCGCAGTGAGCAGCACCACCTGACACGCGTCGGAGAGCCGCCCTGAAGATGACGTCATCGCGGAACTGTTTCTGTCGTCGTTTCCATAGTTCCCTTCGCTTGCCCCCCCCCCCCCCCGTGCCCCCCGCAGGTGATGTTCACGGAAGAGGACGTCAAGTTCTACCTTGCGGAACTGGCTCTGGCGCTGGACCACCTACACAGCCTCGGCATTATCTACCGCGACCTCAAGCCTGAGAAGTGAGTCGACCGTTGGTTTCGTTCATGAAATCCTAACGAAGGGGATAATTTGCGTGTCGTTTGAGTCTGGTTTAGTTTTGGGAAGTGTCGTCGTTTATGCAAATTGCATCTCGCAACCGCTGAGGAAGCGGATGAGCTGGAAGGGAGCGGCGAGGCGGTGAGCCGGTGCTACTAACTATTAGGCAAGCTGCGTGTATTTCCATATATTGAGATGTTTTCATCCGCTTAATGATTGTGTTCGTACATGTGGGTGGAACCCAGAGAAAAACCCACGCACGCCAGCAAGAGCCCACAACACTATCCCCGTACAGATGGCGATTAGTCTACTTGCTAATGTATAACATGGAAACATTTTCTGAGTTCACTGATTGGCTGAGCTGATCACATGGGAGGGGGTGGGGGGGGTGGAATTGCTCGCCCTTTACACCAACGTCCAATCACTGCGAGCGATTGCCTGAACGTTTGACCGCTCGAGTCGACCAGACGAAGAGATGAACTCGGTGAAATCCACAGACGACTGAGGCTCTTGACTTTAAACCCCATGCGGTGTCGTCAACTTGGCTGAGACTCTACGACCAGCATAACAATTATTCTCACCGAACCAACGCCCCGCCAGAGGGTTAATCGCGTTTCCCAAATCTTCCCAGCAGAAAAATAGTTACCCAGATGCCGCCCCCTTAGCTGTGCTCCCTCGTTGAATCGCCATACTACAATGAACCTCACCTTGCTCGTGTACCTGTTGAAGACGCATGTAGCGGTTTAGTTGGCATTTCGACCCCTATTGTCAAACTTGTGGGTACGTTTTTGATTTGGCAATTCATAATTTTTTGTGAGTGTCGTTTTTTTTTTACCGGTCTCGTATTATTCTGCTGCACATGCCCCTGTCCTGTGTCTGTTAAGAGCTCGAAGGTTACACTAGCTGTGTAGATTTGTATTCATTGTAAGTCGTCAATATTGGGGGCAGGGCAGCGCAGTGGCTCACAGCAAGAAGGGGGTGCTGGGTTCAATACCTGACTCAGGCACCCTTCTGTGTGGAGTTTATACATTTTCCCCATTTTCTGCAAAGTGTGAGAGTGTGTGTGTGTGTGTGCGAAATAGTGAGTGTGTGGAGTTTGTGTGTTCTCCCCCTGGCCTACAGAGAGTGAGTGTGTGTGGAGTTTGTATGTTCTCCCCCTGGTCTACAGAGTGTGAGTGTGTTTGTGGAGTTTGTGTGTTCTCCCCCTGGTCTACAGAGTGTGAGTGTGTGTGGAGTTTGTGTGTTCTCCCCCTGGTCTATAGAGTGTGTGTGTGGAGTTTGTGTGTTCTCCCCCTGGTCTACAGAGAGTGAGTAAGTGTGGAGTTTGAATATTCTCCTGTTCTGCATGGGCTTCCTTCCATAGCTACTTCTTAAACCATACCGTGTAACCGATATTGGCCAAGACATCCCGATTGCTGAAAATGTACCTACGAATTACTCAACAGCAACAACATTACACAGAGCGACATCGCCCCTCCTACTGCGATAACACTTGGCAAGACCCTCCGGAAAACAAGTTTTAAAGATTCATCGGAGCTTTCCTGGTTAAAACAAGCAGAACACTAACGAAATGTCTATCGGGAGCGTCGGAATCGTTTCTACTCGGTGAATCGTTGGATCCATCTCTCTTCTGTCCGTCCGAGGTCACTGCACGCCGTGCTTTGACAAAAACTACGAAAAACCCTGAAACCAAACACTGCTAAGCTTGCCGCACAGCTCGTCAACCTGCCAATGCTGAGATGTGTGTCGTTTGCGGGAGAGATAAGCAAGGGAATACTTAGAAAAAAAGTTTCCATTTTAACAAAAAAATGGAATGTAACGCCGCTTATCGGCGTGATTAACTTGCGTCAGTAAGAACGTGCGCGTGGGTGGCGGTGCGCATTCCTAAAACGTGCGTCTGTGCGCACGCACGCACTCGCGCATGTTTCCGTGCGTGCATTGCTTGGCGTGGTCGAATCGCCTTCCACTCATGAATGGAATTGGGGGGGGGGGGGAAACCCCAAACATAGGACCACAGAGCTTGGGAACTTTTCTGGCGCCTTTCTGCTTGTCTGGTTTTTCCTTGCGGTTCTGTGCAAAAGATTTCGTTCTGTATGAAAACACAACATTATTTATTGCTATTATTAAACTAAAAAGGAGGCTCTTTTAATGCAGCGGCTTGCCAAATTGATTTTATTTTTGTTCTTTTCCCAACAGCATTCTGCTGGATGAAAGTGGACACATTGGACTCACGGGTGAGTTTTTTTGTATGAAGTGGATTCGCCCTTCCAATCATTGTCGTAGCATGAGAACGTACTTGTCCCTATTTGTGTGTATCCGTTTACGTTTGCTGTAGGTTTGTGTGTTTATGTTTGTACGTATGTGTGTCTCCGTGTTTGTGCATGCCCGTGTGTGTGTGTTGTGCGGAGCGGTAGTGTCGCGGTTAGCGCGCTGCACTACGATCCAGTGACACGAGTTTGTTTTCCGCTCACGGCTAATGCCAGTGACGATTATCTGAACCAGTTCTGGGCCTCCCTCAAATCAACTCGGCCTCAAATGAGTACCTCGTGCAGTGTGTAGTAAACATCCCCACTCGAGAGACAAAGGCAGCCGGGTGTGGTGCTGGCCACCCACCCACCTCCCCCCGTATGTCGTGCCGGCCTTCAAAGGTGCTCTCTAACAACACTTGGCACGTGACCCAACAGTCTGTGTTGGCTATGTGGCTGGGGGATTTTTGTCTCTGTGAGCACGTGTGTGCAAGCATGTGTGTGTGTGATTGTGTTCAGACTTTGGGCTGAGCAAGGAGTCGATTGACCACGAGAAGAAGGCCTACTCATTCTGTGGCACCGTGGAGTACATGGCGCCTGAGGTGGTGAATCGCAAGGGCCACACTCACTCGGCGGACTGGTGGTCCTTCGGGGTGCTCATGGTAACGAGCGCGACGCACACGCGTACACGCACGCGTACACAACAACAACCGCTGCCGTTCACCACCAAGTGGCGGTGACGTCACCACGGCGCTTTGTGCCAGGCTGGGTGCATTTTGAGGCCGTCGCGTGAAGTGTGGAAGGCTCGCTGGCAGGAGGTCACGGGACAGACGCAAGTTCCATGGTTTGACTGCTGTGCCAGGCTAGATGCAGGAGGTCACGGGACAGACCCAGGTGCCATGTGTTTGTTGATACTGAGATGACTGATAGATGCACCTGCTGTGCTCCACACTCTGCCACCTGGCTGCCTTTTAGCCGACCGGCACTCCGCTCGTTGTTGTGAGTGTAGCTCCTCTGCCGGTGTTCGTAGCCCTAACAAACGCTGCCCTCTCGAAACGACGCGGCTGGGCCGGCGGCAGCGCGTTCGCCGCTCGTCGCAGAGGGTCGTGGTTCGAGCCCGCCGACCGCCCCGGTTAATAATACCGGCCGTATGAACCAACAAAAATACCACACTCCATCAGCTTCACGGTGGACAGTGAGGGATCCCGCAACGTCTTTAGAGAAAAAAAGTCGGCCACGTTGACCACATTGTCACGGCGAAAACTTTGCAAGGCTTGTGAAATTACTTGGAAATGTCCTATTTATTTTTTATTGGGTACAACCACTTTGACAACATCACCCCTTAACTTGCAGACTCTACCCATCTGTGAAACATTAGCACCTTGACAGCTCATGCGCTATAAGAACGGCGCAGATTCCATATGTGAAAAATGTATGAATGTTATCAATTGAATGACCACCGTTTCCTGCCTTCCTCTTCTTACAGTTTGAAATGCTCACGGGAACGCTCCCCTTCCAGGGCAAAGATCGCAAGGAGACGATGACTATGATTCTGAAGTGAGTTTGATCGCCCTCCCAGATATTGCGAATATCTGGGGTGGTTAGCGGCTTATTTAAGCTGTGTGTGTAAGAGTTTCGCGGATGTGCTCCGTAGCTCTCCGACTTTTATTTTTCCTTACAACTCCACATCCATTGCTCAGAAACCGAATTCGGTTGAAACCCCGAACAAAATACGGACTCCCTTCCTGGACTGGCTTTTCAGCTTGTTGGTATTGTTGTGACCCGTGCTTTGCAGGGCCAAGCTAGGAATGCCGCAGTTCTTGAGTGGAGAAGCGCAGAGTCTCTTGCGAATGCTGTTCAAGAGGAACCCAGGCAATCGCCTAGGTGAGTGCCTTTGTCTTGTTTGTGCACATGTGTGTGTGTGAGCGTATGTGTGTTTGTGACTGTGGTGTCGTAGCACTTAGCGCGCTACGCTACGAACCCAGCGACCTGAGTTTGAATCCTGCTCATGGCCACTAACACTAGGGACGATTATCTGAACAGATTCTGGGCCTCCGCAAGGTCGACTCAGCCTCAAATAAGTACCTAGTGCGATGTGTAAAACCATTGTCGCTCGGGAGACAAATGCGGCCGGGCGTGATGCTGGCCACCCAGCCCCTCGTGTGCCTTTCTGGCCTTCATAGGTGCTCGCGAACAGCATTTGTCCTAACTGGTAGGGGGGATTTTTGTCTTTTTTTCGTCAACGGAGCAGCTTGGGTAAGTGTCGGGTCAAAGCAAGAACGTCTGCTGGACTAAGCAATGGCAGAGCAGCAAATAGGAGCCCTTGTCTCTGACAGCAGGACCTGCTGTTTGGAGCTGATCCATTGGCTGGACATCTGTAATCTGCGCCTGCCGTTCTTTCACTGTGGGAATGGGCATCCACCTAGGACATGTGGCAGCCTGCCTCAGCAGCTTTCCCCCTCCTCCTTCCCTCGTGATAGCGATTGCTCGTGTTGCAATCGAAACGTCGAAGCTTTTTGTTAATATTTTTGTTCTACGTGACTTTACCGAAAGACCCAAAGAATAAGCTTTACCCTGTACGACAATAATACAGGAGGTGTTCAGATGTTCAAACACTAAATAGATACCTTATAATAATTTAATCATTATTTGAATGTATAAAGCGCCCTTAAACAATCGTTCTCAGGGCACAAGGCATCGTCAAGTCTGCATTAAACACACGTCATGCTTGTGGTGAAACATGCAGACAAACGTGCTCCGATGACAATGTACACATTGTATTTTAAACTGATTGGCCTACTCCAGAGACGGCATCCTTTATGGCTTTGTCTCACCACCAGTGTCGGATCAGAGAACAATGCCAAAAGGCGAACGATATCAAATCATTAATAGCTTGCGTGTTGAGCAGTTATATCTGCTCAGTGCACCTGCATTAGTGCTGGAAAGAATAAAGCCCCCGATTCCTTTTTCATCATTCTGTTATCACTCTCCTGATTTACCATGGAGCCCCTCTTGAGGCGGGGGGGGGGGGTATGTTGGCCTACTCTTTCACACTGTACATGTTCTCCCCATGTTCTGCATGGGGTTTCCTCCCGAGCTGTGCGGTTTCCTCCGACAGCTAAAAAACAAACACGTGGTTGAGGTTCCCCCCCCCCCCCCCCCCCCTCGATGCAAGTCCAGCACGCCAGACCCTCGGGGCACGTGCGCGGCAGCGTCTTCGAACGGCGTCTTAACGGGAAGAAGGAAAAATCACAATCGTATCGCGTATCTTAACCTACTGTTTTTTCATTGTAAATGAGATTGCAATAAAATGAAAAGTTAAAATTAGAAAAAAATGTTCCAGTGCGGGAACACGAAACCTCCTCCGAAACAAGGAACTTGCTCGAGAAATGGGCAGATTTCTTGGAAATCACGGACGCGTTCCTCGATCCTCCAATCCACATCACCTCTCTTAGGGGTCCACTCGGTACATGCATCCATCCAGGGTTCGTAACAATCTGTAAAACCCTTTGACCTAAAGAGACTTGCCACAGCCCATGGCAATGTGGAATGTCCACCACTGATTTAGGGCCACCAATGGAGTATGAGCACCGACCAATCGCTTGTTTGAGCAAGTAGACACTTTGACCCGTCGAGAGTTTTACGGGAGTTTTGAGAGTCGTTCGTTGTCGCCCGCAATGACCAGAGCGAGCGCGGCCACAGCGCCCTTGTGACACAAGGCGGCAGGAGGCAGCAAGTGCTATACTGTGCAGATGATTCCCAACGAGGGTGAAACTCTGTTGTCTCGTTGTTCTCCTGCTGCTGCTGCTGTCTAGAATGCTTCGTTGGTGACACTGTTTAGCCTTGTGAGTCGGTGGTCTAGACAAGGCTGTGTGCAAGCGGTGCGGTGGTGTCACATGAGATGCAAGGCATGATGGGAGGGAGCGATCATGCAATTACAATCACGTGGTTTTCTTGTCTAGAAATCCCACCGTGTTTGTCCTGATGTGCCGTGTTATACTTTACTTTCAGGAGCTGGCTCTGATGGTGTGGAAGAAATCAAAAGACATCCGTTCTTTTCCACTATTGATTGGAACGTAAGTTTTTGTATACGTTTTACTTTATTTAGCTGATGGTGAATGGGGGAATGGATGGGCGAGCTAGTGGGTGAGTGGATTGATGCGTGGGTGATTGAGTGCAGTCATGGGTGGGTGCTTGAGTGATCGGTTGGCTGGCTGAGTGAGCAAGAATAACTTAGTGCATTTCTTGGCTGGAGATTGATTCAGCCTGTCATCATGAGGACCACATTGTGCAGAGTGATCAGTGGTTGTCCGATAAACAGATTGGCCCCTGTCACAGGAATGTGTAATTTCCACCACTGGCTCAGGGCTGCCAGCAGAGATGAGTGCCACCCCCATACATTTCATTTGAACAGAGGCATTTTGACTTGTGTTAACTTGACATTCAATGCTTATCATGCAGGCCATTGAATGCACTTTTAACAGCCATATCATGAATATGTAAATAAAATATATTACAGCACTTTGTTAATCCACTGCTGGATGAAGACATACATTGTGGGTATTGGCATTTGTTTGACCGTACTTCACCACACTGGTCAGTGCACACGTAAGTAAAGGCTGGTGGCAGGCCCAGGACCAGGTCATATGTTGCTCACCACCGATGTTAGCCATAGCCAGGAATTAAACTCGCGTCGCCGAGTTGATAAAGCACGCAATGCGCTAACCACTGTGCCTCCGCTCCCCCTGTACAGCCACTCGGAGGATCGACGTCTCATTCTGTACCGTGCGTGTCATTTTACAGAAGCTCTATCGGAAAGAAATTCACCCGCCATTCAAGCCTGCCGTAGGCCGACCGGAAGACACGTTTTACTTCGACCCTGAATTCACGGCTAAAACACCAAAAGGTGAGAACCGGGTTCCCTGTAACGGTAGCGGGGAGGAACCCTTGCGATAGAAGGCCGAATCGGACTTTCAAATACTCTTGACGGCAAAAAGCAAACGCACAAAGACAAAAACACATTAACACACAAACACACAAGGACACATTAACACACACACAAGCACACAAAGACAAAAACACATTAACAGTCAAGCACACAGACAAAAAAACACGTTAACACACAAACACACACACAAAGTGCATGTCAACTGCGTATAAAGAGATTTTTGCAGTGCCAGAAGTCATTGTCCTCGACGATAAAATTATAAAACGGTGCTATAGCCATGACATCAATAATACTCTCTCGTATCCAAAAAGTATGGCTAAGGTGGTAAATATTTATTCGTTGATTTTTTCATATATATAAAGTTCCATCAGTAAATCGATGATTTGAATGTAAGGATTATTATATTTAAACTATTTAAGCTGAAGTGACTAAATGTATTGCCAACATGAGATCACGCAACGCACTTTTAGCGGCAGTGACATCACACTGTCAACATTGCACGAAATGATTTGGGTCATTGGAAGATTTTTTCAGATTAATGAACATCGCCCTCGCTTGATATGTGTGTCTGTACAACATAAGAACAGCATGGTCAGCTGAAGCGGTCTCACGTTGTGATCCGAGCTCGCTACCCGATGCAGCGGCTTTTGGCTCGTCATCGAACAAAGACGGTCACCGCCATCGCGCGCTTTCAGACGCGCTTCTGCGGCCGTCTGAGACTGTCTCGCTTTCCGATATTAGGAAGCCACTGGAGCTATGCACTTTTATAAATCATCTAGATTGACAAACTTTATTACTCTAGAACTGCTTTTTGTGTTTAGTTTGTTGTCCTTCCCCACGCCATTGATTATCGTGGCTGCGAAAGTAGTTCAACATGCATACGTACAACATGCATACAACATACATACAACGTACATGCATACAATTCTCTCAGGCCGGCAGTGGGTAGGAGTTTATCGGTGGGCGTTCGGTCCATGTGTTGGCACGTGTAAAGAAAAATCATATCTCCGTAAACGTGACTTTTTTTGTTGGGCGGCGGAGGGTTAATAACGAGAATGTTCGGGAGTAAAACTCTCACGCGGCCGAACCCAAGATACAAATGTGGATCATTGTGTTGGCTCCATAAACGTACGTTTAAAGTTTACATCAAGAGAACATTTCTTATTTGTGGTTTATTTGTTGTCAGATTCCCCAGGCGTGCCTCCCAGCGCCAACGCTCACCAGCTGTTCCGCGGGTTCAGCTTCGTGGCGACGCCGCTGGGCGACGTCGAGGAGACGTTCGTGATGGCCACCACGCAGCTTCACCCCATCGTGCAGGTGGAGCAGCCGAGCGCTACGATCGCTCGTGCCGGGAACGCCCCGACGACGAGATGCCCGATTCACAAACACGGCCGACCGATTCACCGCCCCCCCCGCCACTCCCGACACGATTATCTGACCCAACCATCTCCGTGTTCAATTATACGTTGTTGCTCTACACCAACATCAGCCGTACGAATACAAAGTAGTAACCTCATCCTGGTCAAACGCTTCCTCATCAAAATCAGGCAAACATAGAGTTACGTGAGGTGGTGCAGCAGATTTGCAGTTAGAGGACATTATCCTCCCTGGTTAGGAGTACCTCAGCGGGATGCGTGATTAGTTGCGACTCCACGCCACTAAAGAGTACAAAGCCGGCCTGCAAGTGTTTAGTTAACGAGTCGGTTCAGCGGTGGGTGAAGGCTACGCCGCTGTGTTGCTGCCTTCTGCAGGGTCTCATTGCCTCTGTTCGATCACATCGCTGAAGAAGGCAGCGATGCAATGGATATTCACCCACTGCCATACCTAGGAGTCTTTGTCAAGGTTTTTTCCTATGTCCTGGCAGGCTCTGCTAGCAGAGTAATTTTAATAATTGTTATAACGCAATCTGTAACACTCACAATATTCCACGGATGTAAATGACCGTGACTCAAGAGGCGAGGCGCCAAACTCAGGTGACACTCAAACGCTGGGAGAAAGGAGTGGGGCCTTAGAGTATTTCTTAAAAGTCGGAGTGGATTGATCGCTGCCACTGCTGCGAGTGCGCAGTGGGGCCGTGATGATGGCCGCGTCACAACGGCGGGGGCTGCCACAGAGAAACGACGCCCGGCAGTGACCACGGCCCCCGCTCCTCTGTGTAGACAGGAGGAGGAGGTTGTGAGTCGCTGCTGCTGCTGCAAAGAGTTCCACCATGAGCTGTAGTGCAGGGCGGAGTGACAGGAGCGAGGAGCGGTACGGTGGACGACCGACAGTAGCGGCACAGTGGTGGCACAGGCAGGGGATCTTGTCGCTGGGTCCTGCTGGCGATGATGAGAAGCCAGTTGAGAGAGCGCAGGCAGGAGATGTTGTCGCCGGCCCTGCTGGCGATGGGGAAAAAACCGACTGTGGAGCGTGGCAGCAGCCGGCTATGAAACCCGGACTTAGCTATGAGTACTAAAGCTTTGTTTCCCAACAGCAGCTGCATGGCAACAGCGTGCAGTTCTCGGACGGCTATGAGCTGCGGGAGGACATCGGTGTGGGCTCCTATTCGGTGTGCAAGCGCTGCATACACAAGACCACCAACATGGAGTACGCCGTCAAGGTCTGTACGCGCGTGCGCGTGCCTGTGTGCGTGCCTGTGTGCGTGTGTGAGTGTGTGCATGTGTACGGGTTTCCTCCGAGTTCTCTGGTTTTCTCCCATAGCTAAAAGCCCACAGAATGTTGCCAAAAAGCATCCCAATGCTGTACCTGGAAATGACTCGATTGGGATCGCACGCGGTGGCAACATCATCACCCCTTTACTGCGCAAACTTAACAGGCGTGTATCTAACAGATAAGGTCTGTTTGTGTTTTTTGGGTTGTGGATTCCTTTAAATATATGGTTTGCATCCTGTTTTTAAATGTAGAAAAAGAAATAGATGGAAATCTATGAATGAATGAATGAACTATCCACACGCCAACTGTTACATTCTCTAATGTTTTGTTTACTTTGTTTTATTTTGCTGAACAGATCATCGACAAGAGTAAACGAGACCCATCGGAAGAGATAGAAATCCTTCTCCGTTACGGACAGCATCCCAACGTCATCACGTTAAAAGACGTAAGCTCGCTTTAAAATCCGCAAATTGTCTTAGGTTCGTCTCTGATAAATTATGCTCGGCCTGCGAGGTGGCCTGGAGGGTTTTACATGGCCGTGCCAGAACGGTGAACGTGCAGAGTTGGGCCAACGTCGGGGCCATCGCCGGGGCCAACGTTGACCAACGTCGGGGCCTAACGTCGACCAACGTTGGATGTTTACTGGAAGGGTGCTGAGCGCAACTGCTTTAAGAGTCTGGGTTCAAATCCAGGTTTCACCCGCCTGTGATTAAGCCGGGTTCTCTAGTGTCGTGAATTGTTGGTCTCAGCCCATTCACCAATGACCGCACACACGCAAAACCCATGACACTAAATTTGTTTTTGCACTTAAATCGGCTGAATTCTCGCTTTCAGAATGAACAAATATTTTTACTGTCGTGCGAGAAACACGGCTGTGGTTTCAATAAACTCGGCCTCTTCCAGATTTATCGAACGGGCTGGGCCCCTCGTTAACTCGTTTACAAACCCCCGTCGCGGCTCGGCGACCGTTTGGGGCCATTAGGCGCACGCGCGCGACCTTTACGCTAATTGGCTTAGGCTGGCCACACGCTGCCACGGCAGCGCAGGGGAAACAGGCGCGCGCACGTAGACACGGAGCACACGTACACAGGGCATGTGTGTACACGGGGAGCGCAAATACACATGGAGCGCGTGTACACAGGGAGCGTGCGTACACGGGGCACGTGTGTACATGGGGAGCGCACGTGCACACCGCGTGTGTACGGGAGCGCACGTACACACAGCGCATGTGTATACAGCGAGCGCGCGTACACGGGGCATGTGTGTACATGGGGAGCGCACGTGCATGCGTGGAGCAGCGGGAGCTCAAGGCGATGACACGAGCCAAAGAGTTCTCTCGGCTGAAGGGGCTGTGCCTGCAGGTGCTGTTGGCAAAGCGCATATTGGGGTCGGCGTGACACGAGTTTGCAAAGGGGCTGTGTGGGCAACATCGCACGCACACACGCACGTGCATACGCGGGATCTGGCCATTTCAGGCTGAGTAGACCTACAGGGGTAGGTGCTTGTCATAAGACAGTGCGCACACACGTACGTAGTCACGGACACACACATCAACACAAGTACAAATACACACATCCATGAATACGCCTACAAAAAGGAGAAAGATCTCCCATGTAGCCTACAATAAAATGCTTTTAGCGAGCACCTATTAAGGCTGGCACGGTGTACGACGGAGTGATGTTGCCAGCACTACTCCCGGCCGTGTTTGTCTCCCCAGTGCTGAGGATTACACACTTGTACCAGTTACTCATTTAAGGCTGATCCAGTTCAGACATTCGTAATTGATGTTGGCTGCAAGCGAGAATCGAACTCGGGTTGCCGGGTTCATAGTGCGGTTGTGCTAACCCACTGCGGCACTGCTTCCCACATACACCGACAAGACAAAGATCTCTGTATAGCCTTAACAGACTGTAGGGGCAAGTGCTGTTAGCGAGTAGCACCTATGAAGGCTGGCACGGCACACGAGGGGGTGGGTGGCCAGCACCACGCCCAGCCGCCTTTGTCTCCCTAGTAGCAATGTTTACACACTGCACCAGGTACTCATTTGAGGCCGAGTCGACCTAGGGGAGGCCCAGAACCGGTTTAGATAATCATCATTAGTGTTGGGCGTGAGCAGGAATCGAACTCGGGTTGCTGGATTCATAGTGCACGCTTGCTAATCAGTGCGGCACTGCTCCCCACATACACCTCCAAACACTCGCACGCACGCATGAACTCTCTTAGCCCCAGTCGTAAATAGCGCCTGTGACAACCCCTTTGTCAGTAATGGCCTGTGAGTGGATGGCCTGAAAGGGCTTTTAACTCTCCCTACTTGTATGTACACGGTGTACGGGCTGCTGAACAATGGCCCAGCGGTCGGAGCACTCGCCACCAAAAGCACTTTGCACATATCCGATGGTTCGATTCCTGCCGCAGGTGCACGGGAATTAATTTCCAGGCGACACTGATGGTGTAATTTACAACTTTACCCCACTACATTGCTGCTATTTTGGCCAATTCATGGTTGGTGAGAATTGCAATCTTGAATTCTCAGTGATGTAGCTCTAGGATGGTGATGATTAAAATAATGATGATGATGATGATGATATCTCTAGGTCTACGATGACCATGACAGCTTGTACCTCGTCATCTCTAGGTGTACGACGATGGGAAGAGTGTCTACCTCGTCACAGAGCTCATGAAGGGCGGGGAGCTGCTGGATAAAATCCTGCGGCAGAAGTTCTTCTCGGAGCGCGAGGCCAGCGCGGTGCTGCAGACGATAGCGCGCACCGTAGAGTATCTCCACTCGCAGGGGGTGGGTGCACTTCTCTCGGACGCACTCGCGTACACACATCAACCACTCACGCACGTACACATAGTAATCACTCATGCATGTACACATAGTAATCACGCACACACACACACAGCAATCACGCACGCACACATAATTATCACTCACGCACACACACACAGCAATCACTCACACATGTACACATAGTAATCACTCACGCATGTACACATACACACAGCAATCACTCACGCACGCACACACACACAGTAACCACTCATGCAAGCACACACCCAGCAATCACGCGCACACACACACACACAGCAATCACTCATGCACGTACACATAGTAATCATTCTCGCATGTACACACACACTGCAATCACGCACGCACGCACACACAGCAACCACTCGCGCAAGCACGCACACACAAGCAAGCAATCGTGCACATACACACAGAAACCACTCGCACGCACGCACACACACAGCAACCACTCACGCAAGCACGCATACACAAGCAAGCAATCGTGCACATACACACAGAAACCACTCGCACGCATGCACACACACAGCAACACCGCGCCGACCACACGCGCACAGCCACTCATGCCGCCTTGCGACTCCCTCCTCCTCCTCCTCTTGTCCCTCTTCCTCTGCCAGGTGGTGCATCGAGACCTGAAGCCGAGCAACATCCTGTACGTGGACGAGTCGGGGAACCCGGAGTCGCTGAGGATCTGCGACTTTGGCTTCGCCAAGCAGCTGCGCGCCGAGAACGGGCTGCTCATGACGCCGTGCTACACGGCGAACTTCGTGGCGCCCGAGGTGAGAGAGCGCGTAGCCGGCTGATGTTTCACTCGTGGCTTCCACTCGAGGATTCGCATGTGTGGCTGCCATGTCTGGGCAAGCACGGAGCCCCTTGCGCTTCCAATGCCCTGCTGCTGTCATAACGCGCAAGCATTGGCCTGCAACGGAGCGTTAGCCAGTCAGGGCGACTGTTGCTATGTCTCTCAATTTGAGAGTAATTTTTCAAGTTTTAACCACGATGCGTGTGTATGAGGCTATGGGGAGCGGTGGTGTAGTGGTTAGCGTGCTGCGCTACGAACCTAGCGACCCGAGTTCGATTCCCGCTCACGGCCAACACCAGTGACGATTAATTATCTGAGCTGGTCCTGGGCCTCTCCTAGGTCGACTCGACCTCAAGCGAGTACCTAGTGCGGTGTGTAAACATCGCCACTGGGGAGACAAGGGCGGTCGGCCGTGGTGCTGGCCACCCACCCCCTCGCGTGCCGTGCCAGCCTTCATAGGTGCTCGCTAACAGCACTTGCCCCAACAGTCTGTTAAGGCTACATGGGGGCTCTTTGTCTTTGTATGGAACTATGGTGGAGAGCGGTGGTTCTCGCGCAACAAACCCAGTGGGCCGAGTTCATTTCGCAGCGTTGGCGAACTTCAGTGATGTGCAGAATTATAACTGGTCCGGTCCTGGGCCTCCCTTAGGTCAACTCAACCTTAAATGAGTGTAAGGACATTGGCATTCCTGAGACAACGGTGGCTGGGATTAGTTCTGCCCCTCCCCCCCCCCCCCGTGTTGCCATGCTGACCTTAATAGCTGCTTACTGACAGCAGTTGCCCCTGCAGTCGATATGGATACATTGATTGTACTACTTTGTTTGCACGCGTGGGTGTTTTGTCTGCGTAGGTGCTCAAGAGGCAGGGCTACGATGCAGCGTGCGACATCTGGAGCCTGGGAGTTCTGCTTTACACCATGCTGGCTGGGTACGCTCGCACCTCGCACGCCATCACCGCAGTGGCTTCAGCCGTAAACGATGACTGCAACCAACTCGAGTGAGGGAGCAACTTGGACGGCGTGGCCAGGATCCACAGATAGAGCGATATTATGGCCAGGATCCACAGATAGAGCGATATTATGGCCAGGATCCACAGATAGAGCGATATTATGGCCAGGATCCACAGATAGAGCGATATTATGGCCAGGATCCACAGATAGAGCGATATTATGGCCAGGATCCACAGATAGAGTAATATTATGGCCAGGATCCACAGATAGAGTAATATTATGGCCAGGATCCACAGATAGAGCGATATTATGGCCAGGATCCACAGATAGAGTAATATTATGGCCAGGATCGACAGATAGTAATATTATGGCCAGGATCCACAGATAGAGCGATATTATGGCCAGGATCCACAGATAGAGTAATATTATGGCCAGGATCCACAGATAGAGCGATATTATGGCCAGGATCCACAGATTGAGCAATATTATGGCTCTATCTGTGGATCCTGGCCGCTGTTAGAACAGGCAGCAGCCAGGCAATGAGCTGGCACCAACAGTCGCCCAAGCTCTGCAATCCTCTACACATTAAAGGTGTTCAGCCAAATAATGTGCGTTCACACACACACGCCATGGCGCCCATTGGCGGTCCGTGTTGATAGCACCATGCAGTTGTGTTAGTGGGAATAAAACAACTCGATTCCACTATCTTGGCTAATTACAGCCACTTTGTCAATCCCACTGCTGGATGAGGCCGCCCCCCGCACAGTGGCTGTTATTTGACCATACTTCACCGCACTGGTCAAGTGCAGGTTGATGAAGGCGGAGCGGGGGAGGAAGCGTAGCGGTGGGAGGCTATAGAGGACAGAAGTAGAACGGTGAGACGTACCTCGTGTCCAGCGAGGAACGCTGCAACCCTGTGACACCCAGCTTGTGCATGGTGGTCATTCATCCACGCAGTGTCCAGGCTCATCCCTGCTTAGCTTCTGAGATCAGACTGGGCACTCTCTCAGTGATTTTTCTCAATCACGATCATCAGATTCTTAATTTAGACTGCAGATGTCCAGTTGGGGCGGGTCAGAAAGTTCCAACAATACCAAACACGAATAACGTATATAAGTACAAATTGCTGAAGTATGTCGACGACAACAATAATAATTATATAAAACATTGCTGCAATTAAGTTGTTCGTGAACTTGAAATGGAATCGCTCTACTTTTTTTTACGAGCATCACCCATCATTTATTTGTTTATTGACAAATGTAGCGAGTTTATTTTTCGAATTGTCCTCCTCTGCATTTGCATCCCCCCCCCCTCTCCTGGCGGGCGCCAGGCACACGCCCTTCGCCAACGGGCCCGACGACACGCCGGGCGTGATCCTGACACGCATCGGCAGCGGACGCTTCCTGCTGTCCGGCGGCAACTGGGACACGGTGTCCGAGGCCGCCAAGGTAGCAGACGCACGCGATTGTTGTCGCAGGAAAGCCGTGGCGAGTCTCCCGGCTCCTTTGGGAAGGGTCCTGGGCCGTCAGTCCACCCTGCGCGCGTGCCTGACTATTGTTCAACGCGTCCGACTTGGACGCGCGTTTTGCGTGGTGCGCACTCGTGCAGGACCTGGTGAAGAAGATGCTGCACGTGGACCCGCACCAGCGCTTCACGGCCGCCCAGGTGCTGCGCCACCCGTGGATCGCGCTGCGCGACACGCTGCCCCAGTGCCAGCTGACTCGGCAGGACGCGGCGCTTGTCAAGGTAGGAGGCAAAGACAAAGATCCCCCGCATAGCCTGAACAGACTGTTTGGAGAAGTGTTGTTGGCGAGCAGCTACGAAGGCCGGCACGGCACACGAGGTGGTGGGTGGCCAACACCACGCCCGACCGCCTTTGTCTCCCCAGTGGCGATGTTTACTCGACACCGCACCAGGTACTCATTTGAGGCTGAGTCGACATAGGGGAGGCCTAGTACCGGCTCAGACAATTGTCACTGGTGTTGGCCATGAGCGGGAATTGAACTCGGGTCGCCAGGTTCATAGTGCAGCGTGCTAACCGCGACGCTACTGCTCCCCACAAGGTAGGAGATCCCACCCACATGCGTACGTGCACCCAGATCCCCACACTTGAACACACTTGGCGGAAGTGTTGTTGGTGAGCACCTACGAAGGCCTGCACCACACCCGGCAGCCTTCCTTTCCCGAGTACCGAGGTTTACACACAGCACCAGGTAAAGGCTGTTCTAGAACGCGAATTGGATATAACGCGATTGAGTGAGCAGAACTACGTGGCGCGAGTAGGAATTAGCGGTTGTACGGCCTGCATATGCATCTCATGTGGTTATTGCGGACTATGCTTTACCCTATATTTTTCCATAATACGGTGTTTTTCATGAACGCAACTACTGCGTTATAGGAGAATTATACTCTACTCGTTTGAGGCCGAGTCGACCTAGGGGAGCCCCAGTACCGGTTCAGATAATCGTCACTGGTGTTGGTGGCCGCGAGAGGGAATCGGGTCTCGTACGCGCAGCGTACACACACGGAACAAACCCACTTTATAGAATCACACCACAGTCGGCCACACACATTCACAAACGCTCCCTCTTCCACCCGCCCCCTCGCCCTTCCCACAGGGCGCTATGGCCGCCACCTACTCAGCCCTGCACCACACGCTGGCCCAGCCGGCGCTGGAGCCAGTGGGCTCCTCCACCCTCGCCCAGCGCCGCGGCATCAAGAAGATCTCGTCGACGGCGCTGTGAGGCGGCGGCGGCACCACCGCCTCCTCCTCCCTCCCCCCCTCCCCCCTCCCACGCGCCACTTTCCCCTCCTCCGTCGCCGCACCGCAGGGCGCAAGCCACCCCCCTCCCCCTCCTCCCCGGGCGTCGTCTCTGCGGGGACGCGGGCGTGGAGAGCGCCGACCTCCCAGCTCGACGCGGAACGCCGAGGCTGCCAAAGAAACGACGATCGGCCGCCGGGGGGGCGGGGGGGGGGGGGGCGGGTGCGCCGACCGGGCAACGCGCGGCGAGAACGCCGTGCCGTGCCGCGCTCGCGGCAGTGGCGACGGGCAGGGGGACGCCCCGGGCGGTCGTGGAGATGGCGGCAGCGCCACCTGGGCGGGCGCAGAGAGAGCGGCGCGGCTCACGACCCGCACCCGGACTCCTCATCGCGGTCGGTGTTGCCGGTTGGACCCGGCCACCGTTTACGTTCCGCCGCGGCGGTCGCGGGGGGGCGCATGGACACGTCGAGCGTGGTGCCGCACCGCGGAGCTCCCCCGCTGGGACGTGAACGTCTCCGGCAGCCGCGTCACGAAACGAGCTGGAGCGGCGTGGGGAGCGGGAGCGGCGTGGGGAGCGGGCGTGGAGTGGGGAGCGAGCGAGCAGTGAGCGCGGAACGAGCTGCGTCGGTGGGCGCGTGGTCGAGAGCCGAGGCGGAGCCACGCGCATTGCGTTCTCGTGCAGCCCGCACCGGGACGGACACGTCGGTGGCGGCGATGCCGCGCGACGTCCGGTCAAGTGCACGCGGGCCGACCGCCCAACGTACAACTTTCCCTTTTTCCACTACGACCCTGATGGAGGCCGCCCCCCCCATGCCCCGGCTCTCGCGAAGCCTTGAGGAACGTAAATTAGGAACGGTCGCAAACCGCCGTGCTGCATCCTCTCTCTTCCAAAAGCACCCACCCATAGCTCACATCCCGCCTTCCTCTGCTGATTCGCAAACGATTTAAGAAAGGCGCGAATGTTTACGCACGACGCAGCGAAGTCTTTTCCTTTCTTTTTGTACAAGCGCCTTCAATTCTCACCTGGGACTTGACCACCCAACATGGGCTAAATGTTTATTCTATTGAATTATCATCAATTGTTTGTATTTGTATTAAAAATATTACAAAGCTTTATTTAATGAGGCGGGGGGTGGGGGGGTCGTTTGTATGACGTGGTCTTAGATGGGGGGGTGGGCGGGAGGCGGTGATGGGGGGGGGATACGATTTCAGGTTGATTAAAAACACCGCCAAAGTGACCCTGGTCTAAATCGCCAACTCGGTTTAAAGTGCTGCCCATAAGGAGACGTGGGGGGGGATGGTTGTGATGGGTTTAAATTGAGGATGTTTTTGTACAAATTCAGGAGAAATGTGCTTCCCCAATTTTCTATAGAAGTCGGACACAGGACAGTTTTGAGTGTGCGTGCTTTTGCCGTTTCCATTGCCTGTTGTGCGTGCGTGCGTCTGTGTGTGTGTATATATGCGGTGAATGCTAACGCACATCTGCGTGCCAGATATATAATTGATGCAAATTGATGTAAGTTCATTAAAAACTGCGGCTCAAAAAATTAAGGATTTGGGAAAGCTAGGATGCTCAGGATTTACCAGGATTCATGGAAGTGCCTCAGGCTCAGAGCCAAGTTAAGGCACACTTACCAGATGTTGGACCTGAACATATTTCTCTAGATCAGTGGTTCTTAGCCTAGGATGCACGCGCCCCCTGGGGGTGCGAGACGTGGCCAGAGTGTTTTTAGAAGGTAAATAATCGAAAACACAAATTAAGAAGCACGGGCAGGTAAGTACAACTACTTCTTTTCATCAAACCTCTGTATTTATTAACATTGTACATTTTTTTTTACGAATGAGAACCTTAGGGGGGGGTTGCAAGGCTGCGGTAAAGGTTAAGAACCACTTCTCGAGATCAACTCCAGCCTCCCGCACATCACGTGGCCTCTGTGGCCAACCCCACCTCAGAATCCCCTCCTCCTCCCACAACCCCCGTGTGGAAACAGACGCTGCTCCACCCTCTGTCTCTCAAACTTTCATCACAGACATCTTGAACCCTGCCCTCTGTGGTCGTCCTGGGGACTTGTGTCCGAGCGGCTCCTCACATCCCCGTTTCCCGGTCATCCTCTTCTCTCCGTCCCCCTCCCGTCCCCTTCTTCGCCCGTGCATTAACACCTTTGACCCCACTCCCCTCCCCGTGGTGTTGCCGCGGACGCATCATTTTTATTTCGTATAAAAATAACGAGTCCCATTGTAACGGGAGGTTGCTTTTTTGCGGAGTTCCCAAATAAAGACCACTGCTGACAAAGATGGCAATCGACGGAGACCCTTAACAGGAAGTTTCTGTAAACACACCGATGGATTTTGTTCAGTCTCCATCTGGTGCCACATACACCACGTGTAGTCCACCAGCCCACGCCAGATACTTCACTTAGGGTGGCATAACTTCAGTGGTTTCAGTTTCTTTTTGCGGGCCAATAACAGTGAATAGCGTGCCAACCGTTTCAAATGAGTGGGCTACGAAATGATTCGCTCTCATTAGCCTCACAAATACATGGGTACCGCTCACGTTTGACCAACTTAAGTGGTACAGACGTGTACTCCGGCCCATGGACTAGCAGGGCAGAGCCGCCACTCCCTTCAGCCCGTATGACCAGCGTGGTGAAGGACAGCCAAATAAATCCCAGGCATTTGCACTACCACCCTATTCTGGCCCACCAATGTAGCCCCGCAGCCTATAGCACCTGTTAGGAATTGAGGTCACCCATCCAAACACTGTCCTGGCTCAACCTTTTTCAGCTACGAGGTCTGACAGTGATTGTCGTAGGCCCGTAAGAATACATACGTAGTATTTGTTAACTTTCACATGTGTGCGTTAATGTGTGTGTGTGCGTTTTACGAATACACGTGTACATATATGCACGTGCGTTCGTATATTATAGATCTGTGTCCGCTGTACGTGCGTGTGTGTATGTCCGGATACTCTATACCTGAAGACAGTTCAGTGAAGCTTACCACTAGTTTTTTTTTTACCATATTACTAAATAAATTAACGTTCATAAAATACATTCGAAGCCATATTCCTTTTAAGTCATGACATCTGCATCGGCCATAATGTAGTTCGCTTGATCCCCGTGTCGACCAAGTCTGGGAAGTCCGTTTCGCTTCATATTTGAGAGTTCATCGGCCGTGATTAGCAAAAGTCAATGTCACGTTTGCCGCATTTGTTTGAGACGGTTTGTTGAACGCCGACGGCTGCAGTTGGGAGCGGCTGATCGCGTTAAATGCGGGGGGGGGGGGACATTAAAGCGTCGTAGCTTTAAGTAATTGTCTAAGTCGAGTTGAGGACTATTTGTCGGCGTTCACATTGCATCGGTCAATTGTTGCCGTGGCCTCCGTTGTAAGTCACTGCGCGCCGTCAAGAATACTTGGAGCTGACGACGCTGGTTGCGGCTGAAGCCGGCGGGAGACGTTGGCGGAGCGCGTGCACATCGCCCGCCCGCGCCGGTGGCGCTCGCCACGTTGGCGACGCTCGTTTTGTCATGCGGCAGATTCGTTCGTTGGCCGTTGCCGGGTGGTGGAGGGCGCACGGCACGTTTTTTTCCCCTACTCGGCAAACCCGACCCAAAAACCATTTGCGAATCAAAATAATCGGTCACGAAAGCCTGAGGGTTGAAAATGCTTTAACTCGACCTTATTTTTTGTTTCATTTGTCACTTTACAATCATTCCTATCTCTTGTCGAAAATGCCCAGCATCTCGTGGTTTTAACGACCAGGCAGTGTGAAGCATGCAACAGTTTTGACGGCGATGCCGGCATGCACGCGCGTGACCTACGGCCGCTGCTTTTAACTTGCATCACGGGGGGGTGGGGGGGGGTCGTTTCACGTCCGCTGGCGATGCAGACGGCCGCGGATGTTACGGTCCAATGCACCTCGCGGTATTAACGAGGGTGGACGCTGGCCTCGGAACCTCGGCAAAGCTTCTCGCTCCGTTACCGAGATGGCGGGAGCGTTCCGACAGCATCCACAAGAGTCAGATTCAAGTCGGTTGTCGGCACTCGCGAGGCCCGCATGGCACGGTGCGTGCCGCTGGAGGAGCTCGGAGTGCCGAGCGTGCACGTGCGTGTCTGGGGGAGAGGCTCTGGGACGTCGCCGACGCCTCTAACGCCGGGGGTGCTCGGCTCGGGGCATTCTCACGACGGGGATGTCCGGCGTGACAACACATCGGTCGAGACCCCCCCCCCCCTCCCAGAAAGTGGCACACCTCCTGGCTCTGACATAGCTCCTCGAAGACGCTGGCGAGACCGTCAACGGCATCGGAACATCGACAGGCCAAGGCGGACATCTCTATGAACGGAAAGTGTAAAGACACGAGCCACAATGGCGCTACAGTGAACCCCCCACTGTGGTCGTCTGCACTCCTTTCACGCGGGACGAGGAGGAGGTGCGGCGGAACGACGCGCTCTCTCTCTCGCTGTCCTGAAGCCCTCTCGTGACCAGCAGCAGCAGCAGCAGCACACCCCGACGTTGGCTTTAGTTCCTGGACAATTCAAAGCGGCGGAGCGTTTTCTGGGTTATTCGTACGACAAACACTCCGTGACCTGTTGGAGGCCATCCTGTGCAGGGCACTCGAGAAACTTCAGAAAACTGAATATTTTTTTTTACTCCAATCATCTCTTTACTTTGGACGGGGGCTCCACCATTTCACTGCAAGCGGAGGAGGAAAGTCCCGTCAGCCACACCGTGGGACTCCAGCCGATGCCATCCAGGAATCCAACCGATGCTGTCCTTTTCAAACGGACACTTGCAAAGTGCTGCTGTATTATAACGCATCCCGTCTCAGACTAATGAAGACATATATGCAAACGTCTCAACACCTGCGTGTGTGTGTATTCGGTGGGCTGTGTAGGGTGATTAGGCTTTAAAGAGTGACGTAGCTCCCCCTCCGATTGTGGCATTCGCAGCACGTACACACGCATCTGAATGCGTCCATAGATGAATGCACTAAGGGTCGCCGTGAAGACCCTGTAACAGCATTGTGTGTGTGTTGCCTAGGATGTCAATACAACACGTGTACACGTACCTTTATGCAGTACTGTGTACGCTCTACACACGTGTGTGTACAATACATTAGAATAAGTTACAGCCATTTTGTCAATCCACTGCTGGATGAAAGGGAGGTGGAGGGGGTTGGCGGGGCGGGTGCGTTTCGCTATACTTCACCACACTGGTCCACGCGTGGTTGTGCAGGAGGCACAGCACAGGGACTCTTGCCACTGATGGTGGCCGTGGGCGGGAATCGAATTCACGTCGCCGGGTTCTTGGCGCACTGCGCTAATGCGGCGCGTTGTGTACATACTCTGTATATGTATATACTTGCATATGTTCGTGTGTACAGATAAAACACTGTCTGTCGTACTCGTGCGCACATCCCCTCGTGTTGTGTTCGTTGTTACCCGTGTAAGATTGAAGTCGTAGCCCACTCATTTCAAGTCCAGCGTTTCAGTTGTGTGTCACTTGGCTTACACCGTCGCCTTCCACGTGTCTTCTATATATGGGCAGAACTAAGATGTTCTTGTTTTTAAACTCAGCTTTCTTGTGGCCCTAATATCATAATCTTGAAGAAAATAAATCCATTGTTGCCCAACACTCAACTCCTACCGTTATTGGCATTCATAGAAAACAGGAGAGGCATTGACAAACGTGTCTCAAGCTCCTGCTAAAATACGCGTGCTCGGTCCGACGTGGGGGGGGTTTGCGTGCATCTTGCACGGGTGGGGGGGGGGGGATGTCCCCTCTTGGGCGAGGCAACAGCGAGCCGCTTATCGCCCGGAAATCTGTGAGTCTGCCCCAGGACGTTAAAAGTCGTCAGTTGCCGACTCGGAATAATAATATAATGAATCACCCACCACTCGAGGCAATGCATGTACAGAACATACAGCTCCCCCCACCCATCTCTTTGAGATGTTAAAAGTCCAAACCCCCCCCCCCCCCGCTCCTTGTAGCCCGGTCCACGGCCCTAGCGCAGTTGCACCGCCTGCACACGACTCGGTCGCTACGCCGCTGGGCCACATGGGGGATTTTTACTATTATTTGTGGGGTGGTGGTTTACGCCAAATCGTCTTGCGGTGACCGCGTGGAAGTTGTCTTGCGAATGTCTCGTGAACAACTGCGGGGGTTTGCGCCGCGGTTGGCCACCGAGCAGTACGGACGCGGCAGCGGTGGTGGTAGTGGCGGTGGTGGTGGTGGCGGTGGTGGTGGACACCTTTGGACGGGCGGCGCGTCACAGGGCGGACGTTTTGGTCGCCGACAGCACGGGCAGGAGGTGCTGGCGGGCTTCGCCAAATTGTGCCCGTCGCGCGGCGTCCACGACGACGTCCGCCCGTCCTCCACCACCTCCTCCTCCACCTCCTCCTATGCCGGACGGCGCAGGAGGAGGTGGAGGAAGCGCGGGCCTCGTTTGATGTCAAAAGCGCGCTCGCCCGGGCAGACGGGAAACGTTTCGACGGTCGCATCGAACTGAAGCAGTGGTGGAATTTCCACATTCTCGTCGCGGGTGCGAGTCTCGACAGGCCAATCGGCGTTGACGTCATCGCACGTTGTCCACACGCGCGGTCGGCTCCCAGAAGGGTTTATTTTTGTTTGTTGTTGTTGAACATTTCACTTTTGCTCAAGTTGCAATTGAACGAAATGAGGAGCGTCGGGCTCGTTGGCGAGTGTGCGTCGGCGCGTGGAGGCCGACCGAAGGCCGCGTCTAAATACATCGCCACGCACGGCAGACCAAACCGGAGACTCAATAGATGATGAACGGCGTCCTGTGGCCCACGCGTATGTGGCCACATTGTTTTCTTTTTTACTCGGTTGCGTTGAAGTTGATGGGGCGTTCCACCTCCAAATTAAAACATTAAAAAACTGACAATCTCCGCCGATAAAAAATAATAATTTGAAACTGAATTCATACGAGTATGTAACGACGGGAGTAAATCGATGGCTTAAATGATGTTATGTATTAATTTGTTTGTACTATTTAATGCCTTTTTAACTGTGCGTTCGTTGTTATGGATGGCGACGTGGGTTTTCTTTGGAGTGACGCGGAATTGTGAAGGTGCCTGAGATGGCCGAGTGGCCCAGACGCGAGGCACCACCAGGCCACGACGCGCCGAGGGCGGGCGGGGGGGGGCACTCTTTGTCGCAGACGTAAGAGCAGAGTGGTGAGCAGAACGCGATTGCAATGGTTGACGGAAAAAAAGGTACTGACCAAAATGTAATACTGTATTTATAAAAAAAAACAAATGTCACATTCATATTTTTTTTTCTAGGGTTATTTTATTAAAGTGATGAGGAAATGTTTTTATTTTAAGCCGTATTATTTTTGGTTCACGGTTAGTGTCTTTTGGGTTTCGTTTGGTGTTCTATAAATGTCACACATCTCACGGTAGCCCGCCACCACCAGACAGAGCCGATCAAAGCGAGTTGTCACGTCATCGCCAAATGTGCCATGTTCAAGAAGCAGGCTGGAGATGATGGCCAACAGCTCGGCTCTCTCGCCAAAAAGAAAACTCTTTTCGAACCTTCACACGGGGTCGTAAAAAAAACGCCTGCGTCTAAAGTTAACCGCATTGTTTCGCCACGTAAATCTTACCGTGCGGGTGGACATGGAGTTGGTTGTTCTGAATTATGACGAAACCCGTGGTCAATCCTGATAACAGATTGCGCCTCCTGCCATGGAAACGTGGAATTTCCACCAATGGATGAGCATCGTCGACGCTCGCTTTGTCAGGGATAACTCATTTTTTTTTAATGATTACAAGTTTGGTGCCCACGGTTTTAAAACAAATAAAAGTGTAGTCCCCCCCGAGCGCACTCAGCAGTGGCGCTGCCGCGTCACGGCGGAAGTCGCCTCGGTGATGAGACGCGGGCGACGTCGAGAGAGACGGCGGCGACGTCTCGCACCCTTCCCCAAAGCGATCGGAGAGAGAGAGGGGGGAAAGGGGCGGCCACTGAAAGCAAAACGTCTAATTTAAACGTGTATCCGTATTTGTGGTTGTTCGTAGTTAGGTTTTTATTTAAGTGTTTTTATAGCACGTTACAAAGCGTCGCGTCTGTTTTTAAAGAAGACGAGGGGGGGGAGCGTGTCCACTCGTTCAGCGGCACAATTTCAACAACAACACAATAACAAGTCTGTACTCTTTCCCGTGTACGCACCCGTATACCGTCGAGCATGGTTGTGTACATTTCTTAAAATGTCTTGAACTTGTGGTGAAGCTTTGGGTTAAAGGTTTATTGTAAAGGGTGGCGGGTTTTCAATGTGCCTGTAGTCGCCGCCTGTCGCTCCTTAGCCATCGTCTCTCTCTCGCTCTCTGGACTCACCTTCAATCCTGGCTCTGGCATCGAGAATGCAACATCTCCCCAATCTACTGCGACAAAGAACTTTGCGCAAACATCGGTCGTCAAAATTGTCGACGGGAATAACGCGGGGTGTGTGCGCGCGCACACAAGGCCGTGACTTGCAGGGCAGAGAGGTGGGTGGCAGTACCAGCAAGTAGGTTTGCTAACCCTGTACATAAAAAAGCGTGCGTTCGTGTCACGACATGCGCGTGTGTTTTGTCTGGTAGCGGTTTGCGCGCTGCGCTGAGAAAACCGGCAACCCGAGATCGGATTCCCGATCATGGGCCAACACAAGTGACGATTATCTGAATCGGTCTTGTGTTTCCCTCCCTGGTTCACTAGGCCTCAAATGAGTACTTGATTCGGTGTGTAAACATCAGCACTGGGGAGACAAAGGCGGCCGGGCGTGGTGTTTGGCCACCCACCTCTTGTGCTGTGCAGGCCTTCACTAGGTGCTCGCTAACAGCACTTCTCCCCACAGTCTGTTGAGGGTACACGGGGGATCGTTGTCTTGTGGATAATCCGGTTTCCACCCCATACGAAATAAAATAAAAAAAGAGTAAAGTTCATGAATTAGACAAACTTTCCAAGGCAGGGCCCTCCTGGAAAACGGAGACTCAGCGAGGCTTTCCTGGAAAAAAAATAACGAAGCTCTGCAAATAACTGTTTAATGACTGCCTTTTTGACCTCAGCGGGAAAATAATTTTGCAAGGTTCACTTAAAAAAAAAATTACTCGTAAAAAAGTCAAAACAGCATCTGCTACTCGCATATCCCTACTGTTAAAACGTTGTAAAAAGTCGTCCCGAGCATCTCTGATGAAGGGTTCTTCTGCACGTTGTCCATCACCGCACGCTAAGAAAGACCATCGCTCATGAAAAATGAAAGTAAAAAAATGCAATGTACAGAATGTTATTGTTTTGAAGTGTACATTTTCTTAGACTCAATGGTGTAAGCAAGATTTAATGTTATACTGCTGCATCGGCAAACGAAAGTGTTTTTTTTTTCAATTAATATTTTTCCATTTGGTTATTGTTATTGCTACAGCTGGCAAAATTTTAAATAAAAAAACTGGACGCAAGACACCCCCCCCCCCTAAGCAGATACATCAAGGAAAATTATTTTAAGATCCATATGCTAAGACTGAGAGCACACATTTTCCACTGCCACATCCGAACCGAGCCAACGTGGGTTTCCACGCAGAACGGTTGGTGTTTTAATTTTCCATTGAGCATTTGCAGAGAAGCCACAACGCACAACCGTGCCATGCTGCCCTCAGACTCCGATCCATCGTCTGGCCCAGCTGTACTGGAAAGAGTACAGGGAGACCGGATGTGAGAGGCTGTTCGGACGGCTTCTTTCGTGTGGATTAATAACAGCAGAGTGAAGATGCGGCTTTTAATTTCGTATCCACTCGGTTCAGGAAACGGTTTTGGGGATCCGTGTGTCTCGCACAGCGCTGGGAGGGAACAGGTTTTGGCACCGTGTGCGTGCACGGGATGGAGTTTCCCCTCTCGACCGCACGAGGTTTCGCCCGCCTCACTCCCCGACCTCCAGTGACTCTGTGAAGCTGTCCGCTAACAAGGATTGTTACTCTCTCTTAGCGTCCCATTCGAACGGACCCTCCATGTCGACTTCAACGCATGTTTAATTGCATGCATGTCCGGCGATAATTTTTAACCTTTTTTATTTTGTCCCCGTTCAAATTTTTTGCCAGCTGCTAAAGGGATGATGCTCATTGTGGACGTTCTGTGTCATGTAGAGTGCGGGTACGGTCACGCAAAAAAACAAATGAATCGATGTAATTATTATTTTTGCTCGACCAAAATCGCTTTAGTGTAAAGATAAAAAAAAACTACTTTACGAGATGTGATATTTTTATACACCTGCAACTCTTTATACTTGGACACTGCGGCATGGCTTCTGAATAAAGGCAAAGTACATTTCACCCAACATCTACCATCTCTCTCTCTCTCTGTGCATAGCGCTGATTCTGCTGTGCAGCCTCACAAGACTCGGAGGGGCACCCATTGGGGGCCGGGACGGCACACGCGGGAATGGGTGTCGAGAGCCACTCGGGCGCCTCCGTCTCCCCCAGTGGCGATGTTTACACAACGCGCCATGCAAGTCCGTGTCGACCCAGGGGGGGGGAAAGGGCGTAAACCGGTTCAGACAATCGTCACTGGCGTTAGCCGTGAGCGGAAATCGAACTAGCAACTCGCATTCGCTGGAGGTTCGTGCACAGCGCGCTAACCACTTGCGCCACGGCTCCCACCCACGCAGCCCCTGCGTGTCCCAGTGGCCCCCTCGACACAAAGATGCAGCGGCCAGTCGGGTGGTGGCCACCCCTCTCCACCCCCGCCTCCTGACACGCCGTGTTGCGTGCACGCGTTACCCGCACGCGTTACTCACACGCCCAGAGCAGCCACGGGTTCAGCTCGGTGGGCCTGGGTGCTTCACTCCTCGCACTCGACCCCCACTACGACCTCCACCGGCACCTCCCCGGGGTCGCCCACGGTCCGATGCCGAGAGCTCCGAGGCATTCTGCGTCACGGTGAAGCGCACGGAGCGATGTTGAGTAACGAGGTGAGAGGCCAGGATGTGCAAGAGTGACCCTGGGTGAGCGAGTGGGTGAGCGACTGGGTGAGCGAGTGGTCGAGCGAGTGGTTGAGCGAGTGGGCGAGCGACTGGGTGAGCGACTGGTTGAGCAAGTGGGTGAGCGAGTGAGTGAGCGAGTGGGTGAGCCAGTGGATATCGGGTGGGAACTCGGTAGACCAGGATGGTGTCAGGCGGATTGTTACACGGCAAGCCCGTGAGATACGGCAGCAGATTGGGGAGGCCCTCCTCATCCAGCAGTGGATTGACCATGGCTGATGATTATGATGAGCGATGGCCGCTCTCCTTGGCTCGTTGTATTCTCCAGTCAGGCACCGCCATGGGAATGTGGAATTTATACCAACGCTGACAATATAAAAATCGCTCGAGGCAAAATATAACCACAGCATGGCTTTATTTTTCTGTACAAAATAACATCGATACTTATGAAAAACACATTACAAACAACAGCTTAACTTGTTCTGATAAATCCTAACCATCTCCAATGTTTTCAACTCAACTTCAAACATTTTCATGAACACATCTCTTTTTTTTGTTTGAGGCAATCGCTAGCATCTCCGAATTACAAATATTTCCACTTGAGAAAGACCGCTTTGATGCATAACAATAGTGGCCCTGCATTAACGATTACACTGAGATTTCAAACGACAGCTAGTTTCAACTTCCATGACGTGACGTATTTACAATGTACGATTAAAAAAAACAACCTTTTGTGAAATTAAGGACACTCAAATATACGCAAAGAACTTTGATGAAAAAAAACCTCGTGGGCTGTCATGGATGGCCCAAAACACTAGGAAAGTCTGCTTTGTGGTTAACAATTTTAAAGTTTGTTATTGTTTTGACTGTCTCTGACGTGTAAACGGGCATCAAAGTCTCGAGTCGAAATTCGTTATGAGGTGTGAGCTGTAGAAATGTTTGGATTTTTTTGGGAAAATGTATTATATGGAAAACGACCATATACACACACACAAAGTCCTTTCTTCCATCATTCACTTAAAAACAATCGTTACGACAGCCAGACAGATATCAAAACATTCTTCATAAGCCAGCCTTTCTAAGCCGCGTTAAAGCACCACACAAAGACAAAGATCCCCAGATAGCCTTTTAGACTGTTGGGGCGAGTGCTGTAAGCGAGCACCTATGAAGGCCGGCACGGCACACGAGGGGGTGGGTGGCCAGCACCACGCCCGGCCGCCTTTGTCTCCCTAGTGGCAATGTATACACACTGCACTAGCTACTCATTTGAGGCTGAGTCGACTTAGGGGAGGCCCAGGACCGGTTCAGATAATTGTCAATGGTGTTGGTCGTGACCGGGAATCGAACTCGGGCGCCAGGTTCGTATTGCAGCGCGCTCACCACTACGCTACCCCTCCCCACACGAACGCACGCGTACACACGCACAACTTTGCATCGTCAAGAATTTTAAAACATGTTCATAAAAACCCGTTGCAGCCTTGAAAGTGAGGAATATTTATACAGTTTCGCAACACGAGTTATCTCCAAGACCGAGACTGAAAAATTACTAAACCGGCTGGGAAAGGTTTGTGGTAATGGTTGGAGGAACAGGGATTTCGTTCATCACTCCCTGCAATATTGGCCGGTCGATGGCCATTAATGTGAAAAGAAAAAGCCAATCGGCTTATTTCCATTTTTTACAAACGGCAGGAAGCAGATTCCACGCTTTCAAGAGAGGCCCGTTCCTGCGCTCGGCGTTCCACTCCGGATTCGCGGAATCGCACCAATCGCTAACCGCGGGCGTCGCTTGCACGGAACCTTGAAAGCTAAGCAAGCCGGAGCCTGCACACCAGTTGTATGCAAAGCGGCCGTGTGCAAAACAAGGTGTTGTCGGCTGCTACGGAGCTACACCGTCAGCGGAGGGCCGTGCAGAAACATCCACTGTTGTACTGCACTCCGCTCCAGCGGGCTATGGTCCCCGGCATCACCAACCCGCACCGGCCGGCGTGACGGTCAAATAACCCTCACGACCCGCGCGGCGTGTGGGAGGCCTTCATCCAGCAGTGGAGTGACAAAAATTATTTTACATGCATACAAAGTCGATTACCTAGTATTGTGTAAAAAAAACCCCCATCGTTATTAACGTCGGAGATGCTCCCAGTTTCTAGTAATAATTACAAGGACGTTAAGCTGTCAGCGAAATGAAAACACCGATTAACGCTCGACAAGACCGACAGCGTATTTGTTGCTCTTCCTTTAAGGCAATATTTGGCTTCAAGGCAAATAAAAAAAATCATAAATTAAACCGGAATATAAAAAAGAAAATGGTACGATGACAATCAGAAATACTTGGCGAGGTTGGTAAATGTAAGAAGTCGGAACATTAGGGAGTAACCGCTCTGGCAACATTTGACTCTGCAAGTTATCTCGAGGCACAGAGCCGGGTTGGGGCAGCGTGTGGCAGATTGCCGCGGCGGTGAACGGGGGAGGAGAGATACACGGGGTAAGTCATTGGATAGGTTGTTTGGTGGGTACGTTGGTCGGTGGGTAGGCGGATGGTGGGGATGTTCCCGATTTATCCGAATAATCAAAATTCATCTGAAAATCGGGCCCAGACACAACATTTAGAGAAGGATTCCAAAAAGTATGACATCACAGGAGATGAGGTCACTGAAGTGACGTCATTTCGGTGACGCGTTTGTTTATGAACGCGCGTTGTGACGTTCAACAGCAATTCAGTTAACGTTGCTCGCTTTCCCTCTCACTTGCAATGAGCTAAATCGTTTTTCGACATTCCATCTATTCTTGCGTGCGTGATGGCAGCACTATGTTCAGGAGCTCGAAAGCCAATGTCAAGGCCTGCAGGCCACCCCGAGAGGGCTTCATCAGATGAGAGAGACAGCGTTGTCATTTTGCTCTTCCTTCTCCGTTGACGGAGTGCACTACAGTGGGTTTACTGTAACGGTCCTTTAGTTTGGGTTGCATGGCCGGTCACACTCCTGTCGCTTGTGTCTTTAACTCTCCATTCGTGAAGGAGATGCGCGCATTGGCCTGGCGACGTTCCGACGAGTTTAAGTTAATTTTATTCGGTGCACGGGACAATCCCGTTTAGGCGGTTGCCCGGCTATTTTTTACAAGAGAGGCGCGCGGTGCGTGAGCGGCGTCTTTTGGCAACGCCACAGAGCAGGGCGGTGAGGCGATTGGCTCTCGGAGCGAGGTGTTAATGCACCACCCCGACCAGGGTACACGTGCACGTTTATATTGTTTAATGGATTGCGTCTTCCGTTAAGGCGGCGTGGCACGATTTGTACTCAGGGGGGGCAAGGGGGGGGGGGAACTCGGAGGGGGGCAGGGGAACTCGGGGGGGGGGGGGGAACTCGGGGGGGGGGGCCGAGGGGTGCAGTTTGGGGAAAGGAGAACGAGGGTGTGGGGCGGTGTCACGGCGTCCGGCGTGCGGCTTTCACCGTAGACGGTCCCAGCGCCAGATGGAGGCGTCGTCGCACACCGCGATCAGCACGGAGCTGTCTCGGCTGAAACTCGTCTGCCGTATTGCCGAGATGCACTTGGGGTGAGCCAGCGTGGAGCACCTGGCGGGCGCGCACGGGGGAGGGTGGCGCGCACGGGGTTACGACAAGTTCGTCTGCACGGCGGCGGCAGCCGTGGAGGCGGCAGCGAGGGCTTGGCGGACCGCACGGTTATTGTGGAACTCCCTTCCCCGGCGGCACCCAGGAGGTGGCATGCCCTGGCTTGCTAGGAGAATGCGGGTTCAGAAAAGTGCAGACTGATCTCCATCCGTTCCATCTGTACGGGGTAGTGCTGGCCCCCTCGCATGCATGGGTTTCCTCCCACGTGTATAAACACCAACTGGCTGAAAGCATCTGGATACACAGAGGACGGCAGAGGCTGGGCAACTGTAGGTGCCGACTCATCGCCCGACCGCCTTCCCCGCTTGTCTGTGGTTCGTCGCCGCTCTCAAGTCGTTCTCCACCTTCGAGAGCGAGCGAACACTTTGCGTTACAAGTTGAAATAATAATTATTATTATTGTTGTTGAGGAAGGTGGTCAGGTGGCTCAGAGATCAGAGCACTCATCCCAAGATCTCAGTGGTGCCAGCTCAGTGGCCTGACCTCCGAGCGAGGGGTCAGTAGAGCGCTCGGTCATGGAGCTCTCTGCTGACCTCTTGGGTTGGCAGCCAGGATTTCCCAGCTGCTTGTGGATGAACTTTACGAAACTATTTATTTTATTTCACCAGGTAAGAGGCCCAACTGAGCCGCTACGTGGCTCTCTTTCACAGACGACCTGGCTGGCTGCCACAAATGATAGCGCAACGAAGTGGCGGCTGATCATCACGTGGACATTTATAGCAGCCAAATGTTCTCAACGCGTGACACGTCGATTCTAAATGCAGAGGGGAAAACCGGAGGCCCCGGAGGAGACTGCACGCCACCACAGGGAGAACAAGCAAACTTCAAACACACGGCAGGCGCCAGGGTCAATCAGGCGAGGGAGTTAACGTCTCCTAGCCACCGCGGCGCCCCCGAAGCCACATCCTCAAAGCGGCGGGGCAATGGTCTCGGCAAGGTCACCAAAGACTGCACGGAAAACACCGACACCGCCTGAAGGTTGCTTCTTCACTTCGGTTGCTTAAATCCCAGCTGTGAAAACCAAACATTGCTTTGACGGTCACGCAACAGGCGTGCAAGAGCAGGTGCGGAAAACGCTGCCCTCCGCTGCTGCGTGACCAGAGATCACATGACGGGATCTCGCAGCTCAAGATCTCTGTGGGATCCGCTTCCGGGGAGCCGTTGCCTCAAAGGAAGGGGGCCGTGCGCTGCGCCGCAGGCGCTCCGAACGGGTTTGTCTCACGACGCCGTTACGCCGCCAGCCCACACTTCTTGCCCCCCTTCACTCAAACTTGCCCTCCCCCCTCCACATTAAACGGCCACCATCGCTCACTGGTTTCCGCTCCGCACTCAAAACTCACCGATTGTTGCCGAGCTCATCCCACGACCCCCCTTAAACTTCCCCCCCCTCACAACCGCCACCGCTCCTGTCCCCTCTTCATATGCCCATTGTATGGCTCTCGCTCATTCCCCATTCATTCCATCAATTCATCATCATTTACGGTCATCAAGCACAGTACTCGGCATAGCGAAGATTGTGACTGTGATAAAAAAAATATTTAGATTCTTACTTCGCCTTGTGAGGGTCTTCTACCTCCAGGTCCCACACAAAGAGCTTGCCCACCTGATTGCCGAGTGCCAGCATCTGCACGGGGGGGGGGCAGAGGGTGTGAGGTGGACATCAGCCAGTCCGTGTGGCGACAACAAGCATCACTCACCCGATGACTCGGCCTAGATTGAGTGCGCCTTGTCAGATTCACCACAAGCCCAGTCATAGCCGATACGTGGAAGTTACTAAACTTTTACATCAGCAAGTCTTTGGGTTTGTTTTGCCTCTTCTTGAATATTCCATTGGGGGGGGGGGGGGGGAGGTGGGGGGATTAGGAGACCCGGGATGCTTCGAGTTAAAATCCTGACTGAGGTGGGGGGGCATGGGTCCCTTTGCTTTCTGCGGAAGTTTGCGCTCTGATCAAAAACAGGCCGGTACACACACACACACACAGTACACACACACACACAGTACACACACACAGTACACACACACAGTACACACACACACACACAGTACACACACACACAGTACACACACACACAGTACACACACACGCACAGTACACACACAGTACACAATGCTGTCCCACATCCGACCGCATAGCCACCTCATGTCGAATGAATTCAAACCGTACAAGAGAGCAAAATGTGGTTAGAGGTGGATTTGGCCGCATATTCTGGAAACCGCACAAAAGCGATGTCAGCCCTGTGGATGGACTCATCCCGACTGTACGCAGGTGAGCAGCGACAACCCAATGCTCACGTTGGAAGCAGGAGCACACTCAACTCGCTGTGAATATTCCCTTCGCTTGTCGCACGCCCGCGGTGAAAAGCAACATCCGCGCCCGGAATTAGGAAATCTTTTATTCACGTATATATAAATATTGGTTGGCAAATTCTTCAAGTCTGCAGAGAAATGGGAGGGTTACGGGCCAAGACGTGGTTCTCACCTTCTGCCAGAAGTCCATGGCGAAGCGCATGTACCAGATGTCGCACTGCGTGTAGTCGAAGCGCCCCAGGATGGTGACGTTGGAGTCGTTGACGCGAATCTTGTCCACGTCCTCCTCCATCTTGCCCGGCTTCCAGCACACGATGGCGTTCTCGCACGACTGAGAGAAACACACACGCACGTGCACAGGACTGGTTCAGATAATGGTCACTCGTGTTGACCGTGAGCGGGAATCGAACTCGGGTCGCCGGGTTTGTAGAGCAGCGCAATACACACGCACGCACACAAGCACAGACGGGTGGGAGCGTAGGCTGACACACAACCACCTAAGCGGCTTCCTAAGTGGAGCCACTTCATGGACAACAACAAAAATTTGGTAAAGGTGCAGCCCTGCAATTGCTCGTTCGTGCCCCTGCCAGAGGAGAGGCCTCCACTCGTGCGGAAGCTAAAAGAGAGCCCCCCCCCCCCCCTTGGCACCTTGGAGAGGATGAGGTCACCCAGCCAGCGCACGCAGTCCACGTAGTTGCGGTGGATGTCTCGCGTGGAGAAGTCGGGGTAGTGAACCTTCTGCGACGGGAATGGCCTGCCAACGCAAACACGTGGAATAACAAGATTGATGATGATAATGATTGTGAGAAGAAGAAAAACTCAACTGCGCGTTAAAAAAGCTCAACAAAGCTCCCCACTTGTCGACAGTATTTGGCCTACTTGTCCAAGCTAGCTAGGCATCTTGGCAGAGGTGGGAGTACCCATACTTTACCCCACCACACACAACCTGCCGACAGACTTTGGTCTACTTAAACTGCTGGGTGAACAAAGATGGTCGGTGGGGGAGGGGGGGGGGAAGGAGGGGGGGGGAGGAGGGGGGGGGACGGAGGGGGGGGACGGAGGGGGGGGGAAGGAGGGGGGGGACGGAGGGGGGGGGAAGGAGGGGGGGGAAGGGGGGGGGGAGGAGGGGGGGAAGGAGGGGGGGAAGGAGGGGGGGGGAAGGAGGGGGGGGGAAGGATGGGGGGGGGGAAGGAGGGGGGGGGGAAGGAGGGGGGGGGAAGGAGGGGGGGGGGAAGGAGGGGGGGGGGAAGGAGGGGGGGGAAGGCAGGGGGGGGGAAGGAGGGGGGGGGGGAAGGAGGGGGGGGGGAAGGAGGGGGGGGGGAAGGAGGGGGGGGGAAGGAGGGGGGGGGCGAAGGAGGGGGGGGGACGGAGGGGGGGGGGCGGAGGGGGGGGGGAGGAGGGGGGGGGAGGAGGGGGGGGGAAGGAGGGGGGGGGAAGGCGGGGGGGGGAAGGAGGGGGGGGGAAGGAGGGGGGGGGGGGAAGGAGGGGGGGGGAAGGAGGGGGGGGGAAGGAGGGGGGGGGAAGGAGGGGGGGGAAGGAGGGGGGGGGGGAAGGAAGGGGGGGGGAAGGAGGGGGGGGAAGGAGGGGGGGGAAGGAGGGGGGGGGAAGGAGGGGGGGGAAGGAGGGGGGGGGAAGGAGGGGGGGGGAAGGAGGGGGGGGGAAGGAGGGGGGGGGAAGGAGGGGGGGGGAAGGAGGGGGGGGAAGGAGGGGGGGGGAAGGAGGGAAGGGGAAGGAGGGGGGGTAAGAAACTTTCACCACAGTTTTAAATTTCCGCATGGAGATGCAGAATCGATCCGGCGACCTCTGTGCTAACCGTGGCGCCATTGCCAGCCATAACAGAATTGAGCCACGGGACCCAAACACTGCTTTATCGGTACCACCCAGGGTGGCAAATCCTGACAATGATTTCCTCGAAGCATTTTATCTCTCGACCACAATCATGTGCGATAGCAAGGGCACAGTGGTAGCTTTCTGGTGAGAAAGTTTCCGCGAGGGTATTCTAAGGAGTATGGAAATATGAAGGAGTGCCCGTTAAAAACAGACGGTGGCATATACGCCAAGGTTCCCGCCCACGTTTGGACACTGCCCGCGGTGGGACAAGGGGCCATGGTGAACACCGAGAGCAATTGCCACCACCGCGTGGTACCGACCAACTCCGCTACGTGCCCCGCGATGGCCCGCTCCCCGCTCTCGCCTGTTGGTCTTGTTGGGGTTGTATTCATAGGAGCCGCGTATCGCCCTCTGCATCCTCTCCGAATCCAGGCGCCACAGCTTCAGAGAATGGTCCATGCCACATGACATGATTTTGTCTCCGTAGAGGTCAAAGTCCTGGCACGCAGAAGATAGACGGACGCAGCAGGCATTGTGGAAACAAACGCTCGCGCTCGCGCGTCCCGCTTTTGGGGAGCGGCGGATACGTCCTCGCGGTCGCGCATTTGCCGCTCGTTACAGAGGTTCGCGGGCGGGTGAGCGAGCGACTTGGTGAGTGGCTCGTTGAGTCGGGGTGTGAACCTACGAGCGTGCGAGTGAAAGGATGAGCGAGCGAATGAACAAGGAGCGAGCAAGTGAGCAAGCGAGCGTGTGCCACTCCTCCAGGCGGACTACGAATGTGCGTGGCGATGAAGGGGGGGAACCATGACGTTGGCGCGTGAACTCATGGGGGGGGGGGGGGGAGACACGAGCGGGGTTTGGGAGGGGCCACGCGCAGTGGGAGGAAGGGCGACAACTCACGGCGCTGAGGACTTCGTCGCGATGTCCTTCCACGCCGCCGAACACGGCCACCATCGTGTCCGTCTGAATGTTCCACAGCCGTAGCGCGTGGTCTGTCGGCATCCACAAAGCCCAACGCGTCAGTGCTCCGCCGACCAAGGCTGCTGCTGCCGCCACCGATACCCACTTACGGGACAACACCGACGATGCTCCGACTGTCGTTCACTGATAATCCGTGTTATTGCCTCTGATAAAAAATACTGTTACCGCTACCGTTGTTAGTAATACTGATGCTACTCGCTTTGTAGACCTTTAATCAGAGGCATGTAGAAATTAATCTATGAAAACCGATCCTTACGCTCAGACACATTGCTTGTGGAGTTGTGGCTATGCTGCTGCTAGGAATAACAAGTAGTTCTACTCACGATAACACTGCTGCTACCGCTGCTGCTATCGAAAGTAACGTTGCAACTGCTCCGTTAATAACGCAGCTGCTACTGCTATTGGTAATATGCAGCAGCATTTGCTATGGCCATCACGAACCCACTGAGCGAGTCGGGCAGCCAACCTCGAGGAACAGCACCGTATCGCAACCCCCCCACCCCCAACTCCCTGACGTGCCGCCGTGTTTTGGGAAGTATAGGAGAGAACCCCCACACTGTTCACGAGGGCAAACAAACTCCCCCCTCCTCCGTGACGGCCAGCGGTCGATCCCACCCCCCATCCTACCACGCCCCCCCCCGCCCCCTCCCCTCTCCATTGGGTGGCCCTGGCGCGGCAGGGTAAGCGGTCGGCCGTCAGCTCCCACCGCCGGACCTCTCGACTTCCTCGGTCGCACGTGCGCCGCAGCTGGGCAAACGGCGTGCGGCATGGACCGTGCGCTGGCTTGGAAGTGTGCGCGCCGTGGAGTTTAAAAATATTGAGGAGCCCTCCCCCTCTCCCTTCATATGTATGGACTGCATGTTGAACTTCTTTCGCACTGTACATAGGCAACCAGCAAACGCACGAAAAAGCAGATCTCCAGAGGCAAGAAACGAATTTCTTCAGAGCCGCACGCGGATTGTTGAGAAAGAAGAGCCAAGCGTCTCCCATGACGGCGAAAATGATGCGAGCGGAGAAAAAGAGTCAGCCGGGTCAGACCCCAAAGACGAGCGATGGAAAGTTTTTCCGCCACCAGCCGCTGGGATTGGGCCACCGCCTCCGTTTGCTCACCTTTGCTGACCGAGAGGAGCAAGTTGGGGTCCCTGGGGTGGAATTTCAATTCGTTGATTGCGTTCCCGTGGCCCACGTAGTGCTGGGGGATTATTGAGCGTCGGTTATTACATCGGCCGGTTACAAACGGGCAAGCGAGGCGTCAGGTCGCAACCGTGCGGACACGCGCAAAACACGCAACATGATGCACAAATACGCGACGAAAAGTAACGAGACACAATATACAGTCAAACATTGAGCATTTGTTACCGATGACACACCATGAGGACACGTTCTGTTAGCGTGGATCCTTTTAAGGTTGGCACAGTGCACGAGAGGGTCGTGTGAGCCAGCACAGTGCCCAGCCACCTTCATCTCCCCAGTATTGAGATTTACACACCGCACCAGGTACTCATTTGAGGCTAGGTTGACCTAGGCGAAGCTCAGGACCGGTTTCAACATCGTTCGTTGTTGGCCGTGGCCAGGAATCAATCAATGAAGTCGTCTGGTCCACAGCGCAGTGTGCTAACCACTGTGCAGCCAGTACCGCCCACAAAGATCCCCCCTACTGACTGTCGCGGCAAGTGCCGTTAGTTAGTGAGTAGCACCTATGAAGGCCGGCACGGCATATGAGGGGGTGGGTGGTCAGCACCACTGCCCAGCCGCCTTTGTCTCCCAAGTACTGATGTTTACACATTTCACTGGTTCATCATATTAGGCTGAATCGACCTTAGGGAGGCCCAGATCCAGTTCAAATATCGCTGCCGCTGCTGTTCTTAGTGCAGTGCCCTAACCATTGCTCCCACCGCTCCCCACGACAATGAAACGGTGGCGCGCACACAGTCACCGGTGATGGCACAAAACACCTGGAATTCTGATGCGGAGCCGTCACTTTTTTTGAGAGTTAATTTTCAATCGCATTTCATATCATATAGTCGGGTTTTTTTACACATTAGTACAATAGTAAACTTAAATGTGCAACGATCAAAATACAAATAATCTGCCCGAGTCAACTTGCGCAAGAGCAAATTTACTATTTAACACCGACTTACGTTTGCTCAACATTTTCAATTTCTCATGTGACACGCTTGTTTGGTTGCTCCGATTTCTATCGTGCTTCACTGCCGTGCTTTTATCCGTTTAGCGTTCATCGTTTTCACGACCCGGCAAACATCGCCCTTGCAAACGACTTCTCACGTGGCCCAACAAAATCGGCGTGAGACTCAAAACTCCACGCGGTGGCGGGGGGGGGCTCGCTATACGCTCACCTTCACGCACTGCATGGTGATGGGGTTGATGATGCGGATGATGCCGCGAGATCCGGCGATGCCCAGCAGGGGGTGGCTCGTGTTGCGGTCGTACGTCCACGCGCACGTGTAGAAGTTCTCGTCCGCCTGCGACAGGGCAAACGACGGCGCGTGCGCCCTCGGTGTCGGTTACGAGTGCGCGGCGCGCGGGCAGACGAACGCGAAGCCAAACGCGCGGGTGCAATGGCACTGACGCAAAAACAAAGATTGCCCGTGCAGCCTTTAACGGATCGTCGGGGAAAGAACCGTTATCCAGAATAGAGGTTTTTTTTGGGTTGGATCGCGTAAATATAATTGTGCCGTTAAACCCGCCACCAACAGACACAGCCAATTAGTAAGGTTTGTCACGTAAACAAAACGTGCGAGTACAGCGCACCGATGGGTTGGAGAGTAAACCCACTACATTTACAATTTGAGCATGACGTTTTGCCAGTAATTACAATTAGCATCATCAGGCGACAGTCACATTTGTGGAGAACTCCTCCTGTTTCGCTCTAAATAGAGGGATAAATGTGACGTCGTCACTAGGGAGGCAATGAGGTGCGAAGGACACTTTGTAGCTGCTCGCTAACAATTGCTGTAGCGAGCAGCACCTAGGAACGCAGGCGTTGCACACGAGGGGGCTGGGTGGCCAACACCACGCCTGGCTGCCTTTGTCTCCCGCAGCGGTGGTGTTTTATACACCGCACCGGGTACTCGTTTTCTTTCATCTCAGTCGACCTTTGGGGAGGCCCAGGACAGGTTCAAATATTCGGCACTGCTATTGATCACGAGCGGGTATCTAACTCGGGTGAATTGGTTTGGAGCGCAGTGCGTTAAATGCTGCGCCAACACTCCCCCAATCAGTGGAACACACATATGTGAACACACACGTGTGGGTGTATAATAATATCAGTTTTGCCAGAAGTGGGGGTCAATTACAATATAGATATTAACTCAAATTATGAATGCCAAAAAGGCTGATATTGTAACATGCACATTACATGGGAAAGAGAGGGTTTACAGGAGGTGAAAAGAACGAAGGCTGGGGAATTTTATAAACAACCATAACTCTATACAATGGACTTGCAACTGATGTTCGCTGTGGCGAGGAATTGAACTCGTGTCACCAGATACGTAGTGCGGTGCAGTATTCAACGCGCCATCGCTCAACCCTGGTGTTATTATCAAAAAGTGACAACTGATGTCATTACCATGATGACGACAATAACGACGATGGACTGATAACGGCGGAAATGACTGCCAATCACGATCACAATCATCGATGGAGACGATGCGTGCGCGATGACGACGACGATGATGACGACATTGGCAGTGGCATTTCAGCAGCAGTGAAGGCGCCCGCGCAAAGATTAAAGTCAGGCAGCCGGGTCCACCACTCACCTCTACGTCAACGTACGACTGCATGAGCCTCACCTCACCCTGTGAGTGGCATTCGTACAGCGTGACCTGGAACAGAGAGGGGTGGGGGGGGGGATTACAAAGATGCAAATGTACGCACGCATACATACATACATACAAACGCACGTACAAGAGTAACTCCCCACACCATCCGGGTTATCTCGCCATACCTCACCACCGCCGGTGAGTGTCGGTCGGCAAAGGTGCGGGGTGGTGTAGAGAGGCAGCGCACAGGAATTGAGTACAACGAAAGGGTTTGCTGTCCACCGGGTAGCAGCGCCTATGACAACCTGGCGTGCATGGTGGCCACCCATCCAGGCACTACCCGGGCTCGTCCACTACTTAGCTTGTGCGAACAAGTTCGGGCACATTCCGGCTGGTTTGGTTCACGGGCAACACGGGTATACACGTTCCTAAATATAATCAATGGATTACACGTGTTTACTGTTCGGATAACAGCAGAGCAGTGCTTAGAAATCACACACGAAGGCGCCTCTGGGCCTGTACCACTGGCATCCCAGGTTCAAATTTGGGATTTCAGCCACCCGTGATGAAGCCGGGTTGTCCATTGTCTCGTTCTTTGAATGTTTGAGCTCGCTGGCCCAGGATTGGGCAAGGACATGGCCCAACTTTTTACCCCGTAACTGGAGAGCACAGACATTTAGAGATGTTTGTTAACTTAAAAAACAACTATAAAACTATTTTAATTTTACCAAGTAAGACCCACTGAGCTATGTAGCTCTTTTTCAGAAGTGACCTGGCCACAAATGATAGCTCGACGACGTGGCTTGTCACGTGGAAATTTATAGCAGCCAAATACTCTACACGCGTGTTTCTAAATGTGGAGGGAAAAACCAGACGAAGACGATCCAGAAAAAATCCACACGACCACAGGGAGAACATGCAAACTCCAAATATATACATGGCGTTCAGGGTCAGGATCGAACCCACGACCTCCTGTATACCAGGCGAGGTAGTTAACCTCTCGCCACCGTTACTTATCGCTGATAACAATTGCATATATTTAAGAACTCACAAAAAGTAAATGACATGTACGATAATACTGTCCGGGGGACTATTTAAATATTGAGCCAGGCTACGTTAAACACCGTCAGAACAATCCTGATCTCTGGAAGGAACACAGTCACCATGTAAGTGCAGTATCCAGCGAGGTGGTCTTAGCCCGGTCACCAATACAACAAGTACCGTGATGCTATATTTTTTCACGCTTTTCGACCGAGGCTGAAAGCGGTTATGTGTTTAGTGCCGTTTGCTCGTGGCGAAGGTGGTGTGACGCACAGCATGGTACCTACCCTGTTACTCCCCACAGTAGCAAACACCAGAGGATCTCCTTCCTTGCTGTGCCAGTTGAACTGAACCCCAAACAGAGGCTGCCCATGGTCCTCCTGTGCACAAAAGAACACACAACTTTACGAATTTACCTGGTTTCATTAAGAGTTCACGTGCGCATCCGGCGGGCAATAACCACACGGCCACCGACGTATGAAAATCAACGGTCAACGGTCAGCAGGTGGCGGGTGACATGGACGACGAAGACAAAACATCAAGGGGGCATGTCAAAGTCCGTCTATCATCAGTACGTTTTGCGAGTACAAACAAGGCCGCAGGAGCTTACGAGAAACCTGAGTGGGCCGCACTGGCAGACTGCAAACACAAGATGATATTTGCACGTGCATTTGGTCGTCATGTTAAAAGGGGCGCAGCAGTTTTCTTCCCGCCGTGTTTTGGACGGCGAGGCAGATGCATGGTGTGAGTCGGAGCGAGGCCGTGTGCTGGTGGCTGTTCGCATTTTTCATTATTATTGAAGAGTTTTAATGTTAAAATACCATCTTGAGCGTGATCATCTTTGACTACACTAGTTAGTGAGGTGCCGAATTCATACCCCTCAACCTATACTGTTTCTTGTATAGGGAAATTAGTTTTCAGGTCCATACAGCGTACAGCCGTTTCAATACGGGCACAATTTTTTTTGTATATTTGTTTGTTTGTCCCTTGTGATGGGATAAACGTTGAGACTGATAAGGGCACGGGGTGACCAGTGAGTTCGAAATTGGTCTGTAATAAGGTAGGCACGGACAGGTATGCGAACTAGCAAAGAAGACTATAACTCTTTCATGGCATGCAAATAGATTTCACAAATATTCTTAAGTTCACAACACATACTTCAAATCATGCATGTCAGGATTATGTAAATATGTGCCTGTTTTATGCAAACGATGTTACACTTATCTTATATATATTTAAATTAAATAGTGCCTTATTCAAATAGCGCCTTTATTCAAAGGCACTATTTTATAATTGTACGTAATATAGCGGTCGAGATAATGGTTAACAGTGAGCAAGACTATACCAAAAAAATTATCCAATGTTGAATTGAATTGCAATTATTGAATAAATAATCATCAAGGAGCTCTTGTCGTAAACAGTTACATTCGTAATCCCGATTATGATGCTCACGACGCATGCGTTCAGCTCTGTGTAAGAATAATGTCAGTACACAATTATACTATTTCAATGAAAATTAAGAGGTTACATTAATGCTGAGGTAACAAAACCGTACACGAGAGATAAAACAAAGGAGGCACTCATTATTTAGCCAACATCTTAATATATGGAGGATGACAGCGTTTGGGGGGAATTTGGCACCGGCACACAGCCTGGCTGCCTTTTCCCGCTTGTCCTATGGTTCCCCGCTGCTCAAGAGCAAATTTTCTCTGTTCGTGAGCGAGCAAACATTTTGCATGGCGCGTTACAAGTTCAAATAATCGGGATAGAAAATTGCCCTGCGATTTCTGCTGCTGCTGCCTGAAGCGCGTCCACCAGTGGCGAATGGCGGCCGCCATTTGCCGTCGTGCGGTCTGAGCGAGCGAGCGCACGCGTGCGTGCGTTCGTGGCGACCCGGGCCGCACGCGTCTCCGCACCTTGAGCGAGTTGACGCACTTGAAGGCGAACTTGCACTTCTTCGCTCTCCACTTGCCCTTGCACCAGCTCTTGCGCCCGGGCGCAAACGCCGTGTTGGTCGGAGTGTCCGGCCGGTCGGGGTTCGCTCCGCTTCCCGTGCTCACGCCGTCGTCCTGCGAGTGCAACAATGAGGCTGCCGGTGAGCGGAGGTGGACATTCGTTCGCCCAGCGACAAGTGGAGGCGGGGGGGAGGAGTGCTGCGGTTAAAGCGGTCGACTCACGAGCGGACGTTCTGACGGTCGACGCGTGAATGGGAAGTCGAAGGGTTCTAAGCCCTGTAGGGTGGTGGCAGGGTGGCTCAGTGGTAACACTTGTCCAGGGGTCCCCAACCCCCGGGCCGGTCCGTGGCCTGTTAGGAACCGGGCCGCGGCGAGTCCGCGCGTGGCCCGCCCATCATTTTATTATTGACCACTTCCGTCCGCGCCTCTTTCCCCCACTGCGCACTTGTCATAGTTTTGGCAAGCCCACAAGCTGACCCTAGCCAAAATGAGTAAAAAACAAACGTCGCTGGAGAGCTTCTTTGAAAAGGGGGAAATACCCAATGATGACCCCCCCCCGCCCGGTCCGTGAAAATCGTTGTCTTCCACGAAACCGGTCCCTGGTGCCAAAAAGGTTAGGGACCGCTGCACTTGTCCATCGGGGTTTTTTCGGGTTAGATCGCGTAAATATACATTTTAAAAAATACATATATACATTTGAGCCAATTGGTCAGGTCTGTCACGTAAAACAGGTAAGACTTGTGCCTACTCTGCTGTGCCTCACAAAGTAGATCCTGGGATCGATTCCTACTCGGGCACCTATCTGCGTGGAATGTGTATGTTCACTCCTTGTTTGTATGGGTTTCCTCCGCTTTGACTGGTTTACTCTCATATCTAAAACACAAAATGTAAGTGGTGTTGGCCAAACATTTAAATACAGGAAGCTTCTGAACAAAAAATTCTGCCTCAAGTGTAGCTCTCCTGCGTAAAGAAGCAACCGTTATAACTCTGCCCATCATCATCATCACCTCTCTAGTGTCGCTAAAATATGTATCACTTTGTAAAAAATAAATAACGGTGGTTAACGTAATTTTGATTGTTCAATGGAATTTACGTGTGGAAAATGTGTATTTTTTTTTAGTCAAGAGATTTAAAGACCCATAATATTACATTTTACAGCATTAACATTTTATATGCAAGATTCACATTGGTAGTACAGATTCCACACGTATTGTGTAGGGATTTCGCCAGTGTAACATCCACTTCTGAATGAGGGCCTCCCCCATATCAGTCCGGCCACGAGTATATTCGACCATACTTCACCACTCTGGTGAGTGCGCGTTGAAGGTGAAGGAAGGGAGCGCAGACATGGGAACAAAGACGTGGATAACGAATACGGTACTTAGTACAACCATGTGAGTACATTTTAGCCCTTAGTCTTGCTGAACGGTGGCTTCCCCACGCCGTGTCGGTTACGTGGCTTGCTTGACCATACTTCACCACACTGGTCAGTGTGGGTTATGTATGGGGGGACGGGGGGGCGGTTAAAATACCACTCGCCGATAGCCGAGGCAGGGAATCGAACCCGAGTGGCTGGGTTTATAGTGTAACGCAGTGCGCTAACCACCGCACCACCGCTCCCCCATTCATTTACTAAACGGCGTATAGACCGGCGTAAACGACAGAGTTCACAAGTTTGGCGGCGTGTAAAGCTGGGAACCATTTCAATGTACGTAATGATTCAAAATTATTTAAATAACCCATTAAATGTGTAAAGGAATGCCACTCTATCCAATGCACTACTGCACGCGAGCGATGTTAATAGCAATTAGCGTGCCATGGGCTACCGGGACACATTACTCCGTATAACTTCGGTAACGTTTGCACACATTACACACCTTATTGAAACAGTTAATAAAACAACAGCTTCATGCTCACAAACAATTAGAGTTGACTCGTCAACGGAACGCGACCATTGATCCCCGTGTGTTTACATTCCGTACATGGGACAAACCCCTACCGGTAGGAGCCCCAGCAGCTCCACCAATCGCGGACGCGCGGAGGCACCACCACGTGACCCGGCGAGCCAACCAGAAGCGCGGAAAACAACGGGGTCGCCTATCCGCACTAGGCAATTCGAGACCGCGTGGGTGCGCGTGTTAAATAACCCCTCGCGTGGTCCTTTAAAACCTCTCTCGGCGCAAGCGACGGTCGAGGGAAGCGCCCGCGAACGCCACCGCGGCGAGGTGAAACACGTACGCTCTCGTCGCCAGAGCCGTCGGGGTTGCTCAACTCGTCCATCGACCGCTGTTTATTCGCCTCCGTTCCCGCCATCATTTCCACGTCCGCCATCATTGACCCGTTCGGCCCCGCCCCCCACCTCGGTCAGACTCCGCCTCCTCGCGGTGACGTCACCGCGGTGGGCAGGGCCAGGGGGGGGGGTAGCAGATCTCGACGTGATTGGTTGATGCCGGAAGGGCTGTGGGGGGGGGCGTCCGCCCGTGGCTGAGCACCCGGATGTTGCTTGGAGCTGACATAGTGGGCGTAGTGGAAGGTGAAAATTAACATAATGCCACGCGTGACTTGCAAATGAACGAGCGGTCACATTAGCATATCGGTAGTAGGTGTGGTGCCATTGAATTATAATGGTCCCGACCACAAATCTAGAGGTTACCGGGTCAAACGCAACGCACGTAACAGGTCGCATAGAAAAATATAAAGAAATACATAATGAAGGAAAAACAATGGCAACACATCACATAATGTACAGTATATTACAACATGATATTTGAAATATTTAACTAAAGTGAGGATTATGATTAAATAACATTTTTAAAATAAGGTACAAACGCAAACGGTAAAAATTATTTTCGATTTAAAGCTTTCGTGACTGCAGGGATTCATGTTATTTTATTTAATATTTTTATTTTATTATGTTTCATTTTTTATTATTTTATTATTTCCCTTCTACGTGACTTTACCGAAAGAACCAAGAATATAAAATAGTTCCCTTGAGAAACATTTAATTGCGATAATAATTCCAACAATCACGATATTGCACCGAGTAGAATAATGCAGCGTGACAATACATAACGACAAAGTGCAACAAGGCATAAACACATAAGAGGATGTGTTACATTGACTTACTGCACGACAATAGTATAATGCAAGCGAATGCGTTAATATCGCAAGGTGCACGCGATGGGCGGCGGTATATCCACCTGCAGGGGTAAACAATAGAAACAAGCAGGAATAGCTATTCAAATATAAAGTAAAACATTTGTCTTTGCGGACAATATCCAGCATCAGTTTAACACGTGGTAGCCTTTCGCGACCAATATTATCCATAATACAGGTTTTTTTTTCGATGCAAAGCTTTCGTGACTGCAGGGATTCATCTTCTTGGTTCTTTCGGTAAAGTCACGTAGACGGGAAGTAATAAAATAATACAAATAAAACATAATAAAATAATATATTTAAAATAAAATAATATATTTATTTAAAATAAATAATATATTTATTTTATTATGTTTTATTTGTATTATTTTATTACTAAAACATAATAAAATAATATATTTAAATAAAATAATATATTTATTTTATTATGTTTTATTTTTACTATTTTATTACTTCCCTTCTACGTAACTTTACCGAAAGAACCAAGAAGACAGGTTTTTTTGGTTTAGATTGCGTAAATATAAATCCGTCGTTAAACCTGAAACAGCCAAATAGTAAGGTCTGCCACGTACACAGAACATGCCAATTCGTTACTAGTACAGCACACCGCTTGTGTGTTGGAGAGTAAACCCACAACATTTACAATTTGAGTACGACATCTCGCCAGTAATTACAACCAGCATCATCCAGCGACAGCCAGATGTGTTAAGCTAGCAAACTCTGAAACCAGTTTTGACTTCCTGGGTCACAACAGCAGAGCCAGGCTTACAATTTCCAGTAAGTATTTACAATACACACACAACGAGATCGATTAAATAATCAGACAATATTTTTCGATTTAAAGCTTTCGTGACTGCAGGGATTCATCTTCTTGTTTCTTTCGGTAAAGTCACGTAGAAGGGAAGTAATAAAATAATAAAAATAAAACATAATAAAACAATTCTCACGACGTTTCGGCTACAACGCAAGCAGCCGTCTTCAGGTGAAGAATGAGACACTACCAAACTAGGAGCTTATATATAAGCTGCATTGGGGGTTGAAGAGCGCCTTAACAAAAAGAATGTAATCAGACAATGTCTCCTTCGAATGCCCGTCTCTCCTCGGGTGCAAATGAAAACCCTTTGTCTATACAACCCATCAGCCGCACCGCCTTCTTGGTGGGAGGGCGTCATGTCTGACGATGAGACCCCGCGTGTCAAAGCCAGCTCAGAGTGTCGCTTGCCTCGAAGCAATGCCGCTGGACATGTAACGCGCTCCCAGGAGGCCGCGCCACTGATGGGAGGGATGTCTAATAAACAATCGCACGCTGATCCTCTTGGTTCTTTCGTTAAAGTCACGTAGAATGGAAAAAAACATCATAAAATAATTCTCGACAGACCTGCTCTCCACCTTAGGACGGCCGCTTGCGTTGTGGCCGAAACGTCGTGAGAATTATTTTATTATGTTTTTTTTAATTTTCATTCTACGTGACTTTACCGAAGGAACCAAGAAGATGAATCCCTGCAGTCACGAAAGCTTTAAATCGAAATTTAATCGCACGCTGGTCGTGCCGAAACGCACGTGCGAAGGAGACGTGAATTGTAATTACTTATGTTGTTTCTATTCTACACAACCCAACAGCGCACAAGAACAATAAAAACAAATCTGCTCTAACATATAACACTCCCTACGGGGTCTCGCGGCGCAGTTGGGGTGTGGCGTGACCATACTTCACCACGCTGGTCAGTTGTGGGTTGTTGACAGTGGGAGCATAGAATTTGAGCACAACAACAGAAGATGTTATATCCTGGTACCTATTCGCTATTCTTATTTTTCAGATTTTTATACTGCCAATGAAAGGTCCCATGATATAGCTGCTTTGTACTGTTCGCTTTTCTGGCTGGCGAGACTCGGCCATCAAGAAGGCCGTCTCCGGTGTCGGCCAATCACTTTCAAAGACAAGGCATTTATTAATTACCAGAGGGTGTTTGTTTGCATGCTCACCACAAGTACTGTGTATGGTTAATGCAGATTTGATTCCTTACAAAAGGTGTTTTTTTGGTGTGTGAACATCTTAACAACCTGTTGTATTGGCAGACAGGGTAAAACCTTTCATAATCAACGTTTTTGGGTTTAGATCGCGTTTATTTATAAATGTGTCGTAACCCTCCACCACCCGACACGGCCAATCAGTAAAAAAGTGTCACGTTGACAAAGACAAATAGTTCACTGCTTTAGCCCACCGGTGTGTTGAAGCCACAACATTTACAATTTGAGTACTGTTAGGCTAAAGCAGTGAACTATTTGTCTTTGTCAACGTGACACTTTTTTACTGATTGGCCGTGTCGGGTGGTGGAGAGTTACGACACATTTATAAATAAACGCGATCTAAACCCAAAAACGTTGATTATGAATAACATTGGTCGCGAAAGCCTACGTGTTAAACTGAGGGTAAACCCTATTCTTATTTTTTATATACAGAGGACGTCCGCATTCATCTCTGTTGCGGACAAAGGGGAGCGTCCCACCGCAAGCTCCACAACGTGGAAGATGAAGCGCCTCGCAGCGTCGGGTAATGTGGCAGCTATTAAACTGGGCCATTTGACGAACCGCCTAACGGGATTTTGGGTGTGCCCGTCACTTCACGCCATTCGCTCCGCAGCCACAAGCAGGGCCGCTCGGTCATTTCAATTGTGTTCTTAACCAGGGAAAGTGCCCCCCCCCACTTGAGCTACGTATCTCTTTTACAGAAGAGACCTGGCCATCACAAGTAACGTGGATTTTCATCGCGTGGAAATTCACGGCAGCAGCCAATTACTCGAAACGCGTGTTGATTCTGAAACGTCTTAGAGGGGATAAACCCCGCAGGACCCAGAGGAAAATCGACGCGACCACGGGGAGAGAGAGAACACGCAAACTACAAATATACAGCAGGCGTTAGTGTCGGGATCAAACCCACTACCTCCTGTGTCGTCAGTAATCATGGCCATCCTTCCACGTGGCTCTGTCGATATTTACTCAGCGACTTTGCAACATATTCTCCTGCCAAGTTGCATCCAAACAGCCTGCAGTGTTCAAAATGCGGCTCCCTGTCCGTCACCGTATTAAATTTAAGATTTTCTTGCTGATATCCAACGATTGCTTATGAATGTAAATTATTATTCTTATCCAGTTTGTTGAAATTGCTCGAGTAACACAATTCGCTATCTTCCCCGGCTTCTTATGGTACCTCTAATGTTCCCAGTGAAAACCACATTCACATGTCGTCCCTTGCTTTCTCATCCAAACAAACATCTAACCCTACCTTACTCTACTTATTCGTATATGAATGTTCTTGTTGTATTAACCTTCCTGCTATCCTGATTACATTTATGTATGTATCTTGAGCTTCTTTCGCACCATACGTAGCCAATCGTGCTAATCGGAGGTTATCACGGTTGTCTGTCATCTCGTCTGTCCGTGATTTTTTTTGCATTTTTCACAAAACATATTTTCTGTTGTTTCTAGTTTAAGAGCTGCCACTCCAAAACGGACCATAGACCATTTTGGAACCCGCCACTGCGAGCATCTTAGCCGCACTAATCGGTTACTCGAGGACAATACTGTCCAGCTGGTAACACCACTGCGTTTCTAATATTATTGCTAAGCTGTGTGTGTGTGTCATTAATGAGTGGTGTGGGGAGCGGTGGTGCAGCAGTTAGCGCGCTGCGCTACGAGCCCGGCGACCCGAGTTCGATTCCTGCTCAAGGCTGATACCAGTGACGATTACACTGTGTAACAAAAAATATATATATATTTTTGTTCCTGGGTACTAAGTGTTATTTTTCAATTGTTTATGCCTCAAAAGTACAGAAAATCGCTATTATTATTCCCCACAAACTTTGCTTTTGTGAACAGGACAGTGCTATTTGAAATGTACCTATTTTCAATGAGAAAACGTGGTGTGCATTTGTGTTATTCCTTCACATAAAGCCCTGGTCACAAAAGCAAAGTTTGTGGGGAATAATAGCCATTTTTTATACCTTTAAGGCATAAGCATTTAGAAAATAACACTGACTACCCATGAACAAAAATTGTGTGACATCGTGTTATCTGAACGGGTCCCTGGGCCTCCCCTAGGTCGACGCAGCGTCAAATGAGTACCTGGTGCGGTGTGTAAACATCGCCACTGGGAAGACAAAGGCGGCCGGGCATGGTACTGGCCACCCACTCCCTCGTGTGCCGTGCCGGCCTTCATAGGTTGTCGCTAACAGCACTTGCCCCTACAGTCTGTTAAGGCTTTACGGGGGGGGGGGGTCTTTGTCTTAATGGGTGGTTACTCGCCAAATATACCTGGGAGTCCGATTTTAGCCCTCAAGAGAAGCGGCCGTGGTGTTGGCGGAAACAGCAGTCCAGAGGTCGCCGGTTCGAACCTCCGTCGGCACGAGCGTCCACACCGCAATCAGCCCGTCGGCAGGTCGCTAAGCCATAAAATAAAAACCCCCGATCGTGGATGTCCTTTCGCCAGCAGTGGCGTGTACCGGCAATTTCAGGGCTGCGCCGTGCCCAACTACAACCTTTTTGTACTCGTGGGTAGCGTTACGGTGTTGTGGCAGTCGAGAACAAAAAACCCCACACGCGATTTCGAGATGAGGCTCAAATTGCAGCCGAAGCTGTCCAGGGCTGAGCTCTGGAAATGTGTTCTCTCTCCCCTTGCGGCGGCGGCTGGGTGCAGAAAAGATTCCATTAATGAAACATAATAGAGAGGGAGACGAATTTAAGCCCTGGTTTTGAACCGTCCACTGAAGCCAGAGCAAGAGAGTAGGCGTACACATTCAGTGACATCACTGTCAATGGGTCTGCCCTTGCAACACGCGAACAATGACTCTGGCTCGCTCGCTCGGCTCTGTCAGTCTTTGTTCAGCACCACAAGGCGACACGTGCGGGCCCTGCACGCGTGTAAGGTAGGCAGTGGTGTACTCCACACACACACACGACATACACCACACACACCACGTACACAACACACACACCGCACACACACACCACATACACCACACACACCATACACACGACATACACACACCACACACACCACACCACACATACATACCACATACACCACACACACCATACACACGACATACACACACCACACACACCACACATACATACCACATACGCTACACACACCACACACACCACACGACATACACCACACACATACCACATACGCGACACACACACTACATACACACATACACACCACACACACACCACACACACACATACCACATACACGCATAGATGCCACACGCTACACGTACGCACATGCAAAATAACAAAGACAAAGATCCCCGTATAGCCTTTAACAGACTGTTAGGACAAGTGCTGTTAGCCGGCACGGCACACGATAGCCGCAGGTTCATGCTGGCGCAACCGCGCCCGGACTTGCTACTCATTTGAGGTTGAGTCGACCTAGGGGAGGCCCAGTACCGGTGCAGATAATCGTCACCGGTGTTGGCCGTGAGTTCGGAATGGAACTCGGGTCGCCGGGTTTGGAGCGCAGCGCGCTCGCGACCACACCAACACCAATACACCCCCCACACACCCCCACACACACACCTCACACACACACCCCACACACACACCTCACACACACACCTCACACACACCTCACACACACCTCACACACACCCCCCACACACCCCCACACACACACCTCACACACACCCCCCACACACACCCCCACACACCCCCCCACACACCCCCCCCCCACACACCCCCCCCCCCCCACACACACACCTCACACACACCTCACACACACCCCCCACACACCCCTCCACAACCCCCCCCACACACCCCCACACACCCCCCCACACCCCCCCACACACCCCCACACACACACCTCATACACACCACCCACACACACCCCCACACACCTCACACCGACACATCGACTTACACACGACGTTCGCTATATACACGAACATTTCCAGCCCTTTGGTCAATTCACTGCTAGATGAGGGGGCTTCCCCCCCCCCCCACGCCGGGGGAAGGGGTTTATTTTGACCATACTTCACCACGATAGTCAAGCGGGAAGCGCATAGTACGTTGGAGACAGGGTGCGACATTAATTTCCCACCATAAACCTTGACTCGTGGTACAATCGCAACATTGCACACAATTAGCATTTTACAGCAGACACATGCACACGCCACTGTTTGTTTACGCCTATTGCAAGTTCGTACACGATTGGGAGAGGAGCGGTGGCGCAGTGGTTAGCGCGCTGCGTGAACCGGAGCTGGACTTGCGGTCAGCAGCAGCAGGATGGACGTGCCATCCATCCACGGCACGCCGGTCCAATCCCAACTCCCCGAGGCGGCAGTCGCCACAACGGGGTAAAGTTCTGTGTTTGTATTAAATCCGCGCAGCAATCAGTAGCAGTGGGTACAACCACGGCCGACTTGCCAGGTAGGACGCGTGCCGTGGGGGGTAAAGAGGGTTACTCCCGGCTCTGTCGGGACGCAACGAAGCAAACGTTTAGCGTCAGTAAACAAAACAATAGCGGGCAGCCAACAACAACAACGACGTATCTTTACTCCACGAGGAAGGTGAACATCCCCATGACACAACCCACAAGCACCGTGCGTAATGTCAGCGGATTTGACCCCACGCGGCGCTCGCGCGGTCTCGCGCACCAAGCGGCACTTTGGGTGACAGCGGCGGCGGCGGTGGTGGTGGCCGCAACGCCCCTGGGGCGCCGCGTCCTGCCCTGCTCATCGCTCACAGCGCCCGTGGTGGAGGAGGAGGCAACAAAAACACGGGGGTGCCTTTGTCTTGTGAGGAGTGTGCCCTTTGAGAGAGGGCCCCAAGGCCTTGTTGAGACTTGCCACGGTGTTCCGACGAGACCAGCTACTCGGGTACACGAGTGCGTGTGCGGATTTATTTTCTTCGTTCAAATGGCCATCTCATTGAGATGCCTTAGAACATCCACACTTTATCACTGTTGGCGCTGTCCCGTGCTCACGAATCGCTGGTTATCGTCATGGGAATGTGGAATTTCCACCACCGGTTCGGGGCCGTCAGCGTCGATTTGAAACCGCTTTACACTGGAGGTGGGATACACTTTCGTTTCAAGGACTGGTTTCTAAAAAAAATGCCATCAGTGAGTCTAAATAAACACTGCGTTGTGCGTGTGTGTGGGTGTGTTATACTGTATCGATGAGTAAGTGGTGCGGTGTGTACACTTCGCCACTGGGGAGACAAAGGCGGCCGGGCGTGGTGCTGGCCACCCACCCCCTCGTGTGCCGTGCCGCCCTTCATAGGTGCTCGCTAACAGCACTTTCCCCCAAAAGTCTGTTACAGGCTACACAGGCGATCTTTGTGTGGTATGCTGTGCCGGTGTGAGATCATAATCGCCGTAGAATTCTAACCCCGGGGGGTCATGCGTAGCGCCCTGTAGAGAGTTTGCAACTTCAAAACACATACCTCTGTAGTGTTTTTCGGTGCGGATTCGTTGGGTCCTCCCGTAGGAGAGTGGAGTTTCCACGAGTGACTCGGGCCACCCCGCGGGAGATGCACTTGAAGGCCCTGGCCAGCTTGACCTCGGGGACACTTTGATGCGGCAGCGTCCGAGGCGCGGCACTGGGGTGCCGGTGGCAGCTTCCGCGGCTTCGGCCTGCGGTGAAATCTCGGGAGGATTAAGAGATCGGTGCAAGCCCCCCTCCCACCCCCCATTGAGCCGTACAAACTCTCGGCGAGAAGTTGCTGTTTGCGAGCACCTATTAAGGCCGGCGTATCAGCTGGAGGACTTGTTGCCGGAATCGAAGTTTCAAGACTCAGACTGGTATGGCCCCATTCACAGTGGGTATGGCCCCCATTGAGTGGGGTGAGTGACGACGACTTTATCAGCTCTGGGGGTGGTGGCAATCGGTCAGGTAGAGGGGCCCCCCAGGTCGGGGGGCCCCCCAGTATTTGATTTGTCTCGCGCGATCGGACCCCGAGGCTATTAAATATCGCGGCTCCCCTTCGCCTTATCGCATCGTTACGCTCACGGTCTCGAACATTTCACGCCGTAGGGGCGCTCCGTCTTGGCAAAACAAGTCTTTTAAGAAAAGTATCCTCCCCATAGAGGTTAGTCAGTTTAACACGTAACAAGTCTTTTGTTTGTACGCTGTTGTCGTACACACTTCTCGTGGTGGTTGTCAAGAGGGAGGCCTCGACTCGTAGCTTTGGCCACGGGGGGTGGGGGGCAAGGCACCCCCTGCCGGCCCCCCACGCTCGTCGCGCTCCTGGCCCCATCCTTGACAAGGACGGCCACAACCTCCCAGGCCCAGCCACTTTCACGCGTCATTGTTGAGCAGCGGTGGAAGAGGAGGCCAACATTTCCTCCAGAGGGGACCACTCTTAGTGGAGGGCCCTTCGTGGCCAGCAGGGGCCGAGAGCAGGATATTTCATGGCTGCACCTTTACAAAGGCATCGACCCCACGCATAGCCTTAACAGACTGCGAGTGCGGTTAGCGAGTAGCACCTACGAAGGCCGACTGCACAACACACGAGAAGGATGGTTGACCAGCACCACGGCCGGCCGCCTCTATGCACTGCACGTTGAACTTTTTTCGCACCGTACGTGGCCAACCGTGCCTCCACAGTGATGATGTTTACACACCGCACCAGGTACATTTTAAGGCCGAGTAGACCTGGATAGAGAGCCGGGACCGGTTCAGATATTCGTCACCGATGTCGGTATTGTTCATAGCGCAGCGCGCTAACCACTGCTCCCACCACTCCCTTACTTTAACCTCTGCCAGCCCGCACACACACGCACGCATGGCTCTGTTAACAATTCACAGATCCTGTGATAAATGCGTTTGATGGGAGTTTCTGTACAACCTCTTGCTGCATATCACGTGCAGACTGTCAAACAATAACACCAGATGGGAATCTTTAACGTTTTTTCGTTGCTGTGTTTTTGCGAGATCGTTCAGTCGCAAGCCGAACCGACCGGTCCTAGTGGTGGCAGGGGCCGGGGTAGAGTGGTGGTCGGGGGGGGGGGGTCGCGTCTCCACCCCTTTGACCTTTAACCTGTAATGAGCGGTGGTCATCTCGTGATAATTATCACCCCAATGGGGCCGCGAGGCTTTCAAGCTTCGACTCGCCGAGGACCTACCTCTGTTGTGCTCGCCCCCCCCCCTTCAGAACGGTGGTCTGCGCCGCCGGTAACAAACAACAACAATAATCCGTGCCGTCGTTGTGCAACACCTGGCCTGGCGACAGCAGACGTCACGTGTGAGCTCCCCAAGGTTGACTGTCGCGGGGGGCAGCCCGTGACGACAGCAGAACGCTGGCGGCAGCCCCCCCCCCCCCCACTCTGCAATGTAAAGGCGCAGCCCTGCAATCGCTGGCGTATCCCCCCCCCCCCGGTGACGCCACCGCCACTTAGTGGTGAATGGTGGTGGTTGTTGTCGGGAGCGCAGCGGTGAGTGCACTGCGCTACGATCCCGGCGAGTTACGTGTCCCGCTCGTAGCCAACACCGGTGACGATTGTCTGAACTGGTCCTGGGCCTCCTCTAGGTCGACTCAGCCGCAAATGAGTACCTGGTGTGGTGTGTAAACATCTCCACTGGGGAGACAAAGGCGGCCGGGCGTGGTGCTGGCCACCCACCCCCTCGTGTGCCGTGCCGGCCTTCATAGGTGTCGTTGCCACCCCGCACCTCCGATTAGAACGGTTGGCTACGTACGGTGCAAAATAAGTTCTCCATACACACATAGGTGATCGCTAACAGCAATCTTTGTCTTATACGTCTAAGTGTATATAAATAACTTTATCATGTATTGAAATAAATTTTTGCACTCACGATAGGTTGAATCGTGCATGCGAGAATAGGTTCCATTTCATGCAAATATGACCTGCAGGCTAATGGAACAGAGAGCGACGAGAGAGACAGGGAGGCGACAGGACTGACAGAGAGAGACAATAACAATTATAAAAGTAATAACATCAAAACCCTGAATGCAATTGTCTCCCTGAATCGTGACCGCGTTGGGTGTTCGAAAACACCCAGCACCACGCTCGACCGTGACAGCGCGTTTAATCAATCCACTGCTGGATGAGGCGCTCCCCACACCGTGCGGAGCCGTGCCGGGCTCTGTGACCGTGCCTCGCCAGGCTGGTCAGCGCAGGCTGGCGACGTCGGGGAGCGTAGACGCCACGAGTGCAGTGCAGTACAACAGTTTCATATTTTGCCGTACTGCTCACCTCGCCGACCCGTGGCAGCTGCCTAGCGACTTGGGCGGGGGGGGGGGGGTTGGTGGGTCGCACCGAGACGGCCCTCGTCCAGCGGGGGATCGGGAGAGAGGGCGGCACGCGCCACACGAGACGCCACCATATATCAGCTGGACGCGGCGCCGTGTTTGTTTGTGTCAGATGAACGGCAAAGGTAAATGTTGCCCGTGTGACATATGTTCGGTGTTCCAGGTGCGAGCCAGGTGTCATTCAGTCGTTGCTGCTCTCAGATCGTGCCTGGACCCGCACAACAACAGCAACCACCACCACCCCCTCCAGCCAGCCGCACGGCAGCTGTGCGTGCGTCTGTCACCCGAGACGCTGCTCCGTGGAAGTGATCATTGTTGAGGCTGCGCTGACAAATGCCTGTCAAGGCCGACCGAGCCAGACAGGTGACACTCGTCCTTCCAAGCGCGCCCGCCGTTCAATCGATCGGCAGGTCGCGTGCGGTGGGGGGGGGGGGTGAGAGCAATCCCACCCTCTTCCGACCGAGACCTCTGGCCAGCGTGGAAGAGGAGGCCAAAGGCCCCCGCCCGCCCCGTCGAGGCACTTTCTCCAGAGCCCACCCCCCCCCCCCCCACGAGCGGAGGCCCTTCCGCCGGCAGCGGGGGCGAGGGGTCGGCACAGCGGTGGCGGTTCGAACATCGTCCTGGCCGCCCTGGCTCAATACGGGGCGCGGTATTGACCAACAGAGAGCACGGAGACTACGGCCTACGCCGCCGTCCGCTTCACAGTGGGCGTGCAAGAGCCCGCGGCGCCTTTCACAAGGGTGGGCCTCGGGGTGCCGGTGTCAACGGTGCAAGTTCGCCACGTTTAGAAATATCTCACTCGCGAGTAATTTAATTGGGAAACACACACAAAATAACTAAAATAGACGCGGCGAGCCATTGCTGGCTAAACGAGTGGACGGTAATGATGTTGGTTAAAACTTATCGCAGGACTATCCTTGAAACCTTGAAGATGAATTGTTATATTTTTTTTGTTGACAGACGAGTTGAAGTCGTATTTGTGCTTCGGCTGATTTATTTGTTTATTCCAAGACGTCTTGAGAAAACTCCGTGAAAATGTTCAGGAAACCCACGGCCAGCGGCAGCTGTCCGCCAGCGGCGCTTTCACGCGATTCAGGGGGGTTAACGGAACACTCGGGGACATCGATGGATCAAGACATGCGGGGAGGGCACCGAACTCTCTGGATCGGCAGCAACTTTGGGGGGGGGGGGGTTCACTCCGCGCCGGCGTCGGAGTTGGGGGGGGACGTCTCTCTCCCAGCACGGGTTACTCGAGTTGTGGCGTCATTTATTTGTTTTGTGCTGTCGACAGTTTAGACATGAACGTTTGTTGACATTCCTCTCCAGCAGCAGCAGCAACAACACGGGTTTCGGTGGCGCCACCGCTACCACCGGAGCTGTCATAAACTCGGCCACGTTCGATTCAAGTGACGCATTTATTGATTGCCCTTGTCGGGTGGAGGAGGGTTTTATGACACGCACGTGTGTACGTTGAACTTCTTTCGCACCGTACCTATAGCCAACCGCCGCTAATAAGTCACTTTGTTGAGCTATCATTTGTGGCCAGGTCGCTTTTGAAGAATAAGTGAACACCTCTGTGGGCTGTGTCTGGTAGGAGTGGGATGGTTGAGTGTTGTATCTGTAGGTGTTTGTGTGATTTGTTGACCTCTCCTGCACTTTGCACTACTAACATGTTGGAGTGTTTGTACTGTTTGTTGTTTTAATGTTCTTACCCACCCCTCCTGGACATCTGCGAAAAAGAGCTTTACATATATTCTGATTCTGATCATTATCGGAGCTGCGGGGAAAGTAAAACATCCCGGTGGACCGTACGGGGATCGAACTCGCGACCGCGAAGCAGCTGAGCTCACCGGCGAGCTCACGCGACATATCGTTCACGCGACCTCACCCAAACAAAACACAACAACTGTGAATCATAACGTCGGCCGTGAAAGGCTACGTACTAAAGAATAAAATTAATCGCTCGCGAAAAGGGATCTTTGACACTGAATGCAAATCGCATGCAAACGACCAATGTCACCTTCAGGCTCATAGAACAGAGCCAAGATGATAAAACAAATATTTTAGATGTTAAAAAAAAACAAAATAAAATCGATTGCAGTATTGAGACCAAGCAACGAGATGGGGCTCGCGTGCATTATCGCTTTGCGCGTTCACGAGAGGGGGGGACCTTCATCCAGCAGTGGACCGATCATGGCTGATGACCCCCGTCCACCAACCCCTCCATCACGTTGCCGCTGCGCATGTGTACGTTGTGGGAGCGGTAAGCACGCTGCGCTACGGACCCGGCCACCCAAGTTCAATTCCAACACCGTTGACGATGATCTTGAACCTGTAATAAGCCTCTCCTAGGTCGACTCAGCCTTACCTGGTGCATCGTGTGAACATCGCCACTGGGGAGACAAAGGCGGCTGGGCGTGGTTCTGGCCACACCACCCCCTCGTGTGCCGTGCCGGCCTTCAGAGGAGCTCGCACTTGGCCCAAAAAGTCTATTAGGTCTACATGGGGGATCTTTGTCTTTGTTTGTCTTTGTTATGGTCACATCCACACCTGACGTTTACTTTTGTTTGTGCTTTGTCTTTAGCTCTGGTTACCGACGAAAACAAGTGGGATTAAAGGAACCTCTAGCAGCACCACCACCACAACCATCTAGAGCTCCACCATCACTGGCACCACCACAACCAACAGCACCATCAACAATATTCCAACTCCTGCAAACACCACCACCTGCCACCGCCAATATCACCAGCGCCACCAAAACCACAGCTGTTATATTCCCACCACCACCACCACTGTTCCACCTCCTCCACCGTCACCAGCAACATCTCAACCCCCACCCGCCTCCACCGCGCTCGGCGATGTCCCCGTGCCGCCCGTGCGAGGCCTGCGGCGAGCTGCTCGCCGCGCTGCTGCGGCTGCTGCGGCGCATCGTGGACGGCGGCGGACGCTGCGTGCGCCGCGGCGTCGCCCTTCTCAAGAGAGCGGCGCTCGGGAGGGCGGCCGGCGGCGGCGGCGGCAGGGGCCGGAGCGGCAGCGCGGGATCCTCCCGCGGGAGAGAAGGAGGAGCGGGGGAAGGAGGAGCTGGAGGCCTCCGTCGCGAGTACGACGGCGACGACACCGACAGCGACGACGCCGACAGCACCGCTGGCCGCAGAGACAGCCGTGCGGAGGAGGTTCTGCTGAAGGCCCCCCCTGCTGCCGGCGTTGGCGAGGATCTGTCTACGCTCGAGCTGTCGGCCGCCACTCAGCTTCTGCGGAGCATCGAGAGCGGTGAGGTCAACCCCCCCCCGCCTCTTTTTTTTCCACCGCACAGCCGCACCGCGCTGGGGCTCCACCACGTCGAGCTTGGCTCGGGAGGCGCCGGGACGTCGTTTATTTATTTATTATATTTTATTTACTCCACCGGCCGAGCCGAGCCACCAGCCGAGCCGAGCCACCAGCTGACACCAACTGTGTTGAGTTTAAAGCGACTGGATTTCTTGGGGGCTCAACCGGGACACACATGGTGGTCTGGCAAGCCCTCGCTCCGTCAGCCATGCCCAGGGTTGTTACATAGCCTCACGCCTACTCCACCGCCGCCATCACCGCCGCCACCACCGCCGCCACCACCGCCACCGACAACACCACCACCATCACCGTCACCACCGCCGCCACCACCACCACCGACAACACCACCACCACCACCGACAACAATATCGGCTCCCTCTTGTGGAAGCCCTTCCACCGGCAGTGGCACAAGCGCCGTGTGCCGTGTGCCCAGCAGGCGAGCCGGGGGGCTCCCTGGACGAGAAGCGCCTCCAGTGGCTGGCGGCCCTGGCCTCGTCCTCCGAGCCGAGAGCGCAGGAGCCCGCGGCTGTCTACTTCCTGCACGCCGGCCGCACCGGTGAGCCGCCCGCGCGCGTTGCAGCCATGCACGAGGAGGGCGGCGGTGAAACTTGTGCCGCGTCGCATTAACCGTCTGATTTCGATTCCCAACCCGGGCGCCTTTCTGCGCGGAGTTTGTATGTTCTCTGTGGGTCTACTCCGGGTTCTCCAGGTTCTTGATGTTGATACTGGCAGGACAGACCCAGGTGTTGTGGGTAAACTGACAGAGGTGACTGGCAGGTGCATCTACTTGTGCCTGAAGTGGTCTCTAAGAGCCTGGCAACTAAGGGGGAGAGAAGACCTAAAGGCCACACGGTGGCAGACTGTCTGGGCACGTCTTGGAGGTCGCTGCGTCTTCTCCGGTGCAGCAACTGTGGGATTTGGCGCGAGGGTACACAGGTGTGAGATGTGCTGGTGGTGGAGTTACAGGTTGTGGCTACGATGACATCTCGATCTTAATCTCCAGCCCGTGCCACGCCCGTTTAGTCAACCCCCTCTATCCGGCCAAAAACAGAAGCTGCTTGGGCATGCGGTGGCTGGGCACGTGGGTTACAAGACCCAGCCAATTGCACACAAAAAGACAAAGATCCCCCGTGTAGCCTGGAACGAACTGTTGGGGCAAGTGCTTTTAGCGAGCACCGTATGAAGGCCGGCACGGCACACGAAGGGGTGGGTGGCCAGCACCACGCGCGGCCGCCTTTGCCTCCCTAGTGGCGATGTTTTTACACACCGCACCAGGTACTCATTTGAGGCTGAGTCGACCTAGGGGAGGCCCATGACCAGTTCAGATAACCGTCACCGGTGTTGGCCTTGAGCAGGAGTAAAACCCGGGTCGCCGGGTTCGTGGCGCAGTGCGCTAACCGCTACACTACCGCTCCCCACAACCGAAATATACACATGCACACACACACACACATTGAGCCACTCAGCCACTTCTAGAACAATAAAACCCAAATAAAGATTCCATATTTAAATAGACACCGCCGCTCACATCGACTCGGGGGTTGAGGTGCTCTTGCGGCTGCTGTTGCTGTTTGGGGAGCAGCTGGCTGCACGCTGCCGGAGGAGAGCGTGCCCTTGCTGCTGTCCCTGCTGCGGTCAGAGGACGCGAGGGTTCAGAGCGTCGCGTGCGAAGCGCTGCATCATCTGCTCAAGAATCGCGCCGGTACGGCACTCGCTCACTCACACGCACGCACACACGCATGCACACGCACACACGCATGCACACACGCACGCATGCACGCATGCTCGCTCACATGCACGCTCACACGCACCCCTCACTTAGCCGTACACCCATTCTCCACCGGCGCAACCACGCCAAGGCCGTGTCGAGCCAGCCCGGCGCGGGAGTCTGGAGGTGCCCGGTTGTTTTTCCACTTGCAGAGCCGAGCCGTGCCACCAAGAGTGCAGTGATGCCGTGTACTCGTGAGCCCCGCCCCTGGCCCTGCTTGGCCCCCGAGCCAGCTTCAGGCGTCTTTTGTCGGGGGCTCGGCACGGCAAACTGCCGGTGGAAAACAACGGCGCCATGAGGGCCCTGCATTGGCCTGGCTAGGATACACTGCAGCATGTACTCATTTGAGGCTGAGTGGACCCGACAGAGGCCCAGAATACCTCTGTGTGTTCGCGTTGTGGCGTGGCGCGATGTGCTGGGGCCTTCTTACGTTTCTCTAAAAGCGAACACGTCCTGCCCAAGCCACCTTCACGTTGTCAGCGATCGACCGTCACCCGCCCATCCTGCACTCACTACGTTGCACACGCCTCTCTGGCAATCTCTCCACCTGCGTCGTCTCTGCCCTCTGCTCTGCCAATGGCACAAGTCTCTCTCTGACTCAACAAAACCGTTGCGGCGCTGGTGGTGCCGCGAGTGGCTAACGAGGCGTTGTTGGTGTGCAGTTGGCGCGGAGGTGACGGTCCAGGCCGGAGCGGGCGGCGCGCTGGTGGACGCGCTGGAGAGTGGCGACACGGCGCTGCAGGCGTCCGCGTGCGTCTGCTTGGGGACGCTCCTCGACACAGGTACCAGTGCCGGCGTCAGCGCCAGCCCCAGCGCCAGCGTCGCCAACGGCGGTCATTGCCGTCGTGATCTTAGCCGGGCGGCGGCGTCTCGGCACGTGGCCGATCACCCAGGAGTGCGGGGGAGGCAGCGGGGGTTGGTGGATCACCGCCCGGAAGCTGCGAAACTCCCTCCCCGTGGGCGCCGTGCAGGTGCCGTGCCCTGGCCCGCCACGAGGAGGCGGTGCAACAAACTGCGGACTCATCACCATTTGTTAAGCATCTGTACGGGGCTAGAGTGTTGCCCCCCCCTCCTCTCGCACAACAAACAGTTAGTACCACCATGATCAGTGAGTGGCAGCAGCTGCAATGATTATAATCATCAGCATCCCCATCACTGTCGTCATCATCAGTAGCAGCAGCATGATCAGACGCAGCATCAATTATAATTGCGGTCATCATCAACACCATTATCATCACCGCTTGCAACAGCAGCACCCACAGTATCAACATCAACAAGATCATCATCATCGTCACTGTCATCATTATCAGCACTCCGCTGCTGGCGGAAGGGCCCTCACTTGGCGTAGGTCGAGAGAGAAACGTATTTTGGCCTCCACTTCCACCTTAAAGGAGGTGGGAGCACCCACACTTTACCCCAGCACACGCCACCTGCCCAACAAACGACTGTGCCGCCGCACGTCCACACCGCTGGGTGGGTAGAGGCGGCCGCGGGGATTTCAGAAACCCGCGCCGTCGTTTCAGCCGCCGCGGCGGGAGACGGAGTCGACCCGGCGACCTCTGGGTCACAAGTCCGGTGCGCGGCCGACCGCTCCGTCCCGGAGAGCTTTGTGTGCGAGCGGAATTCTGATGAGTGGTGGCGGCGGCGGTGCTGGTGGTGCGCAGGCCGAGGCTGCGAGCGGGAGCTGGTGGCGGCAGGCGTCGTCGCGTCTCTGGCCGTGCTCGCAAAGTCGTACGAGCTCCCCGTGCAGCGGAGCGCGGTCACCGCCGTCCACTCGCTCGCTCGCACGGGTACCTACTCGCTCGCTCACTCACTTGCTCACTCGTTCACTCACGTGCTCACTCATACAGGTACCCACTCCTTCGCTCGCTCGCTCACTCACTCACTCATACGGGTACCTACTCGCTCGCTCACTCACTCACTCACTTGCTCGCTCGCTCGTTCTCTCACGCGCTCACTCATACGGGTACCCACTCCTTCGCTCGCTCACTCACTCACTCACGCGGGTATCGACACCACTCACTAACTCACAATGTATATGAACACAAAGGAAAAGTTCATCTTCATTGTGGCACAAGCAGGTGGTATGGCCGGGACCACGCCCTGCCGCCTTTGATTATTATCAAAGGTGGCAGGGCGTGGTCCCGGCCATCATCTCTGGGTCGCCAGGTTCGTAAGGCAGTGCGCTAACCGCTGCACCGCCGCTCTCCGACGTACGTACATGCGTACACACGCGCACATCCCGATTGCGTACCGGCGAAACTCCACGCGGTGTCATCCTCGTAACTGGCCCCTTATTTGCCGTCGCTATTTCTACAAGCCATACATTTCACACTGGGCGGTGGTGGCGATGGGGTGGTGGCGGATGGGGTGGTGGCGGTAGCGACGGCGGCGGTGGCGGTGCTCGCGATGGTGGCGCTGTGTGCGCGTGTGCCAGCTTCCGACCGAGTAAACCCCCCAACGCGCGAGCAGTCCCATCGGAGCCACCACGGCGCTGTGCAAGAGCCGCGGGGCAATTTGTTTGTCTCGGGGGCGGCGAGGCGGCGCAGGGGATTCGGCGACGTAGCGGTTGGCGCGCTGCGCTACGAACCCGGCGTCCCGATTTCGATTCCCGCTCACGGCCAATATCGGCGACAAATATTATCTGAACTGGTACTGGGCCTCCCCTAGGTCGACTCAGCCTCAAATGAGTACCTGGTGCGACTAGGGAGACAAAAGCGGCCGGGCATGGTGCTGGCTACCCAACCCCTCGTGTGCCGTTCCGGCCTTCAAAGGTGCTCGCTAACAGCACTTGCCCCAACAGTCTGTCAGGCTACACGGGGGATCTGTGTCTTTGTGGGAGTGTGTGTAGAGTTTGTATTCTCTCCCCCTGTTCTGAGTAGGCTTCCTCCGGGTTCTCCAGTTTCACTCCCACAACTGAAACAGACACGCACAGAATGCAACTCGCCAACACATCCCAGATAGGCTGAACGAAAAGTGTTTTGCAAATTAACAGCAAAAGCAGTTTTGCAGGAACCTAGTGGGAAAGTATCGTGCGACTCGGCGAGACTTTGCTGGGTAAACAAGCGGAATTGTTAACATGAATAACAAGCAACGCGTATAACTACTCGTGCACATGGACTAGCACACACACACCACATTCTGGTAGGAATATAATTTTGTTTACACATTATCTGATGGTGATACTGCTGCTGCGTCGGAAGTGGTGCACAACCCACAACAACAATCAACATTCATAAATAACGCTGTGTGTGGCCTTAAGCGCAAAAAATGTATTTCTAATAGACGATGTTTTGGCCTATGGTCCATCTTCATCAGAGTACACAAATTAGCGTTCACCATAATACTATTTTTATATCTCGTAGCCTTGTGGCTTTGTCCAAATCCTGGCGACCAGTACTCCTTCAAAACGGTGTAAGGTCGCGTCTCACGGTCAGTACAAATGTTTTCGTCGCCGTCCTACAAAGGTCGACTCTTTGAGCGTCTTCCCATGCGGCTGCGTCTCCGACGCCAGCACGGACGCAGCATTCGCGTGACCAAACGAGGACTGCCCACCCACCCACCTCCGAAATTACTGTCCTTGAAGCTCAAATCGTTTGAATTCCTCGCAATCTGTTCTCTGCTTTGCACCTGCAAAATGTCACTCTCTTCAAGTTTCCGAGAAAACGCCATTAGTCCTGCGACCTGACAAGAGAATAGACGAACCGGAGAGAGTCGCGTCGCTGTCAACTCAGTCAAAGGTGACAGCCTTCCCCTGAGCAAGCCGGGACAACGCTCCTTTGCGGCGGCCCCCGAGGGCAGCACCGGGAAGTTCCCTCCGCCGGGTTCGCGAGCGCTTTGGCCTGGCGCGTGCCAGCCGCGGCACCCGTTTTGCAGGAACCGATCAGAGGCTGGCATGGCCCGCGAATGTGGTGTGGCATGGCCCGCCAATGTGGCGTGGCGTGGCGTGCTCAACCACATTCGTAATCCCGCTGCTGGTGTTTTGACGCGCCGCATCAGGTGCTCGTTTAAAGCCGAGTTGACAGAGGTGGTGGTTGTGGGGGTGCCGGATTAAGATAGTGCGGGGCCTGTAGCATATGTTATAAAGAGGCCCGAATAAAAAAAACACACAAATATTAAAACACTAATTTTTGACTTGCACAGTAAAGTAATTGTATTTTTTCATTTGCTTTACAGACAGATAATACGACAAATCGCTAACCTTAAACACCCAGTCGTTTGTAAAACTTGAAGGCGGTATAGTACTATAGTAATAGAGCAAGTGCAGAATCACTGAACCGGAGTTGATAGCTTGAAAGCATTTAGCGCGGGGTGGTGGGGTGGTGGTGGTGGTGGTGGGGGTGGTGGTGGTGTTGGAGGTGGTGGTGCTGGGGGGGTGGTGGGGTGGTGGGGGTGGTGGGGGTGGTGGGGGTGGTCGTGGTGGGGGTGGTGGTGGTGGTGGTGGTGGGGGTGGTAGGGGTGGTGGTGGGGGTTGTGGTGATTGTTGTGGTGGTGGTGGGCATGGTGGTAGTGGTGGTAGGGGTGGTGGTGGTTGTGAGGTTGGTGGCTTTGGTGGTGGTGCCAGGGGTGGTGGTGGATGTGGTGGTGGGGGTGGTGGGGGTGGTGGTGGATGTGGTGGGGGTGGTGGGGGTGGTGGTGGTGGAAGTGGTGGTGGGGGTGGTGGGGGGTGGTGGTGGTGGGGGTGGTGGTGGGGTGGTGGTGGTGGTGGGGGTGGTGGTGGTGGGGGTGGTGGGGGTGGTGGTGGTGGTGGTGGTGGGGGTGGTGGGGGTGTTGGTGGTGGATGTGGTGGTGGGGGTAGTGGTGGTGGGGGTGGTGGTGGATGTGGTGGGGGTGGTGGGGGTGGTGGTGGTGGAAGTGGTGGTGGGGGTGGTGGGGTGGTGGTGGTGGGGGTGGTGGTGGTGGAAGTGGTGGTGGGGGTGGTGGGGGTGGTGGTGGTGGAAGTGGTGGTGGTGGTGGTGGGGGTGGTGGTGGTGGGGGCGGTGGTGGTGGTGGGGGCGGTGGTGGTGGGGGCGGTGGTGGTGGTGGGGGTGGTGGGGGTGGTGGTGGGGGTGGTGGTGGTGGTGGGGGTGGTGGTGGTGGTGGGGGTGGTGGTGGTGGAAGTGGTGGTGGTGGTGGTGGGGGTGGTGGTGGTGGAAGTGGTGGTGGTGGTGGTGGGGGTGGTGGTGGTGGGGGCGGTGGTGGTGGTGGGGGCGGTGGTGGTGGGGGCGGTGGTGGTGGTGGGGGTGGTGGGGGTGGTGGTGGGGGTGGTGGTGGTGGTGGGGGTGGTGGGGGTGGTGGTGGGGGTGGTGGTGGTGGTGGGGGTGGTGGTGGTGGTGGGGGTGGTGGTGGTGGTGGGGGTGGTGGTGGTGGTGGGGGTGGTGGTGGTGGTGCTCGCTGCTCCTTACATCAACGTGTCCGCCAACGACGGCACGCGCCGTGTGGCCCGAGAAAACATCTCTACATCGGCGACGTTTCGGGCAACGGCCCTGGTCCATGGCACGTAGACAGAGAGAGACAGTAGAGAGGCAGGGTGGATTATCATAAAGAGTTGGAGACTTTACAACAAAGATCGAAAGTTCCCCCATATAGCCTTAACACACTGTTGAGGCACGTGCTGTTAGCGAGCACCTATGAAGGCGCACGAGGGGGTGGGTGGCCAGCACCACGCGTGGCCGCCTTTGTCTCCCCAGTGGCAATATTTACACACCGCACCAGGTACTAATTTGAGGCCGAGTCGACCTAGGGGAGGCCCAGGACCGGTTAAGATAATCATCGCCGGTGTCGGCCGGGTTCGTAGCGCGGTGCCCTGCTCGCTACCACCACCGCTCCCCAACACAACACAGCTGCACACACGACGAGCCGACAGGCGCCGCCCGCGGTGAGAGTCATCGCGAGAGACGACAGCCAGAACAGGGCGGACCGCGCGCTACACTCGGGAACGGGTTTGTTGGGTGCACACAGTGGGTGTGTGTGTGTCTGTGTGTGTGTCTGTGTGCGTGTTTGTGTGTGTCTGTGTGTGTCCATCTGGTACAGATATAATGGGAGGCTGATCGATGCCCGGGTGCGGTCAAGGGATGGTTCCCTATTGCTCAACCACGTTATGTATGCCGATGATCTGGTAATCGCTGCTCACTCAGAGGAGAAGTTGGAGGCGCTGCTGATAAACCTGGAGCTTGCCAATAAGAGGTGGGGCCTTACCATCAGCCCCAACAAAACTAAGCACCTGCCAGGGTATTTTGTACCATCGGACACTCCACCCCCACAACTCCCAATCGGTGATGGGGCAGTTGTGGAGAGAGTGGAGAGTTCCCCATACCTGGGCAGTGTGCTCATGACCGGCTCCGGTTTAACAGCAGAGGTCTCCGAATCAGTCGAGCGGCAATATATTTTCATCGGTTGCGTTACGCACAGCAAGTTGGCACAGTAGGGGGCACAGGTGGTGCATCAGCCATTCATCTCAGTCATTTCAGTCAGTCGACCCGTGGCACCTGGGTCTGCCCCGTGACCTGCCAGCGGGCGTTCGACACTTCACGTAGCCTCAAGGTGCACATAGCCTGGCACAAGCGTCGTGGTGACGTCACCGCCACTTAGTGGCGAATGGCGGTTGTTGTTGTGTGTGTGTGTTTGTGTTGTGTGTGTGTCTGTGTGTGTCTGTCGGTGTGTGTCTGTGTGTGCCTGTGTGTCTGTGTGTGTGTCTGTGTGTGTGTGTCTGTGTGTGCTACTTTGTTCTCACCTGGCCAGGCATTGGAGGCTGGCAGCGTCCTCGCGTTTTCCTGCCAAGCCTCGTGTGTTGTTGTTGCTGTTGTTGTTGAGAGGCTCGGGACGAGCGTGGCACGCGGGCGGCTCGCGGGGTGCGCCCCGTGGCACGGGGAGGCGCGAGTTCGTGGCGAGGGGGTCCAGTTTCTCGTCCCCCTCAGACCCCTCATCAGTGCCCCGACCTTATTACAGACCAATTCAGACCCCCAATAAATCTCGTACGCCGTATGGACCTAAAAACTCAAGTTCCCAATGTACAGGATTACGGGTTGACAAAGCTGGGCTGTTGTTGTCTGTACGTCTGTCTCTGTGCACTCGCTCCCAGGGGGGAGCGGTGGCGCAGTGGTTAGCGCACTGGCGGGTTCGTGATGCACACCGTACGAGTCTGGCGACCAGAGTTTGATCCGGCGCTGAGCCTCCCCTAGGTCGACGCAGCCTTAAATGTGTACCTGGTGCGGTGTGGTAAACAGCGACACTGGGGAGACAAAGGCAGCCACGCGTGGTGTTGGCCACACCACCATCTCATTTTTTTAGAACGGATTTTTGTGTTTATAGTTTGTTCTCCTTCACCCGCACATCCCGATGAGCACGGTTGGCTACGCACGGTGCGAAAGAAGTCCAACATACGTACACGTACAGGGCGGTGCAGTGGCAACATTCGTGTGGCACGTGTCTGTTCTGCCCTCCTTACGCACAGAGCGTGAAGTGTGCTCTCCCCTCGTTCTGCAGTGTGCGTGTGTTGGGGAGTGGTAGTGTCGCGGTTAGCATGCTGCGTTACGAATCCGGCGCCCCGATTTCAATGCCCGCTCACGGCCAATATCGGCGACAAATATCTGAACCGGTCATCGGCCTCCCCTAGGTCAACACAGCCTCAAATGAGTACCTGGTGCGATGTGTACACGTCGCCACTCAGGAGACAAAGACGGCAGGCGTGGTGCTGGCCACCCACCCCCTCGTGTGCCGTACCGGCCTTCATCGGTGCTCGCTAACAGCACTTTCCCCAACAGTCTTCAGGTTATACGGGGGATCTTTGTCTTTGTGTAGTCTGCTCTTCCCTGCAGCGTGAGTGTGGGAGTGTGGGAGTGTGTAAAGTTTGTCTTCTCTCTCTCTTCACCCCATCCTGTGTGGGTCTCCACCGGGCGCTCCGTTCTCCTCCCATAGCTCAACCCACACACGCAGTGGAACTGGCATTGGCCACACATCCCCATGTCGCGAGGACCAACCTGGAAAAACAATCCGAGCATGCATTCCGGCTCTCATGGGAAAATAACTCGTGACCATTAAGACAGTGATGTGTTTGGCCTCGCACGTGTGCCAATGTGGCCTCTTTGGGAGCGGTGGCGCAGCGGTTAGCACACTGTCTATTCCATTGTAGGCTGAGTAAGACTTCGATGAGAGTCCGCCGTGGTGAAGTAAGAAGAATAAAACACAACGGGAACAGCTGGGGACAACAGTGGGGGGACTTGGCCTCTCCAGGACACGCCTCGGACAGCCGTGCCGGCTTTCACACGTGCTCGCTCAACTGCACTTGCCCTAAACAGCCTTCGGTAGAGACTGCATGGGTCATCTTTATCTTTGTTTCCTGTGCGCGTGTGTGCGCAGAGACCGGGAGGGCAGCCCTGCACAGCGAAGGGGCCCTGCCTGTACTTGTGCTGCTGCTACAGTCGGGGGACCCAGAGGTCCAGGTAAGGCTGAGGTCGTCGCTTCCTCATCTTCACCTCACTCGAGTGTGCGTCGTCGTCGTCGCCGCCAGCCATGCTCAATCCACTGCTGGACGAATGCCACCCCAAGCCGCCGCCTGTCTCCATCTTGCGATGTAAATGTCTCCCCCAGCCCCTGCGCACTTTCCATTGCGCGCCTGCCACTAAATCTTGACTCGTCCATCATCCCACCTCGCCATCCCAGTAACACATGGCAACGTTGGCCCAACGTTGGGCCAACGGCTGGAACCACATTGCACGATTGGCTACGCACGGGTGTGAAAGAAGTTCAACGTGCTTACGTACATACAGGGCAGTGCGCTGGCAGCGCCATTCCAAGCGTGTACCTCTCTCCACGCTTCTTTGCACGCTTCCTGGCGCGCACTTCAGTCGTGAGAGCCCCCAGGACTTGCAATCCGGAGGTTGCCGGTTCAACTCCCTCTTCTGGCACGGCAGTTCAAACGACGGCGGCGCAAGTTTCTTAAATCCACCCCCACCAACCTCACCCACCCCACGCACCCCACCCACCCCACCAACCCAACGGCATAAATGGGGTTCACCACAGTCAGCCCGATGGGCAGGTCGCGACTGGCGGGGGGAGGTAACTCCCACTTATTCCGAGACGTCTCGTCGGCGGAAGGATCGGCCTCTTCGAGCTCCCCGCAGTGGAGGTTCGTCCATCGTCAGCGGTGGGAGCAGGCGGGCAGTTGCAGGGCTGCGCCTCTGCCTCTGCGCAGGTGTGAACGCACTTCTCCCCCTTCTCTCCCCCCGCCGCCCGCGATGCCGAGTGCAGCACCGCAGCTGCGCGGCGCTGACGCTGCTGTCCGCGGACGCCCAGAGCAGGGCGCAGCTCCTGTCGATGGGGGACCGCTTCGTCGTGAAGTCGCTCCTCTCGCTCACGTCGTCGTCCGTCGAGAAGGTTGGCACACGAGTCGCGGCGGGCCTTGAGCGGGGGGCTGGGGGGGTAGGTGCTGGGGTGGGGGGCTGTGGTTATTTTTGCAAACGGTATCGGTGGTGAAAATAGTAGTCGATTTTTTTAAAAATCTGAGTCGGCAATAGCCAGAAATCATCGCGAGCCTGGTGATGATGATGATTGCTGCCACCGAAGTCGGGATGCGCGGCCGACTGTGACGAGACGAGACTTCATCATGGGACCTTTTCACCGGTATCAAAGTATGAAGAGTAAGAACAGGTTTTACCCTTTCTGGCAATAAAACAAGGAATCATGTCAGCCTTAACCACACAGTACTTGTGGTGAACATGAAAGCAAACCTGCTCTAATAATATTTGCATTGTCTGTGCAACTGATTGGCCTACACCAGAGAGACAGCCTTCCAGAGACAGCCTTCTTAGCTGTCTCTGCTCGACTGATGGAGTCTGAGCCAGGATTGGGCAAGAGCACAGCAACCACCTGGGCAACGGGAGAGCACAGATCTGTCTTGCGTCGTCACTCTTCGCAACCGGAAATGACATGTGATCAAGAAAGCGGGATACATACATAACAAACAGCGCATGGGGTGGTAAGCGAGGGAGGTGCGGAGACGTCCGCACACAAGCGACGTAGCGTCGCTCGGCCCGGTCGCAGTCGCACGCAAAACCCGCGGGCCTCTTGACACAATGCCACTGCGGTGACGTCGCAAGCTGGTGTGAACACGCCACGAGCAATGTGGTCCAGGGCGACTGCTGGCATTGGTTTATTACAAGGCCGTAACCTTGTTGGTGAGGATCAATCAAGTCAAAGCCTGTCCAACAGCCGGCTCGTCAACATCATTAACACAGCGGGACACAACACGGCAAATGCGTCACCGGTTTTGTCTGTGTATTTGCAGGTGTGCGTCCAAGCGTGCGAATGCTGTCGCGTTTTGGCAACGGAGGGTAAGGTTTAAAAACCATTTCACTCGCGTTTCATTTTCGTAGAGTGAATTGGTTTGGTTTGCAGTGCTCGCAATTCATACAGACCGAGCGGGGAGGCCTAGGCCAAAACGTCAAGGCCCAGGACAGCCCTCGGACTTGAAATGAACGTGACTATTTTTGATCAAATAATTTCATTTCATCAACTACAAAGGAGTGCGTAACGCAATCCATGCGCATGCACGTTTCTTCTTCCTTGTTCACGTTCCTTCATTGGCACAGGGAGGGGACCGCGACCTGACCGTTGAATTTGTTTGTGGTCCCTGCCGCAGAACCCGCACAGCTGACGCTCGTTGCCATGGACGCACTGCCTCAGCTGCACGGCATCCTGGGATCGGGCAGCAGTGCGGCGAGGGGGGCGGCACTTTCCCTGCTCAACCACCTCTCCTCCAACCCTCACCTCCAGGTACAGCACGGTGGGGGGGCAGCGAGAGACTCATGCACGCCCTTGACCACCGCACAATCGAGCCGGGCCTGTGCCGAGCCAGCCTGGCGCGGCTCACGAGGTCCCCGGTTGTTGTTTTTCTACTGCAGGAGCTGAGCCGAGCCATGCCGGTGACGGCGCGTGCGGTGAACAATTCGAGACGTGGTCACCACCGCTCAGCGGCCGTGTTGGCGCGTGCGCACGTGTTTTCCCGCGTGCATGTGCGCGCGTGTTTTCCCGCGTGCATGTGTGCGCGTGTGGTCACGTGTGTGCACGTGCGCTTGTGTTGGCGGGGCGCAGGAGGTGATGGTGGAGCACGGAATGCTGCAGGCGCTTGCGCGCGTGCTGGCGGAGGAGTGGGCGAATCGGGACGCGGTGGTGAACGGCACGGCCGCGGTCGGACACCTCGGCTTGGCCCGCGGCTCGCAGGTGAGCATAGGCCCCTGGGTAGGCCCCAGAGGTAGGCCCGGTGGTAGGTCCCAGGGGTAGGCCCCGGGACAGCAGAAGCACGAGCCACCTCCTGTAATCGTGCGGACGGATGGACCGCGTTTCCCCCGCTACGACGAGAAGAGGCCTATCCTCAAAGGTAAAGGGGCAGCCCTGCAATTGCCGGATCATGCCGCTGCTGGTGGAAGGGCCTCCCCAAGAGAGAGCTCTAGAGAACCCCTCACTCCCAGCGCCGGGCAATGGCTGCCTCTAGTCCAGCAGCAGCAGCAGCGCTGTGCAGGATGCAGCAGCGAGTGTTGGTGGATCGCCGCACAAAATGACTACAAAGTTGTGAGGCTCCTTCCTCCCTTCCCGTGGGCATCGGCGGGGTGCAACACCCTGGCCCTGCCGGCAGAATGCAGCCCAGCAAGGTGCGGGCTGATGTCACCTGTCCCTTCTGCGCGGGATAGAGCGTTGCACTGTCGCACGCGTGGGGGCAACACTGCAGAGCGATCTCCGCCTGGCAGCCTCGCGGCTTGTCTGTGGCTCCTCAGCGATTGGGAGATGCAATTTGCATTCACGACGCCAGATACAATTAATCATTAGACGAGGTAATTATGATTATTATTATTGGGATTTTTACCTCATTACTTTCCCACACTGACCAGACATCTTGGAAGAGGCGGGAGCACCCACACTTCACCGCCACACCACACTTTACCATCACGCCAAAACTTCACCACACCACACTTTACCGTCATACCACACTTCACCACCACACCACACTTTACCGTCATACCACACTTCACCGCCACACTTCACCACCACACCACACTTTACCGTCATACCACACTTCACCGCCACACTTCACCACCACACCACACTTTACCGCCACACCACACTTCACCGTCACGCCAAAACTTCACCACACCACACTTTACCGTCATACCACACTTCACCACCACACTTCACCACCACACCACACTTCACCACCACACCACACTTTACCATCACGCCAAAACTTCACCACACCACACTTTACCGTCATACCACACTTCACCGCCACACCACACTTTACCGTCACGCCAAAACTTCACCACACCACACTTTACCGTCATACCACACTTCACCACCACACTTCACCACCACACCACACTTCACCACCACACCACACTTTACCATCACGCCAAAACTTCACCACACCACACTTTACCGTCATACCACACTTCACCGCCACACCACACTTTACCGTCACGCCAAAACTTCACCACACCACACTTTACCATCACGCCAAAACTTCACCACACCACACTTTACCATCACGCCAAAACTTCACCACACCACACTTTACCGTCATACCACACTTCACCACCACACCACACTTTACCATCACGCCAAAACTTCACCACACCACACTTTACCGTCATACCACACTTCACCGCCACACCACACTTTACCGTCACGCCAAAACTTCACCACACCACACTTTACCATCACGCCAAAACTTCACCACACCACACTTTACCATCACGCCAAAACTTCACCACACCACACTTTACCGTCATACCACACTTCACCACCACACCACACTTTACCATCACGCCAAAACTTCACCACACCACACTTTACCGTCATACCACACTTCACCACCACACCACACTTTACTGTCACACCACACTTCACCACCACACCACACTTCACCACCACACCACACTTCACCGCCACACCACACTTCACCGCCACACCACACGCCACCCGCCAATCGGCTTAACCGTGGCCCTACGTACCGTTGCAGGTGCTTCTAAGCAGCCGGTGCGTGGAGGTGCTACTCAAGCTGCTGGGCACTCTGGATGCAGCCAGTCAGAAGGAAGCTCTCCTTGCAACTCTCTCCTCATTGGCCAAGCTTTGCGATGACGGTGAGATCAATGTCGTTATTTCTCGGCACGGTCCCCTTGAAGTGGCGCACACTTGGTTCATCTCCATCGCCATCATCGTCACCGCCATCATCGTCGTCGTCATCATCGTCGTTGATCATGCGCAGAGGAAGTCCGCCTCTCGCTCCACTCGCAGCTCGCGTTCCGCTTCCACGGCCACCCGCGAGTGCTTCTCCCGCCTGCGGCGAGTGAGATTCTCATGGATGTTCCTGGCTTGCAGCATGTTGCAGCGACCAAGATGATTTACTCCTTCTCCTTTCTTCCTGGCGTTCATCGGAATCGCTGGGCGGCTGCCCATCTCGTCCTCTCTCTTTCCCGTCGTTCTTCTGCACTTCGGTGTTCATTCCGCACTCCCCACCGCACGCCCTTCTTGGCGTTGACCGTCCGAGGACCGAGCGAGGTCGCGGAGCGCTGCTCTAGAGCTCGATCCTCGTCGATCCCATTCCGCCGCGCCGTCCTCCGCCCAACGGCGGCGACGGGCGGCCGTGCCCGACGGTCCTTCGTCTCGCGAGCGCGACGCCGACGGCACGACGCTCCGAACGCGTCGTTTGCCGGCCGTGCGGCGACGGGAGGGCTGAGAGTCGGATCCTGTGCCCCGCTGATTTCTCAGGAGCCGTGAGGAGGCGCCTGCTGCTGGACTCGTCAGGATGCCCGGTCGCTCGCGTGGTGGAGATGGCGGCTCACTGCCCGCACATCCAGGGGCGCATCCAAGCAATGGACGTCATCTGCCACCTGGCCTTGGAAGGTGGCGCAAAAGATAAAGATCCCCCGCATAGCCTTAACAGTCCGTTGGGGCAAGTGCTCTTACCCACCCCCCCGCGGCACGGCACACGAGGGGGTGGGTGGCCAGCACCACGCCCGGTCCGCCTTTGTCTCCCTCGTGGCGATATTTACACACCACAGCGGGTACTCATTTGAGGCCGAGTCCACCTAGGTGAGGCCCAGGACCGGTGCACATATTCTCCACTGTTATTGGTGGTGAGCAGCAAATGAACTTGGATCGATGGTTTTGTGGTGCAACACGCTGACCACCACACTCTTAGAAGGTAGCGCGCACGCATACACACACACACGCACAAACACACGCACACGCACGCACGCACACATGCACACACGCATACAAAGATGCAACGACCGTACGGTCCCCCCGATGTGCTTTCTGGCCGTGCCGCGTGTTTTTCGGCATGATGTCCGACGTTTCGCTCCACGTGCCGTGATATTATTCTCAGTTGCATCCAGTTCCCGAAGAGGCTCGTGTCACTTTGAGCGGCGGCTCATTTGCGCCGATAATCTCTAGTCCAGGTCAGTAGCGGCGTTCCGGAAAAGTCCCGAGTGAGGAACGAAGCCCTGGGTGGCGGCGTTCGCCGGGGAGGAGTGGCGACTCTCTCATCTGCGTTCGTCTCGTGACGTGACGTGTGACGTGTCGTGACGTGTGACGTGTCGTGACGTGTGACGTGTCGTCACGTGTGACGTGTCGTCTGTCATGTCGTGTTGTGTGACGTGTTGTGTGACGTGTTGTGTGACGTGTTGTGTGACGTGTCATCTGTCGTGTCGTGTTGTGTGACGTGTTGTGTGACGTGTTGTGTGACGTGACGTGTGACGTGTTGTGTGACGTGTCGTCTGTCGTGTTGTGTGACGTGTCGTGTTGTGTGACGTGTCGTGTTGTGTGACGTGTTGTGTGACGTGTTGTGTGACGTGACGTGTGACGTGTCGTGACGTGTGACGTGTTGTGTGACGTGACGTGTTGTGTGACGTGTTGTGTGACGTGACGTGTGACGTGTCGTGACGTGTGACGTGACGTGTTGTGTGACGTGTTGTGTGACGTGACGTGTGACGTGTCGTGACGTGTGACGTGACGTGTTGTGTGACGTGTTGTGTGACGTGTTGTGTGACGTGTTGTGTGACGTGTCGTGTTGTGTGACGTGACGTGTGACGTGACGTGTGACGTGACGTGTTGTGTGACGTGTTGTGTGACGTGTTGTGTGACGTGACGTGTGACGTGACGTGTGACGTGTTGTGTGACGTGTTGTGTGACGTGACGTGTGACGTGTTGTGTGACGTGTTGTGTGACGTGTTGTGTGATGTGTCGTGTTGTGTGACGTGACGTGTGACGTGTTGTGTGACGTGTTGTGTTGTGTGACGTGACGTGTGACGTGTTGTGTGACGTGTTGTGTGACGTGTGGCGCCGTGTGCTGCTCGTCGTGTGTGGTGCCCGCCCTGCTCAGATTTCCCCTCCCAGCACCTGGGGCCGCACCTCCCGGCCGTCATCTCCACGCTCGACGACTTCCTGTCGCGCCGACGCAGCGACCCGCGCCTCCTGCAGGCCGCGCTGCACGCGCTCAGCGGCCTGACGCGTGGTAACACAACCCCACCGCCTCGCGCCCGCACCCTGAGCGGCCACGTGCAGACAATCGTGTTACCTTCGGTGTTAACCAGTTCCTGTTCTGGCCCATGGCCCAGATGACGACACTGTTGATGATTCTACAAATCTTTTGGCGATCCTGCTGCTGCTGTTATGTTGGCAGTGGTGCACAAGCACCATCAACAACAACAACACAAGTACTGAACTCGCTCGTCAACACATCTGCCATGGGGCCATTGCCGATTACAGTTGTTTTTCCCCTTGTAATGAAGATGATCTCATTACGATGGCAATTGTGATGTTCTCATTGCTAATACTGCTGCTACTGCTGTTCATGAAAACGATGACCCTGCCACGATTGTTGCTCATTATAAGAACGACGATGATCGATGATGACGATGACGACAATGCACATACCCCACCGCAGACCCGGCCGTGTTGGCCATGGTGCAGACCTCTCCTCTGGGCCAGTCCCTCCGCGCTCTGCACGAGGAGGTTGAGGAAACGAGGTGCCTGCTTCGCCGATCCATCGGACACAGCAGCAGCAGCAGCGGTGGCAGCAGCAGCGGTGGTAGCAGCGGTGGCAGCAGCGGCAGCAGCAGCGACGCGGACTCCTCCCCAGAGCCGATTCAGAGCACCGACCCTCTGGGTCGTCTTCGCCCTGGGAGGCGTCTTCCGCCCGCTCTCGGTGGCATTGCCCAAGGGGCGAGCGGAAGTCCACACGATGACCACAGCGGCGGTGACGACGACGACGTAGATTTTGACGTGATTACTGATGCTGTTCATGTTGACGAACATGGCGATGGCGGCGATGGCGGTGATGGCGATGGTGAACATGGGGCTTGGATCGTGATCTCCTCCGATGACTGCCAACTTTGAACATTTAAACGCAGGCCGACGCTCTGGAAACAAATCGACGAGGGACATTTTATCGACCGTGAAATCGAGTTCTCTTATTTGCGATGCAGAAATGGCAGCAATTATTACATTTGTCGTTTTACGTATCTTCTGAAGTTTAAAAGGAGCACTTTGCCCTAGTTTAATCAGGCGCCGCTCTCCGTCCCGTGACAGCGATGTGGGTCGTCGTTCTTCATTGCGGTCATGTAGAGCCACGCGTGCGGTGGGCTCGTGTGCAGCGTTCGTAGCTCACGTTGAGATGGAACTCTTTTTCGACTAAAAGTATTTTTTTGTTTCTGTAAATGAAGCACCTCGTTTCATCCGTTCACTCGTTCGATTCAATTCAGCAATTTTAACTTTAACAGGGACTCTCAGAGGTGGCGGAAGAATAAATGAGGGAAGGGAAAGGTGTTGAGGTTCTGACAGAAGCGGCGACACCAACGCCGATGTGCGGCACAGCGAGAGAGGAGGAAGCGAGTTTCAGACGAACCGGAGCTGCGAGGACGTCCAGGGGACACTCCAATCAGCAGGGTTCATGTGATGCCAGTAGCAGGAGGTACGGCAAGTAGGTTACCGACTGGTTTTACAAACGTCTACGGTCTGACACGGGCACAGCAGCAAGCGGTGAATGTTAAGTTAAAAGTAGTTTTTGTTTTTAACCAGTGAACCAATCTTCATAGCAATAGATTCGCACCGTCACGTTCTGTCGGTGTCCGAGTGGTTCGATTTGTTTGGTAAACGAAACAAAAATGGAGTAACGTGAAGAGTTCGGGCGAAAAAAAATAAACATTGCGGGATAAAAAAAAATCTTTATAAAATCCAGAAAAATCTTCAGAAAACTGCACACTCGCCCGGCCATGGCTCCCAGCGCCTTTGCGCGGCTGGAGAATCACTCGCCTGGGGGAGAGGAGAATGACGCTCTGAGTGGCGATGACCCGGAACGCGAGCTGCGAGCTCCGAGTGGAGTGAGGAGCGAGACGCGGACTGCATGGCGATTAAAGCCGTGGGACATCGACGATGACGACGTTGACGATGACGACGACGATGATGACAATGACGATGAACCAAGTCTAAAGAAATAACGCAGCTTCGTCTGTCACGCTGCCGCGTAGAGTCTCGCAGTTGTTGTAAACCAGGATGCTCTAACCAGTGGCACAGTGTGGGCCGGTTTGGGCCACCGTCGCAAAGAACGTGGCCCTCCCTGTGCAACGTCCGCCTCTCTTGGTAGCCCGGCCCCTGGGCCCCTCTGGCGCCTGGGCCCCTCTGGCCCCTGGGCCCCTCTGGCCCCTGGGCCCCTCTGGCCCCTGGGCCCCTCTGGCGCCTGGGCCCCTCTGGCGCCTGGGCCCCTCTGGCGCCTGGGCCCCTCTGGCCCCTGGGCCCCTCTGGCCCCTGGGCCCCTCTGGCCCCTGGGCCCCTCTGGCCCCTGGGCCCCTCTGGCAAGTGCACTGCCTGCACACTGACGTGACGGCTACACAAGAGCTCGTAACAAGCAACGTGTCCAAACGATTTTCATTCATTTCCTTTTTTGGCAATATAACGCGTGAACAAGTTCACACAATGGTCCGTGCGAGTTTGCTTTCTGGTGTTAACGTTGTGTGAATCATTCGCGTGATAAACTTTTGAGGATTTTTTTTTTAACGTTCTCAAGTGCATTACTGTAGGGGGCCAGCAAACAAATAGAGCCGGCGGTGGCCGATGCACCACGCATCACGAGGGTGGATCGCGTGCAACAATTCTCGTTGCGGCGAATAGACAAACATTCCCGACTTGAGAAGTCACACGTTAAATGTGACGTCTGCCAGTGGAGTGTGATTACACGTGTTATTCATCTATTGTAAATATGGTTCAATGTTCAGCCGTCTCTACATTTATGATTATTTAGAAAACAGCGTCCCAATATACATTGTCAGACTCAGAATCTTTGTTTAGACTCGAAGGAATCCGATGAGCTATGAAGCTCCTTTTGTTCACTGACGTCCAGTTGGGGCAAGGGGTGAGCAAAGTGTGCATTGTGGCAGGGGACGGGGGTGGTGGTGGTGGTGAAACACAAGACGAGAAATTACATATTTACCCGGCAATAATGTCACTTGCCTCATGTAGACAACAACAATTACTGGCCATTCCAGGGGGCTAATTCGGGGTCATTGTTGGTGAAAGTTTGGTGGTGAAGTCAAAGCCCCCACCACGTTGAGATCCGCCAGCAATTTCTGGTCGCGGTCGCTTTGGCGAATCGGCCACCGCTCGCAGTTTTGCCTTTTAACAAAAAAAAATACATTTGACGGCGTGGAAGTAGCGACGCACGATTAGATAAGTGCGGCGATGTCTGGGCGCGATGCACGGTGGGTTTCTAACGCTCCTGGCGGTGTTTTTAAGGAGAAAAATACTTTGTGATGTGTAGGTCTACTCCAATGCGTGTCGCGTTAGTTTTATACTCCTCACTCGTCTTGTAACGATCCGTCGATTAAAACTGCTCTGCGCTCGTTACGCGTGCGTCGACCGAGCCCCTCTCACTCTCACTCGGCTGTTCGTGCAACTTCTACGCCAACTGGAGCACTGCAGACGGCAAAAATCCGTTGCCGTATTGCGAGGCTGTAGCCATGGAGTCAACATTGGGGGGACCAAATCTTCCAGGGTGTCTGGGGGTCCCAACCCAGAAAAATATCTACATATTAAAACTCATTTCCTGCCTAAAATATTTAAAAATGAACTAACACATGGGATGGACTTTTTATAATTTTTTTTACAATAATGTCTAATAGTGTATTGTATTACATTGCTCTGTTTTTTACCTATTTACCATTTCATGTTTCATTGTATGTAATGGCAGAGATTAGGGATTAATAAAGTACAACCATAATCATATAAACATAAATCTATGCATTGATTTATATAAAGACAAGTCCAGATACTGTGGCCAAGGTGTAGCAAACTGTTGTTTTTATTTACATAGCATAGCAATATTTTTGATAGCAATATATTGGGGGGGGGGGGGACATTTTGAGCATATTTGAAAATTGCGGGGGATGTATGTAATATATATTATAATTGCGGCCTTGCTGTATTGTACTTCTATGCCGCCGAGCCGCCCAGCGCGGTGAAGTATGGTCGAGTGACCCTGGAGTCCCGCGCGGTGCGGGAGAGGCCCAGTCATCCAGCAGTGGAGTGACACAGAGGCCGCACGCGTTGCATTTAGCAAACAACAACAAAGACACCCTCAGTAACACTGCCTCTACAAATGTATGAAGTGGAATGTCACCTTCTTAGGTTTTTTCGGTAAAGTCACGTAGGTAAAACATTAAAATTAGTAAAAGTAAAATAAAATAAAAAAAATACAAATCACGACGTTTCGGAGGCAACACAAGCTTCCGTCTTCAGGTGGAACCGTCACAGCCATGACAGCTGTATCAAGTAAATAAGAATGAAATGTCACCGGTGACGTTTTCAGCAAAGGCCATTCTGCATATGAAGGGACGTTGCCCAAAACGTCGCCTGTTTATATATATATACATTTATTTCAAGGCCATGGTGATATTTGATAATGAATGCGTGGAGTTTTTGCTGTCAACTGTGCTTGTGCAAACCACTGCCAACGCAGCAGCAGCACCACCAAATGACGTTACGTTGAGGAGCATGGAGCGAACGAAACTGCACACGAGCAGGGCTGCCGGGAGGGGTGACGGCACGGAAAGAGGCCACATTTCCCTGGGCCTCACACAAAAGAGGGCTCCGCAATGGACAATGTTTTTTAATGTTTGAAGGTCATGAATAAGGACCACCACCACCGCCACGTGGCATTATCTCCCTGGGCCTCCACGGACTTTGGGTGGCTCTGCATAAGGAGGCAGAATAAAGAAGAGGGGACGCCACTTAGATGTGGACAAATATGATGCGAGTGGACCGATTCCTGAGTTTCGGCCACACGAGACGGAATCCTGAGAAATCACCGAATCGCGGAAAGCGAGGATTGTTGGATTGTTGCGTGGCCATCAACGATAGCCGGGACCAGCGGTGTCTCAACCTGTGGGTCAGGACACTCACTTTCAACTTTCAGGGGAGGGCTAAAGTGCAGGTTGGGGAGTGGATGCCGTGCAGGAGAAGTTTTTTTTTTTATGTGCGTGGGCAACGTCGGTGCCACTTTGCGCCGACACTAACACACCAATGCACAATACACCCCTCACTAGCACACACCTCACTAGCACACACCTCACTAGCACATACCTCACCAACACACCAATACACACTTCACTAACACGAATACACACCTCACTAGCACACACCTCACTGACACACCCCACTGAAACAAAACGCGCTAATTCACGACACGGAGCAACTGCCTAACAACACGCACAATTACACAACGTGAAACAGAGATGCCTTAGTCACCACTCCTTTGTATTGTGTGGCCCGAGCAACTGAGGGGGGGGGGGTTGGTTGGGGGGCCGGAACACAAAATACATTGAGAGCTGCTATGCCTAGAGGTGACGATGTCGGCGTTAAACGCGTGACAGATCATCATGATGAGGAACTCCATCCCCCCAGATTCAAACCCAGGATCCGAGCGAAGCCTGCTCACCGCCTTCGACGTGGCCATTAAGACCACCCCCCCCCTCTAGCCGTTGTTAACAACAACAATTGGAGCGTTCCTTTTCTCTATCCTGTCTCAGTGGCACTTCGCGACAATGTTTTACGTGACGTTCTCAGGATGATTAAAGGTGAAATATGTGTATGTGCCCGCCGGTTATTCAGAGGCTTTGGCCATTGGTAACCGTCTTCTTGGTTATTTCGGTAAAGTCACGTAGAAGGGAAATAATAAAATAATAAAAATCAAACATAATAAAATAATTATCACGACGTTTCGGCCACAACGCAAGCAGCCGTCCTCAGGTGAAGACCTGGTCTGTCGGGGAGACAGCGTTTTAGTATGTTTTATTTTTATTATTTCCCTTCTACGTGACTTTACCGAAAGAACCAAGAAGATGAATCCCTGCAGTCACGAAAGCTTTAAATCATTGGTAACCGCTTCACAACTTTGTCTGAGAGCGTGGATGCTGCATAGCTGATAGTCCGTCAGTAACGTGTTGGCCACGCCAACTCTCGTAACGGCATGACCCAATGTTGAACGTCAACCTCCGTTGGCAAAGTTGTGTTGCTATCGTGGATTTACGCCGGATAGAACTACACGTTGATCAAAGAGGAGGCATTTCCCTAAGACGTGGGAGACGTGGACCAGAGCGAGCCGAGTATTTTCAATATGAAAATGCGTTTTGCCCCAAACAGCGACCCGGTCAACTTAGCGCACGCTTTCGAGAACAAACGCGCGTTGTAAAGCTTCACGATTTTAATCCTCACTCCTTTAGAACTGCTCTTTGTGTTCAGTTTGCTGTCCTCCCCCCCGCACCTCTGATTTATGAAGGTTGCTTTACGTACGGTGCAAAAGAATGTAAACATACATCTACAATCAAAGGACCCATGCGTGTGGATGATGATTTTTCATAACCTGTCGCGAAGTTCTAACAAAGACTTATTTAAATTGCCTACGAGTACTCGATGTTACCTACTTGGCACCGAGACCAGACAAATAACCCGACGTCTAAAACACACGAACCACACGGAGCGGCTCTCCGGATATGGCTTGCGGGCTCGGTTACCTCCTGAATATTCGACGGTTCGCACCACATGCCGCTGGGAGGGCTTGAACCTCGCGGGATTTCCACGCGCTACGTCACGAAGTTCAGTTGCGGGAAGTAAAATGCATTAACCTGACGAAGCTCTCGGCACACGGAGCGAAACGTCGGACATCACACCGAACGGGCCATGCGGTAGTTACAACCTGAAAACCACATCGGAGAGCCGTCCACAGAGAGGTGAATTTCTCACTTCATTATTTTTTTTTCATGCTGTGCGCCTGCCTGGCTTAAGAGAGCCGTGGCTGGCCGTGACTTGCCGTGGCTGGCTGTGACAGGCCGAGGCTTGCCGTGGCTTGCCGTGGCAGGCCGTGGCAGGCCGAGGCTTGCCCTCCATCGTAGTGGCTGGCAAAGCGAGCGGCCCGGCTCAATCGCGATCTCCGTCGAGGCGGCGATGGGACGCTCGCGACGGGGGCTCCCACTTGTCCAGGGCTTGCACCTCCATCATCTCCAGCGCCCTCTGCATCTCCTGGGCCTTCTTGCGATAGGGGGTGCTGTGTGCACGGGGGGGGGGGGTGACACCAGGGCACAGGGGTGAAGCACAGCGGCTTGGGTGTGCGAACTCTGTCCTTACTTTATTTTTCTCTTCCTTCCCCCCTCCCCCCTTCACTGGAATAAACTTCCCCCTCCACATCAAACACTCACCTTCGCTCATTCGCTTCCGCTCCTCACTCAGAACTCACCGATTGTTCCCGAGCTCACCCCACGACCCGTTAACCCCCCCCCCCCCCCCCCTTCATAACCGCCACTGCCCCTGTCCCCTCTTCATTCTTCATATTCTCATCGTGTGGCTCTCACTCATCAACCCCCATTCATTTCATCCACTCGTCAATCATCGTTTACCGTCGTCAATTTCGCGTTCACCGAATTTCCCCCCCTCCCCCCCATCGCTTCCTCTCTCACATCTATTTCATTCACGTCATCCCCACCATTACATTCACACGCTCGTCGTCGTCGTACCGTCGTTCATCAACGATTTGTAACACAGCGTCTTGGTGAAGGCGCTGCCTGTATCGACAATCCGCCGAGATGGCGTCACCGCGACTCGCCACGCGCAGTGTCTGACGCTCGTGTCGGCAGGAGATCTCGGGACAGATTCAGCTTCCATGGGTTGAGCGAGATGAGCTGGCAGACGTACCACCTGTTGCCCATCCCCCGCCCAACACTCGCTGCGTTTTATTCGCCAGGCACTCCGCTCGTTGTTGTGAGCGTCGCTCCTCTGCCCTCCCGTTGTTGTTGGGAGGACTGCCTCCAAGTGACCGGCAGCCTCAAGGTCGCACCTTGCCTGGCACTACCCAGTAGCAGCGTCCTTCACGAGCCTCCCCCTCTGCAGAGGCCGATCTTGACGCTGCTGGTACCGGTCTCCGGCAAGTCCACTCAGCTCCACATCCTCCCGTAACCAAAACAGCTCCATCTCCTCTCTAGGCCGTGTCACTCACTCGCCCATCCACGCACTCACCCACACACTCGCCCACTCATCCACCAGCTCCATCTCTTCTCTAGCCCGTGTCACTCACTCGCCCATCCACCCACTCACTCGCCCACTCACCCATCAGCTCCATCTCCTCTCTTGGCCGTGTCACTCACTCGCCCATCCACGCACCGACCCACGCACTCGCCCACTCACCCATCAGCTCCATCTCTTCTCTAGCCCGTGTCACTCACTCGCCCATCCTTATTGCAGACCAATTCAAACCTTATCGGTCACCCCGTGTCCTTTATAAATTTCAACGTTCATCCCACAAAGTCCCATCACAAGGGAGTAACACAAACAGACAAACCCATTTTTTGCCCTACTTTAACGGCTGTACGCCGTGAGGATCTACACACGCAATCTCCCTGTACAAGAACACGGAGTGACCCGTGTGGGTTGACAGCCGCGATGTTTGTGTGCCTTCGTTTTACTTATGTTCATTGTTGCGCCTCGGGAGGGCGGCCGAGACCTCGTGGAGGGAGAATCCCTGGAGCCTGCGGGGAGGATCGCACCTCGAGGTCCTTCCCGCAACTCCCCACGATTCATCGTGCCGGAAACTGTTAATAATTGTACTTTGTAAAATGTTAATTAGTTCATTTAGTATGCTGTGTATATACAGTATACTGTGTGTATACAGGGGGCTTCAAAAAATATGGGACTATCGTTTTTATTGGCAAACTGTAACGTGATAACAAATGTAATGTTCATAGCTTCCAAAGTAAAAGTCTCCACGTGCTCACCGTCGTTGTCAACACGTGGCCTGGAATCTTCTCCAGGTGGTCTCCAGAGCCCGCAGGCAGCACAGTTATTGTGGTGTTGTTGCACATTTTCAAAAGTCTTAATATTTTTTTGAAGCACCCTGTACATAAAATAACTTGTTTGATCATTGAAGGGTTTGTCTGTTGAGCAACTCCCCACAATGCATTGTGCCGGCAACGGTTAATAATTGTACTTTGAATGTAATTGAGTTCATCTTGTAGTAATTAAAAAATATTTTATTAATGTAACTTCATATACCTATTAAAAAACACCACTGCTCATTAGATAATATTATGTTTAAGTAATTGTCATCACAAGGCCCCATTGTACAAAGTACAGTCGCCAACTCTGATCATCCACTCCCTACACACACACACTCCCTACACACACAGACACTCCCTACACACACACAGACACTCCCTACACACACACAGACACTCCTTACACACTGCCCAGTCGCAGCCTCCTTCACGGGGCTCCTCCACAGAGGCCGATCTCGACACCGCCGGTGCCCAGCGATTGGCAAGTCCGCTCAGCGGCGTGTCCTCTCGTACCGCACCAGTCCATCTCGACATACATACACGTAGCAGTAACATGCAATTCGGGGCCCCAGCGGATAAGAGGAGTTCTAACTGCGCGTGCAACAACAACAAGAGACGAGAGGGGAGAGCACGAGGATTGGCGACTTGGCGTGGGAGCGTCGTGCGCGCATCGATGCACCGACCGCGCCAGACGGGGGCGACGTGAGCCCACGCGCGGATGATGTTTAAGTGAACGGCGCTCTTGACTCGGGAGAGATACACCTTCACTCATTACACCCCGACACACCCAGTGGACGTGGGGTTAGAGGCGCAGGCGCTGCAAGTGCCGGCTCACGCCACAGCTGTGCGGGAGGTCCTCCACTCTAGAGCGCCCGCTTCTAGAGGTGGAGGGTGTTTGGCCGAAGTCTTCGACGTGGCCAAAGTGTACTGCCCGTCGCACCCTCGCACGCGTGGGTCGCTCGCGGCACTTACCCCAACAGCCTGTTGAGGCTATACGGAGGATCTTTGTCTCTGTGTGGGGGAGCGGTGGTACAGCAGTTAGCGCGCTGCGCTACGAACCCGGCGACCCGAGTTCGAATCCCGCTCACGGCCACCCCCTGTGAATCGGTTCTGGACCTCCCCCTAGATTGACTCAGCCTCAAATTATCACCTGCTGCGGTGTGTAAAAACATCACCACTGGGGAGACAAAGGCGGTCGGGCGTGGTGCTGGCCACCCACCCCCTCGTGAGCCGCAGTGGCGGCCTTCATAGGGCGCTGCTCGCCGCTCGCTCACAGCACTTTGACCCCCGCCCCACAGTCTGTTCCTGGCTGTGCTGGGGCGTCTCTGTCCGCACATACCGAGGGACGCTGGGAGGCGGCTGCAGAGGGATGAAGGTGTCGGCCGCGTGCTTCGCCCCGGCGCTGCGGACACGGGGAGACAGCGGGCGGGTTGAGTTCTCTCGCGTGACGCGGCTGCTTCTCTCTCTCGCGCGCGTGGCGCGTGTCACGTTGGCGCATTGCTCGACTTTATCTTTGCTTTCGTCAGTCCGGTGACTCACCGGGTCACACTTGCAAACGAGACATCCCTGGCCTATTGAGGTGACCAGTGCCGGTTTAAGCTCGTGCGGGGCCTGTAGTACATGCTGTTATAAAGGGGCCCTAAATTATAAATAAAACACACAAATATTAAAACACAAATGTTTAACTAGCACAGTAAAGTAATTGTATTTTTTCATTTGCTATACAGCCAGATAATACGACAAATCGCTAACCTTCAACACCCGGTGGTTCGTAAAAGTTGAAGGCGGTATAGTACTATAGTAATAGAGCTCGTGCAGAATCACTGAACCGGAATTGATAGCTTGAAAGCATTTAGCCGGGTCCGTAACTACATGTGGAGCTACCTGTGCTGCTGGGATAATCCGGCACTGGAGGCGTCCTCAGCTGCCTAAACATTTAAACACGACTGCCAATAACACAACCTAACAGTAAAAAAAAAGTTCGTGTAGATATGGCAGCATCGTTTACTGCGTCACACAACGCTGCGCAATCTGCAAATGTGGAGGCGCGTATAGCTGACGATGGTTTCAGCCAACGAAGGAGCGTGAACGCATTTGTAAAGAAACCGGAACCCATGGGTGTGAGGGGGCAACGCTGTATCCCACGCAGATGGAAACAGGCGGCGCAGTCCACATCTTGCTGCACCGCCCTCTCCTGGCGAGCCACTAGAAGGCGCCTCCTCGATACCCGACCTCCAGGGGAGGGGGGGGGGTCGTGACATCTGTCGCGGTGACCCACCAACCCTCGCTGCTGCCCCCACGGTGCTGGACTACGGGCAGCAGTCACGTGCTGCAGCAGCAGCAGCAGCAGCCGCGTAGCCACCACCACCACCGCCACCACCACCACCGCCACCACCACCACCGCCACCGCCGCCACCGCCGCCACCGCCGCCGCCACCGCCGCCACCACCGCCGCCGCCACCGCCACCACCGCCACCGCCACCACCGCCACCACCACCGCCGCCACCGCCGCCACCGCCACCACCGCCACCGCCACCACCGCCACCGCCGCCACCGCCGCCACCGCCACCACCACCACCGCCACCGCCGCCACCACCGCCGCCGCCACCGCCGCCACTACCGCCTCACCTGAATCTGGGCGGGGCCCTGGTGGAGCCCAGGAGGTGGAAGCCGGCGCTGTACTCCACCGCGCGGTACGCCTTGTCGCCCGCACTCACCACCGGGACGCCGTTGCGCCCTGCGGACGCTGCGCACAAAGACAAAGGTCCCCCGGGAAGTTTGGGGGGGACAAGTGCGGTGAGCGAGCACTCTTTGGAGGCCGGGACGGCTCAGCGGCTCGCCCATGAGGGCGTGTGTGTGTGTGGCACACGCGGGCGGACGTAAAGGGGGCGGTGATACGATTCAGCGGTCGTGCATTCGTCGCTTGTTGTGGCCGTCCTGGTTAATACCACGGCGCGCATTCACCGTCTCCTTCGCTGGCTAATAAAGGTCCAAACTTGCCAATTTCGTAAAATGCCCGCAAATGACTCAATTGGGATTACACTTAGCGAACTTGGCAGTGCCCCTCTGAAAGAGAGTCTTGAGACGTAGGTTTTCCTGGCTAAACAAGCGTCGTGGTAATATGAATACAGTGTACCTGTCTCCGTTCCAGAGCACTGGTAAGGAAGGCATCTCTTGCCGACGTAGCACACCTTGTCCAAGCCACGGGGATCGTAAAACCCCCACTCTGTGTGGGTGTTACGGTTCGCCTCTGTTGAACACACACACAGGAACACGCACGCAGAGACCCGTGAAGACACAATAACAAAGATCCCCCGCATAGCCCGGACATACTTACGAGGCAAGTGCTGTTAGCGAGTAGCACCTACGAAGGCCGGCACGGCACACAACGGGGATGGGTGGCCAGCACCACGCCCGACCGCCTTTGTCTCCCCAGTGGCGATGTTTACTACACACCACGCCAGGTACTCATTCGAGGCTGAGTCGACCTAGGAGAGGCCCAGGACCGGTTCAGATAATCGTCATTGTTGTTGGCCGTGAGCGGGAATCGAACTCGGATCGCCAGGTTCGTAGCGCGGTGTGCTAACCACTCCGCCACCGCTCCCCACAACTGCACGTACACACATGCACACATGCACACATGCACACATACACAGACGCACACGCAACACATGGAATCACTGCAGATGTTTTGCCAAATATAGACCGGAGCAGCGCGTGCTGCGAGCAAGCACCCTAAAAGACACGTCAGGGGGTGGTGGTGGTGGTGGTGGCGGCGGCGTAGTAAAAAAAAAGCTGAAGGGATTTTCCAGTCCACGTGAGCAATCCAGACTGTGCAATCCAGCCTCGCATTTGCAGCCCTGAGCCAGCGGTGGAAATTCCACATTGCTCTGGCAGAATGTTGGGTGTGGGTGGTGCTGAGTCGGTCCATGAGATGGCCACCGCTGACTTCCCGGCCCGAGCTGTGTGGATGATGGGCTGAGTCTAAACTCGCAGCCGTCCGATTGAGGGCGGCCAGCCGCTCCTCCTGCGCGCATCTTACGCACGTGGGAAATGTCTGATGAAGCTGACTTCCTCCGGAAACAGGATGAACTTGGCGGGTCGGCTGGACGCGTTCCTGCAAATAAAACGCGCGATGGGCTCTGAACTCGTGGCGATGTGTTGTCTCGGGCAGCGCCGAGCGGCGTTACGTAAACTTGGAGGCAAGATGTATCCCGAGCGAACGCCGCGCCTGGAAGTGCTCAGATGTCACAAGGAAGACGCAAGTGTCTTCGAGCGATGCATGCAAGAAATGCCTTTAAACTTTTAAATAATAATATATAACAAAACAAAGTCACGTATTTATCGTTGAGAGTGCGAGGGCGTCATGATTCACGCAGCTATTTTGGCCATCATTCTGCCACATTCTGGCAGAATGGCGGGTGTTTTCGCACAAATTGAACCCATTGCTCACTTTTCAATTCACAAGGCTTCCGATCTTGCCCGACGAGAGGCGGCGTGAAGCGCCGCTAGGGGCACGGTGCGTGGGGTAGGAGGCTGCGATGCCAAAAAGGCGTCTGGCCCATCGGTGGAAATGTAGGGCTTTGGCTCCTTCTGGAGAGCGCTGAGGATCGGTTTATTTTGTTTAGCCAGGTGAGAAATTAAGAGTTGAATCCATAATAGAGGTTTTTTTTGTTAGATCGCGTGGCTGTAAATGTGTCGTTAAACCCCGCCACCACCCGACACAGCCAATGAGTAAGGTTTGTCACGTAAACAGAGCATGCCAATTCGTTACTCGTACAGCACAGCGGTGTGTTGGAGAGTAAAACCCACAACATTTACAATTGGAGTACGACGTCTCGCCAGTAATTGCAACCAGCATCATCAGGCGGACAGCAAGAGTTGTGGAGAAATCCTCCTGCTTCGGTCTTAAGTCGAGAGTTTAACTAATTAACTTAAACTCAAGAGTTGACGTTTATTTGTCTGTCACCGCGGATTATCCCGTTTGGCCAGCGTCCTGACTCCGTGACACGGGGACCGGTGGTGCCGTGGGGGCGCAGCAGCAACAGAACCAAGATGTACACAAATAAACGTCGATATTGCAGAAAACGAGTACGGTACGGTCCTTAAAAGAATGTTGCAGACCCACATACGTCTACGTTTGCAGGAGTGACTGAGTGAGTGGGTGGGTGAATGAGTGCGAGTGAAAGAGTCAGATGGTGAGTGAGTGAGTGCGTGACTGAGCGAGATGAAGAGTGACTGAGTGAGTGAGTGACTTCAAGTGTGTTTTGTTTAACCCATGCAGAAGAGAAATCACGAGACCAGAGTTGAGTCTCATTCGCAAGAGTGACCTGGGTGACGGAAATAACAAAACAAATATAACAACAACAAAAAACCAACGCGTCCGTCATAAACAACGTGGCCGTAAAAGCAACTATATATTCATAATAAAGGTTTTTGGGTTAGATCGCGTTATTTATAAATGTGTCGTAACCCTCCACCACCCAACATGGCCAAACAGTAAAAAATGTGTCACGTTGACAAAAGACAAATAGTTCACTACTTTAGCCCATCGGTGTGTTGAAGAGTGAATCAACATCATATCAAATTTTGAGTAGTACGACGTTTCGCTGGTAATTACATCAACCAGCATCATCGGCCAATTTGCCAGAATGGTGAGGCACTCCACTTGCTCCCGGTCTTAAACAGAGCAGCACGGTGACGTCATCTTTTAACCCAATCTGGTACAGTGATTTGAGGCTTACGACACTTTTATAAATATACGCGATCTAACCAAAAAACCTTTATTATGAATAATATTGGTCGCGAAAATCTACGTGTTAAAGGAACTATATATAATAATAAAAAATCGGCGACGTTTTGAGCAGTGGCTCTTCTTCAAGGCACAAACTTTTTGGCCTTTCTGTTCATGGCTATCACGAACGGCCACTGCCTGGAATGTCACCTGTCATAACTTTATATTTTCGGGCAGAGTTGGGCCAGGTAACCACTCGGATGGGCGATCGCCACCACGTGCCACGTGTGGTCAGCCGAGTGCCATGCAGAAAATCCACAGTTGAACTGCACTTTGCTCCACAGGGTATGCCGGCCATCCAGGCAAAGGGCCCTTCTTCATAGTGAAAAGGGGTCATTGCCCGAAACGTCGCCGATAGTTTTTTTCTTTCCCTTTTAAGGCCACACACAGTGTTGTTGAGGAATGTGTTGAGCTTTGTTGTTAAGTGAGTTTGTGCACCGACTGCCAATGCAGCATCATCGTCATCAAGTTTTCTCTTTAGAGTGCCAAGGTCAACTCCACCACGCCTACATAGAAGGTGGCTACATTGCCTGCAAGTCCGCACAGATGGGTAATGAGTCCCACTTGCTGTAGTGACACCAACTGTTGACCCCAAAGGCACGAGATATAACAGTTGTCCACCACAAGCATGATGTCTCACCTGTACTGAGTGTATGACCTCAAGCCGAGTTCCATGGCTGATCTCCCTCCTGAATACACAAGCACAAACATTCGCTTATAGTAAGACACAAAGACAAAGATCCCCTGCGTAGCCTGGACAGGCTGATGGTGCAAGTGCTGTTGGCGAGCTAGCGCCTAAGAAAGCCGGCACGGCACACGAGGGGGTGGTGTGGCCAACACCACGCGTGGCTGCCTTTGTCTCCCCAGTGTCGCTGTTTACCACACCGCACCAGGTACTCGTTTAAGGCTGCGTGGACCTAGGGGAGGCTCAGCACCGGATCAAAACTTCGGTCGCCCGAATCGTATTGCGGTGCGCATCACGAACCCGCCAGTGCGCTAACCACTGCGCCACCGCTCCCCACAAGGAGCGAGTGCACAGAGACAGACGGAACGCACAAACAACAACAACCCTTCGCCACCGAGTGGCGATGACGTCACCACAGCGCTTGTGCCAGGCTAGGTGCACATGGGAACACTCCGTATCACTAACACACGCACCTACACTACCGCACACAAAACAGTACTATACATTATTAAGTCTGTAAAATAATATATGAACAACAACAACAACAACACATGCCATTGATAATAATAATACTAGTCAGGGTCTTCTTACGTAGAAGTGAGTAGCTCGGAGCGCGAAGTGAATGGTCTCAGACGCGCTTGAGTCACCTTGCCCGGCACCGTGATTGTTGAAGCCTCGTGGCCGTCGCTATGGCGACTTGCTAAGAGACCTGGCCCCGAGTCTGTGGCTGCTGCTATTGCTGCTGCTGCTGCCACGCTTGGGTGGCGGCTTCCTCACCGCACGCGTCCGTCGCGTCGACTTCGAGACCCCGACGTCATCTCGCTCGCGGCTGTCGAAGCGCGGTCGAGCTGAGTGGCGACGTCTTGAATGGGACGATTGGCACTAAGCACGAGACACAAAACACACAGCAACAAATCAACAGATTCGTGAAGAACAACACCGCGTGTGTGTGTGCGGTGTGGTTTTAAAAGGAAAACAATGTAATAGGCGACGTTTCAGGCAATGGCCCTTCTTCGTGTCAGGTGCACATAGGGCGGCCGTAGAGACGGAGCGGACGACGAGAGTCGGAGATCGCGGCGCGTGTTCACGCCAGGGGGTTCTGATGAGGATCACATCCACGACATTGTTTTCTCATCACTACTTTTGTAAATAGGGAAATGAATAGCTGCACTCATAGCAGCCAACTGAGTCGCAGACAACCCTTACAATAATCAAAGCGCATTACTACGAAACTCGTTTATGTTTAAATCTGACATGTTTCTGCCAAAAAGGATTTAAAAACAAGCATAGTGTTTTCCTCTTTCTGGCAATAAAACAGGAGGTGTTCACATGTTCAAACACCAAATAGAAACCTTTTGCAGGAACCAGGCCTGCATGAACCACACACAGGACTTGTCGTGAACATGCAACCACAAACCTGCTCTGATAATATTTGCATTGTCTGTGAAACTGATTGGCCTACACCAGAGACAGCCTACACTAGAGACATCCTTCTTAGCTGTCTCTGCTCGACTGATGGAGTCTTTGTACTGTTCGCCGTTTGGCGTCGTTCTCTGGTCTGACACTCCACATTATCGGACGACCGAATTTCCAACGGCAGGGAATTCCACAACGGTGGCGCGGCCACAGCCAGTGACGTTTTGACCAATGGCCCTGACACCACGTGGAGAGGCCAGAGAAGTGGTGACTTTGAAGGGCACAGTGTTGCTGACGAATGCGTTGGTTTGTTTTGCTCTCTGTGCTTAGGCATCGTTGCCTACAGAGTATGAGCAAATATTGTGGTTCCACTCTGCGTTAGTTTATGAGATCTGATGAGATCGGTGCATTCTGGGTGATTTGATCATGTGACATTTCAATCCGAGATTTGAAGCTTTCGTGACTGCAAGGATTCATACTCTTAGGTTTTTTCGGTAAAGTCACGTAGGTAAAAAATAACAATATAATAATAAATTATTTAATTGATTTATTTTCATCTATTATTATTTTATCATTTTTTACCTACGTGACTTTACCTAAAAAACCTAAAGACATTTCAATCGTAGGAAAGGCAAAATATAAAGTTTATGATTGGGAATTAATTAAAAATGTCTCTCCACTGAATCCAGGAATGTTTCACCGAGTCTCAAAGGCACCTTTTCATGAGGGTCTCAAATTGGGATGTGAGGCAGATTCCTTTTACGAGTGCTCTGCGTGAGGGATGAAACTGGAGTCGGTGGGGAAAGTGCAGGCACAAGAGGCGACCCCACGTAAACATGCCCCAACCCGGACGGGCCCACGCACCCGCTTGCTCCACTGTGATGCCACCACACGACCAATGTATTGACCACCACTCATTCCATATCCAGAGTAGCAGCACGCACTAATCTTTGCGTGATCCACCACCCCCCCCGCCACCCCTGCCTCTCCACACTTACTGCTTTAAAATATTATATAGTAAAGATGTGTTATTTATTTTTAGAGCTGCCCTCTTTTGCGCTCCGGGCATCTCAGAGTGCTTTGCATCGCATCTCAACAAACATTTGAAATAGGCACCTCCCCCCCCAGTGGCAGCTGTCCCTGCGCAGCACTGGCCTGCAAGTGGACATTGGTCTGGCAGTAGGAGGTGCAGGAAGCCGATGATTGCAACGTGTGCATTATCTAAATTGAGTCACTTTGCAGTGGTGTTATTTTAGAATTGGGCAACTTTGAGCCGTGATGTGGTCACGCAGTGGCCTACTCTTGCGCATGACGTCACGGGATCTTCAACCTCCACCGTGAAGCAGACGACGCGTGGTGTTTTTAAAAAAAATATCAGAATCAGAAAATGTGTTTATACTGGAGGAGGAATCCGATGAGATATGAATCTCTTGTTATTTTCACAGATGTGCAATAGCAGTACGACGGTAAAGGTGCAGCCCTGCAATCGTCTGGCACACATCACTGCTGGCCTAGCGGTAGCGCCACCAACGCCACCACCACACAACTAATATGCAGCGGTCAAGACACGCGCGGTATTAACCGGGGCTGCCTGCCGGGGTTCTAACCGCGAACCTCGTGCGAGCAGGCAGCGCACGCTCTCACCGCTGTGCCCCCTGGGACGACATTAGCACCCCGCGAATTAATCAGCGTTACAGAAAGAAAATTACAACAAGGGTGATGTGGACATCGGGTAAGTCTTAAAACACACACACAATTCAGCCTCCGTCGTTAAAAAATGCACAGCGTGTCACGCGTTATTGAGGTCTCATTGTCGATTTTTTTGTAATGCCTCGTGGCTTTCTGTTTGTTAAGCGGTTTTTTTTAATGCACCGGCCCCATAAATTTGTATACAATGTGTGTCGTTCGCTCGGATTGAGCGAAGGGCATTCATGCGAATTGACACACACAAAGATCCCCCATATAGCCTTGAACAGACTGTAGGGGCAAGTGCTGTTAGCGTGCACCTATGAAGGTCGGCACGGCACACTAGGGGGTGGGTGGCCAGCACCACGCCTTACACACACACACGTAGTGCACACACACGTATACACACACACGCACACACCCACACACACACACACGTAGTGCACACACACACGCGTGCTTCACCGTGATAACCTTTCTGCAGGCGGAGAGGCTTTTAAGGGAGAGAGGGGGAATGAGGTTTGAGTGAAAGAGCTCCGTCTGGAAATGACGTCTGGCTTCAGCGACAAAATCGATTGCAACACAAATTTGAATAAAATGTAGCGACCGGGCGAATGTGTGCGCATCTACCAAATGCTGCAGCAGCAGCAGCTGTAGCCGAAAACGGTGTGCTGTGTTTCTGAGAAGACAAACACGTCAACACGTGCAATGCTGCCATGTGATGCGGCTTCAGGAAGGGGCTTGAGCCTTCTGATTATCCATTCAAGCGGCGGTGGGTGACGGGTCGCAGCCCTGCAATTGCCTGCTCCCACCACTGCTGCAGTCGATTCCATTTAGAATTCATACAGCGCCCTTGCCACCAGTGCCGGATAACCGTAGTAGCTACACAAGTAGCTACACATGCTACGGGCCCCGCGCTAAATGCTTTCAAGCTGTCAATTCCTGGTTCAGTTATTCTGTAAAGCTCTATTACTATAGTACTATACCGCCTTAAATTTTTATGAACGACTGGGTGTTTAAGGTTAGCGATTTGTCGTATTTTTTGGCTGTATAGCAAATGAAACAAATACAATTATTTTACTATGCAAGTTAAACATTGGTGATTTGATATGGTTTTTTTTCATGTAGGGCCCCGTTAGAAGATATGGTACCATGCCCCGCACTAGCTTCATCCGGCACCACTGCTTGCCGCCGCCGCTGGTGGGAGCTCCCCCCCCCGTCACCTCCTCCACTAAAAGCCCTCTCAGTGGGGTGTTGCGGCCCGCTCCTGCACGCTGGCGGACGAAAGCAAAGGTGGGGAGTGCCCACACTTTACCCCACCCAAGGCGCGCCACCGTGCTCCACACGCGTGCGTGCACACACGTGTACGCACACACACGTGTACGGACACACACGTGTACGCGCACGTGGATATAGAGGGACATATGTTGTACACGCAATTACACACACACACGCACGCGCACATACATGAACATACGCATTCAAATACACGCACAGCACACATTTGTGATCACAGACACATAATAAGCGTGCACACAAATGCACAAACAAAAACAAGCACAGACAAAGATCCCCCGTATAGCCTTAACATACTGTAGGGGGCAAGTGCTGTTAGCGAGCACCTGTGAAGTCCGGCACGACACACGAGGGGGTGGGTGGCCAGCACCACGCCCGACCGCCTTTGTCTCCCCAGCGGTGATGCTTACACACCGCACCAGGTGCTCGTTTGAGGCTGAGTCGACCTAGAGGAGGCCCAGGACCGGTTCAGATCGTTGTCACCGGGGTTGGCCGTGAGCGGGAATCGAACTCGGGTCGCCGGATTCATGGCGCAGTGCGCTAACCGCTACGCCACTGCTCCCCACAATGCATGAACACGCACACACGCACGCACACACACACCACGCACACACACACACGCACACATTCTCTCGAATGCGCGCGCATACACACGTGCACGAACAAGACAAAGGCAAAGACCCCCCGTATAGCCTTAACAGACTGTCGGGGCAAGTGCTGTTAGCGAGCACCTATGAAGGCCGGCACGGCACACGAGGGGGGTGGGTGGGCCAGCACCACGCGCGACCGCCTTTGTCTCCCCAGTGGCGATATTCACACACACCAGGCACTCGTGTGAGGCTGAGTCGACCTAGGGGAGGCCCAGGACCGGTTCAGATAATCTCCACTGTAATCGGTCGTGATCGGGAATCGAACTCGTGCCCTCCATCCTGCCCCCGCCTCTGGGTTCACAGCGCAGCGCGCTAACCGCTGCGCCACCGCTCACGACGAACGCTGAGATACGCGCGCACGCGCACGCCGGCGCCCGGCACGAGGCGGTGTGCGGGTGAGAGCAGCGCGATAGCTCGGTGACTCAGAATGTGTTGCCCTTCGCTAAAGAGCAGAGCAGGCAGTGTTCAAAGTCGTGACCTCCTCCTCCTCCTATCCCTGGGTAGAGTGCGGCACGGGAGTGCCTCGCCAGCTCCTTGCAAAGAAGGGCTCCAATTTTGAGATTGGCTCATAAGTCAATATGTGTTTTAATATGTCACTTTATATGGAGTGTGCAATGTAACAGTGTCATACAATCACCGCTGACCTCTAAAGCTCTAAATTATTTTAGTCCCCCCCCCCCCCCCTCCATGGATAATGATAGAAAGTAATTCCGAAATGTCATTATGAATGCACACACTTGCATGCACTATGCATTATTAACGGAG